CCCGGAGCTGTGATAGGCTGCGAGCGAGGGAGCGAGTGAGAAACGGGATGTTTATGAGCCAAAAGCTGGGAAATGGAGGCTAATAGAGGGGAGGGAAGAAGCAGAGTAGCTAATAGTGATGCTATTAAAGTTCAGGACAAAACTGGCTGGCCATGGGCGCCTAAGGCAGCGGAAGCGATCGGGTTGATTTACACGAAATCAATTGTTTCGGCTGGGCCGCAAGCCGTATCACCATTAGCCACAAAGCTCCAAGACAACGGAGCGGGGGCCCCCTGGTCAGGTCGAATTTTTTTTCTTTCTTTCTTTGTTTTGATGTTTGCGATTTCTGGGTGCGGTTTCCCCTCGCGACCAGGGTATGGGTTTGGGATGAAACGTGGGCAGAATTGGGGAAAAAAAGAGGCAAGGATATGCTTTTTAGGCTGGACAAAGGCAAAAAAAAAAAAAAGAAGAAGAAATGATCAACAAGAGGGAATGCGAGTAAGCTGCCGGCTGCCGCAGCTGGTGATACTGTCGCTGCATAAGACGAATAGGAAAACATTCAACTTACTTGCTGAGCACTGTGAAATTTCCGCTTGAGTTTGTTGGGCTCTTGGATTGGAATTTTGCGAGTTCAAAGCCAAGCAGGGCAGTTCAGGATGCTCCTTGTTTAAAGGCTCATGGCCTGCCGTCTCTGACGTAATCGTGCCAACACGAGTCGTCCAAGCCCGCTGGAGCTGAAGAGGAACCGCTCCAAGGTCAATTGCTCAAAGCTGACGTCCTCGACGGCGGATAAATGTGGACTGGCTGGCGATGGCAGGAGAGTTTGGTCCGTTGGCAGTTCGGGTTGCGCTGCGGATAAGCAAAAAATAGAAACTCTGAAGCAACAGCAGAGACGATCTGGTCGGATGTGATTTGATACAGGCACCGCAGATGAGCGCCTGTCTTATGCGGCTGCGTGGATGGATGGAGGGCGATGCGCGGTTGGGCCAGATATATTACGACACACGCCTCGTCCACTCGCAGCGGCCCCGAATGTCTGTCTTGTCTTATCCTGTGCCGTGTGTGCACAGCCATGCAATCACATGTCGCTGTGAGTAGGTAGGCAAGTAGGTAGAGTGCATTTCCTGATACCATCGTGAAATCACCCTTCTCTCATACCTGCCGTCGTGAGGGATTAGTTCCCTCGTCTGCGCGCACAAAATGTCTCGGCCTACCGGATACTACACGGCGCTTATTACACCACCAGCTACCCATGACCTCTTTTATTTCCCTCGCCAACCGTTGATGCGTCGTACCGACTCCGTGCCTCTGTCCTGGGTCGCCATTGGAAAGGAGGCTAGAGAAGGGTGCCTGACCGATTACACGCCTTTGCAGGACACCCACCCATAGAGGCAATCTGTATATATAGAGATACACACAGGCAGGCAAACATATGGATAGAAACAAACATACAACCACACCGCTGCAGCCTGGAATACTGTACCAAAACGACACCCTGGCGAGGCGCCGAGCTGAGCTTGGGGATGAATCACAAGAGGCAGCCCAAGGATTTCTCCGTGCCACCGACTCGGCGCATGGCCTGGCATGCCATCAACGATTTTCGACCTCTCATATTTTTGCCTTGCTGCTTGTGTCACTGCAAAGAGGGCCCCATGTCGCCCTTCGGAAGCTAAGCTTATCCCAGGCTCTTGCGCGGGCCGATGACTCGGATTCGATTGCCCCGTGCTCCAGAGAAGCTCTAATTTTTTTGCTCATATATGCTGGTGATTTCAGGTTTGGTTTGCAACGACCAACGATGAAGGATCCTTTTGGTCGAGGCCAAGCCCCGAAACGGCACTGGCTCTGGCGCTGCGGCCAGGCAGTATCAGCTAGTCTAGCTCGCCGAGAGCGCTAAGAACGAGCATTGACTCCTTGGAAGTGCTACTGACAGGCAATACCGTCATCACGATAGCACGGTACAACATCTGCCACTCCCAGCAACAAAGAGAAAAAGTTCGCACAATCATCGTGGCCCGTCGATGTAACGTGCAGAGGCACCGTCCCCTTGTCGGCCGGGTGTTTGCGGCCCGGAGGCTCCATCCCTCGGCCAAGCTGTTGCCCAAACAGGATGGACGACGTGGAATTAATGCGTCCGGCTCAAGGCGTTGCGCGTTCCGGTGTAATACGGGCTGCCGAAGCCTCATTTCACCGTGCAAAGCAAGCTCAACAGATTTGAGGATGCGGGCAAAGACAAAAGCAGACAGGCAATGATCTACTGGCTGTTGGTTCTAGGTACTACTTGTACTTGCCCTTTACGCAGGGAGAGGAATGGTCTGGGACGATCAGTAAAACATCTCTGAAAGGCACTATCGCTATAAGCCCCTTGTCAGTATCACTCTGCATATGAGCGTTTTTCGAATGCTTTCGAATGCGCAGCCTCTTCCACGATCTTCTACTTATCCCACATTCAAACAAACACTTGACATACTCTTTCATCATCGATTTGCACTCGCTCACTAAAGCCACCTTGCCCGTCAAAAACGTGTCCCCATTTCCAAAGCGTAAAAAAACCCTTAACAAAAAAAGACATCCCTGTTTCTGCCCAACGAGCCCCAGCCCGGCTCCATCCTCTGACCGGGTTCCCGTACCGACCAAAAAGTATGGACATGTAACAAGCATCAAGACAAGGTCATTCAGTGACAGGCTTTCGCTCTTGGCCCTTCAACTGCTCACGCGCCGGCGCTTGTGCCCGTCTTTGGCTGCTCTGTCTCATCTAATACGCCATCGTCATACTCTGACCGCAAGTGTCTTCTCCTCCTTGCTCATCATGATTACACTCGTCTCTGTACAACCAACCCCTAAATGATCGGCCTCTCTATACACCTGTTTACTTTTCACCATCTCGCGTTTGTTTCTCTCTCTCTTTCCCCCCCTCCCTCGACAAATGGTGATCGACGTCCATCAAACTTTCAGCTAGACGAAAACGCCTCCCAGAGCCAAGCCAAGCCATCAATGCCATGCCACGCCATGCCATCCCATCACATCAGCTCATCCCAGTCCCTAGCACCAGCACCGTCCAAAAGCCTATTGCTCGGCTTGGGAATGGATCCCAACCGCTGGGTAGCGGATCGACGACCGCCTGCTCCATCGGCGGGGGTGGAGCGCCTCAAAGCGAGACATTGAACTCTCCAAGCTCCGTCCGTCTCTGCATCGAAAGCTGCTGCTACTAATTTTTCCTTCTTCCTTGAACAGCCGAGAGAGCTCCGGCCGTGCCTTAACGGGCGTGGCAACGCGCCCTCCCGTCGCGATACTCAGCCGCACAGTTTGCTTGAAAGATCCAGGAACACGGAGTACTTTGCGTGATAAAACATGCTTGCTTACCTGCAGTGTTGTTCCGTATATCCAAGCAAACATGCCCCGAGTACCTACATACGAAAAGTAGGCCTCCGTTTACTACCGGGGAGCTTTGCCGTCCGCCATTCCAGCAAGCCTCATTCGCTGGCCATCCCGCATCCCCCCCTGCTCTCATGCAGCAGCTTGCTTGCGTGCATGAATCAATCAAAAAACCGCCTTACCGTGTCCTGCCCCTCCAAACAACTCAAAAATACAAGATTAAAAACTTCGCCATCCAAGGGAGGGCCAAACACGTGCAAGTCGCCAAATGCCACTCAATTTGTCCGGCCGTTAGCGCTTCATGACACTATCACGATTTTTCTAATATTAGCCCAAAGTAAAAGGAGCATGAGCGCAAAACAAGACATGCCAACTTTGGGACCCCAAACCGTTTTCCCCCTTTTTAACCAACGTCGAATGAATCACAACCGGCAGTGCCTATCTTGATAGCAAAGTAAGGTATGCTCTGGCGGGATTTTATTTCCCTCCCACGTTGTAGGGCCGACCTGTATCATTGGCCCTGACGATCCCTGCATCTCCCGTTGCGGCAAACATCACATAACTTACTTGGCCGCCTGTCATCCAATGCATTTGGAGTTTGGGGGGGATAAAGTGCCCCTGCCCACCTTTTTGCATGTGAGCATATTTGTTTGGCCGATAGTAACTCCTTTTGCTTCCTTGATTCATTGCTTGCTTCCTCTATTACAAACCACATACTACAAGTCATCACGCCTTATCCGGGTATTATAGAGGCATCTATCCGGTGCTTCAATCCTACTCTGCTCTGCTACGCTTCTCAATACGTACCTGGACTAACAACAAACACTTTGTATAATTGGCTCATATCTGTCGTAATATCTCGTCTTTGTTGCCACTTCACTTGCCACCTATCAATATCAAGTAGGCAGCCCGTACGTGTCCATGGACAACTCGTTAGTTTGCTGCCGTGCAACCACACTCGAGGCCGAATTGATTACCTCAAGGCCTCCTAAGGATGCCCCGACTTGCCAACAGACACATTCCTTTCATACCAGTAAGGAATATTACTCCTACTAGAAAGTAATAAGCACGAATAGTGGTCTACCGCGTATACAGTGCAACATGGCAATCAGCATCCTCCACTAGGTACCTCAAGTCGCTAGGAGCTTCTTCTTGTAGATTATTGACTCGTATTTCAAGATAGAATGGAAGCCAAAAAAGTCACTAAAGGCACCGGCGTCATAAAGTCCATCCATCGCCACCACAATCACACAATCTTAGACCTTTCCTCCAATTTACCCCGCACCGATATCAACAACACATGCTTGCCTTTGAATGAGTCGTCAGCAGAATCACCTCAAGCATTTCCCATTCGATCTTATATGCATCATGGGCGTTATTGGGATGTAATACCACATGGAGGGCGGTAATAAGCGCACATCTAGCTCATCCTTGGAATTCTCCCCATGCCAACATAATGGTTCAATGCGTCCATATGTAGTGTCACATTGACGCCCTTCTAACATCTGTCATATCGGCACCACCAGTCCCGCAAAAAAGTCCCATGTATATAGTCTAGACCTAGCGTGTACATGTAAATCAATCCTCCGGCTGGACGCCGATTCCAACACACATGCTAAACCTCGCAATATCGTTCCAACCAATCTTTATTAGTTCATCCACAGGCGTACGGCTTTGTCTTTTCCTCCGCTGCCAACTCGTTGTCCGTCAGGACTCCAGTCGACCTGGTAAAGGGCTGTTAGTCATGGGACGATACAAGTAGCAAGTCAAAAGCAATAAAGGGAGAGGTGAAACGTACTGCAAAGACTTCATCTTGGTGTCCTGGTAGGTCAACTGCCAGTTTGTACGTGGCCATGGACCACACCTTCAATGTGGTATCCTTGGACGCCGTCACAAGAAGTCGGCTATCGGCAGAAAAGGCACACTGGTATATAGGTGCTACATGGCCTCGGAGCGTATTGATAAATTTGCCATCTCTGCATTGGTCATCGTGTTAGCATTCGTCGTAGACAACGGCCTCTGGTGTCATTGAAAACACGAACCTTGCGCTCCAGATCTTTGTGTGGTTGTCCCACCCCGCGCTGGCAATGAGGCTGCCATCAGGGGAAAATGTCACATGGTTGATGGCTTTTTGGTGTCCCAGCAGTCGTGCGACCGGCTTTGTACCCTGAGAGGGATCCCAGAGGTACATGGTAAAATCATCCTGTGCATTACAAAGGGTTAGAAGAGTAAAGTAGACGACACCACAAGTTGTTTGCCAGGTGAACTTACAGAGGCTGAAACAAGTCGCTCCGCAATCTTTCCTTGGAACCTCGCCGCTTTCTCAAAGCGCTCCTTTGCCTTCTTTCGCCTCTCCTCCTCACTACTCGGCGTGGGCTGGTGATCATAAAATGAAGTTCGTAGTGCAAAATCAGTGGAAAGGGCCAGGTGATTTACCCAGTGAGCGTGGGAAGAGAGAGTGTGTACCAGTGTTCCCTTCTCAGCGTCCCACACTCTGACAGTTTTGTCGTGACTGGCTGAATAGATCAACCCGGTGCCTCCCCATTTGACGCAGCTCACACTACTCCGATGACCGGACAAGACATGCTCAATCCGGCCCGTGTTCACAGCCCAAACTCGAATCGTTGTATCCTTGCTTGCACTCGCTAACCGAGGAGATCCATTCTCCCATAGATGATATGGTTCCCAAGCAATGTTGGTAACCCATTTGGAATGCCCTGTCAAGGCTCCGGAGCCGGCAGCTTTTCCTGTCTCGGGGTCCCAAAGTCGTACAGATTTGTCCATGCTTCCAGTGGCCAAACGCTTACCGTCGGGCGACCAAGCCACACACAAAACCCAGTGTGTGTGACCAGACAAGGTAAACTTTGGCGTTCCTGTCTCCGTATCCCATATCCGAGCTGTCTTGTCCCCAGAGCCTGTAGCCAGTCGGCTGCTGCTTGCAGGACTGAATTGAGCGGCCAATATCGCTTCTCCATGGCCGGGTATTCTATGAGACATGCGCGTGACTGCTTGGACTTTGAAAACAGCTTGAGGCTCGGCGCTCAGTGTGACTGTTGTTTCAAAGGGGTTCTCTATGCCATGGCTGCGCAGAAGTTGGAGCAAGTCGGTCGGATACTGGTCAACAATGATGTCCGTCTCCGGAATATGTATTCGAAAGCGATACGGCAGAAACTCTTCTCTTTCCTAATAGTTCAATTTGGATTAGCCAAACAAGAAGCACCCTTGAATTTTTACGAATCAACGTGAGACAAACCCTAGCCAAAAGTGTATTTAACAAAAGTGATAGATTTTTCTCCGATGCGTCTGCGAGAGGCACTTCTATAACGTCGGCCATCTGCTTTCCCTCGCTGTCGAGGAAGCGAGCCTTGAACGAGCCCGCAGGGCCGGCTGCAACAGCGCTGACATCTTGTTGTACTTGCGTTCTCTCTAGATTTTCGCGCTTTTGGCGCTTTGATGGAGGCGGTAGAACCGTAGCCATGGTAAGTTGGGAGCTTGCCTAGACTATTAATGGTATCTCGATAAATGTGTTGAAAGTTCGCGACAGAATGGAATGGTGGGGCCGATTGGCAAAAAATCTAGGAACCATGGAAAAAAAATAAGGCGGTGAGAATGTGGGGTTCTGCCCAAAAAAAAGATAAGCTCATCGCCAAGCTCTCAGGGCCCCAGCCATAAGTGATGAATAAGTCGCATTAGGAAGGCCAAATAAAGCTGCATCAGTCTGGAATAATTAGTTGTGTTGAATTTATTCGCCAACAGAATGCCTAGACATCAGGCTGATTCGCCATTGTCGGTCGATGGCCGCGAATGCGCTTGGGCGGGCCGGTAAAATGAGAAAACGCTGTGGGAATTGTGGTCATAGTTATCCCAGCAGGGAGGGGAACAGGCGTCGCGGCGGGATTCTGTGCAAGCTGGAAGTGCGGCTCTTGCATCAATGGCTGGAGATGACTATTCTGTGCTTCCTGCTGGAGTTGATGCTGAACCGCTTGCTGATCAAGACTTTGCTGATGTTGATGCTGCTGCGGTTGATCGTCTTGCCGTCTCTGGCGACGTGCACGTTGTCTCTGGGTTGATAGTTGTCTGCGGCCTTTTTCCACCAGCAAGTGCCGCTTATCTTGAGCTTCCTGTCTCCGCTGACGTTGCCAGTCCTCATTCTGGACTGCGTAAATTGCTGCAATTTGCATCTGAAACTGCGCAAGCGCATTCAGCCGGTCTGGCTGTGGCATCTTGCGGTAGTCGGACTTGAGTTGGTGAAAGGTGTCGCCTGTTAAACGAAGGTTTGATTCAGAGACGCCAGCCAGTTGAATTGCCGTTGCCGTCTGTGCATCGGGACGCGGACCGTCGTCCATGTCTATCAAATTGCCAGTTAGAATTCATCCATGGACACTCTTGAGCAATTCCATCACGAACCTGGAAGCTCGGTTAGGTCATTCTCTTCTTCGCTCATCTCAGATGGCGTTGGTGGCTCTGGAGTGCCAGGAGCATGGTTATGCTGGTCGCAAGAGATGGTCAGCACCCAGCCGCCAATGCTCTTGCGGTTGACTGCTTTGGCTTTCCAGGGACAGTCCGTCTTCTTGGTGGTTGTCTTGTGCTTGGTAGCCATGCATTTATACGGTCGGCCACCACGATCACACACGAGATCACACCGGACGATGTCATTTCCAGGGATGTCAGCACCACCCATTCTGGAGCGATGCGACCTAGCCTTGACAATCTTATAGCCCTCCTTCTCCATCCGCCCATTGAGGTCCTTGATCAGCTCCTCGTACGTGCTGAAGACGCCGGCGTGCGGCACAGCAACGGCCTCGAGGATCCCAAACATGGCTGGCAAGAGGCTGGTTCGCGCTGCTTCACTAGGGGCGTGTGGATTTGAAGCCGGACCTGTGTGTGTTAAATGTGATTCGTGGCGTCACTGCGCGGTCGAGACGTGGAGAAGAAGGTTGTTTTGGGAGAAGATTCGGGCTAAACCGCGGTACCTGGGAGCCATGACTCAGCTCCCTGGTCCCTGTGCCTGGGGGCACCTGCGCTGTGATTGGTACGCACCAGCAGCCAGTGGCAGACAAGCATCTCGCCCAGACGCCATTAATGCCGGCAGTACATACTGGCAAGGTACCGTCCATTCACCTATACGTGCAATGCCCCAGTGAATCCTACCTGCCTCTAGGTATCTGCCGATCTTGAGTACCCATCTGCAAACAGGCGATAGAACAGAGGGCAAGAGCAACAGAGGGCAAGAGCAACAGAGGGCAAGAGCAACAGCTATAAGTCTTTGATATGAGAAGCTCGTGACGCCGTATAATTTGTCCTCTTCTTCTACAATGTTAGATGATAATGAAACAAGTCATCGGTCCAGTTAGCGCGTGGATGCCATTGAAACTGCTTTTCAACACCATATTGTCCTCCAGCCGCCTCATCTCACTGTGTCTTGTTTTGATTGACTTACCTTGAATGCCAAAGCCCTTCTAGATCTTTTTCAACGAGTTGCACATACCAGACTTCCCTGGCCATCCGTCAACCATGTCGTTTTCATCTGGGGCATCTCCTCAAACGACGGGTACATATTCTTCTTACTTCTCCAGCTCAGTTCCGCCCGAATCGCCTAGCCTCCAGTCTCAGCGCAGCTATAGCCAAGCCAGTCAGGCTTATGATGAGGATGAATTCGGGGATGAATTCGAGGATGAACTCGAGGGCCCGTCCAACTATTCTCCATCTGTTTCTAGCTCAAGACCAAGTGTCACCTTAACCACAGCTTCGACAACCATTTCTCGCCCCAGCACTCCCTCGGGCCGTCGCTCTCGAAGAGGTACTACGCCTTCTATCCTTGGGCAGAGCGAATCGAATGATATCATCTGCGCAGTGAGCGAATCTCGTGGCGTCACACATACAGTAGGTATTGCCATAGTCAACATGTCGCTTGGTGAAGTTACTCTCAGCCAAATATGCGACAGTCAGTCCTATGTGAGGACAATTCATAAGCTTCAACTGGCATCGCCTTCTCGAATAGTCTTCACGCCTTCCGCGTGCCCTCCCAATCGGCCCAGTACCTTCTACTCTCTCGTTGAACAACTGATACCTGAGGCGGAGATTGCCTGTCATGAGCGCTCTGCTTGGTCCGAATCCTCCGGGATAGAGTATATGGAAGGTCTCGCTCTTGACGGCGACATTGGGCCGTTAAAGGTGGCTACCCAAGGCAAATATTATGCAGTCTGCTGTTTTTCTGCCGTAAGTCATAGAATGAGTTGTTTTGTTATGTTGAAGCTTATAGTTTGTGCTCCAGGCTATGAAATATATCGATCATCAATTCAATGTCACCTTCTCTCCTCAGTCCCTGCGCATTGGATACCAACCTTCCGAAGATACGATGATGATAGCCATACCCGCGATACAATCACTAGAAGTGATGTGCAATTTGAAGTCTGCCAAGTCCAAAGAATGCTTATTTGGGCTATTGAACCATACCCTTACACCAATGGGCGCCCGCGTACTCCGCAATAACATGCTCCAGCCATCCACCAACTTTGATGGATATATCAGAGTTCGATATGACGCGTTGGGAGAGATGGTCGCCCACGAAGAGATGTTTCGTGAAATTCGTAAAGGTACATTTGAGCACACGGAGAGTATTAATCAGCTACTAAACCAGTCCTAGCCCTTAAACTTTTCCATGATGCCGAGAGAACTTTTACAAAGGTAAGTCAATTGCGCCAATACATTCCTACAGTATGGCTGACAAGTATAGCTGATTACCATTCGACCCGCCACGGGCATAACTGCGGCCGAAGAACAAATTACACACATCCTCATGGTCAAATCTTTCCTAGAATCAGTTCCAGATATCTACCGAGCGCTTTACCCAGCAAAGAGCGACCTTTTAGTCAAAATCCGCACTATATGCTGTCCCGAGACGACGGTTCCCATTTTACGCATGATCAAGGAGGTTATCGAAGCAGACGTTACATACATGAAATCACCGCTAGATTTACGTAACCAAAGAACATTCGCGGTCAAATCAGGCCTCAGCGGCCTGTTGGATATCGCTCGTCAGACTTATAAAGAACTTACCGATTATATTCACCAGTATACAAACGGTGTTAGCGGTACGTGCTAAGATTATCACAAGCTCTCTTTGGATCTCCAAAGCTCACACGGTTCTTGCCTATAGAAGAGCATCAAGCTGCAGTGACTATAAAATTCGACAATCGACGCATGTATTGGTTTCGGATACCCACCGCAGATCTTGACCCCGAATCAGTATCCCAGCATTTTATAAATGTCATCTGGAAGAAGAATCATATTGAGTGCCAGACTATGGATCTTGTTAAGCTAAATCGCAGACTATCAGATACTTCCAACGAGGTAATGCTGCGGAGTGACCAAATAATTCTCGAGTTGGTCAAAGACCTTCGAAAAGAAGTCTCCCCACTGTTCAGAGTATGCGAATCAATCGCGCTCTTGGATATGATTGCATCTTTTGGTCAAGTCACCACAACTCGGGATTATGTGAGGCCCTTGATTGAAGATACCTTGGCGCTGAAAGCAGCAAGGCATCCAATTCTCGACAAGGTGACTCTCTGCTCGTGTCGCAAAACATCATATGCTCTTTGTACTAATCCCCTGCTCACAGAAAATGGCGAGTGAATATGTGCCCAATGACTACTATGGTACAGAACACCATCGATTTCACTGTGTGACAGGTTGCAATATGAGTGGCAAGAGCACATACATCCGATCGGTTGCCTTGCTTCAGATTATGGCACAGATTGGATGTTTCGTGCCGGCCGAATTCGCCACCTTCCCCATTATACACAACATACTTGCCCGTATATCCACTCAAGATAGTATAGAGGCAAATTTGTCCAGCTTCGGAGTAGAAATGAGAGAAATGGCCTTCATTTTGAAGAATGTTGATAGCCAAAGTCTCGCCATAATTGACGAGCTTGGCCGAGGAACAGGCAACAGGGATGGTATGGCAATTGCAATGGCGATATCTGAAGCACTGATTGACACGGGAGCATATGTCTGGTTTGCAACTCATTTTATCGAGCTGGCTCGAGCACTAGAAAATCGCCCAGGAGTTCTTAATCTCCATCTTGCGTCCAATACTACTATTGGTGAAGGGGGGATCCCTCACTTAAATATGCTCTACAAAGCCACTGCGGGTACCGTCGATGACGAGCATCACTATGGAATTGTTTTGGCCCGAGCAATGGGGATGCCAAACAGCTTCATTGAAGTCGCGGAGAAGGTGGCAAATGATCTGAGAAGCAGGCGGGAGTCGAACCGACAGAATTCCGAGTCATATAAAGAGATACATCGGCAGAAGCTCATGCTAAACTTGTACGAGGCGCTAAAACAAGCTGCCAGGCCCTCGAATCCGGAAACTCGTCTAGGGTACCTCAGGTGCCTCCGAGAAGAATACCATGAACGCTTGCGGGAAATTGAAGAAATGTGAGGCGGGACCAGTTCGCTCGGCGCTTCTGTTGCGCTCGAAATAACAAGGTTATTTTTAGTGTATTCATAATAGAATGCTTGTTATTGATATCTAAGTCTACTATCTAACCACAGTGAACTCGTGCACTCTTGATCGCCGCATCCACAGCATCTTGTAAACAGTTGTGAAATGTGTCGAAACCAGCGCCTACTAGAGTCCGTCTCACCCAGAAATGCTTCACGTTCGCAATATGACACTCCGTATTTGCATCCAACGCTAACCGCAGCCCACTTAGACCTTGCGCTGATTCCAAGTCTAGATGCTCGATTTCCCTAAAATCCAAGACAATGGCATGGACAGCGGGAGACTTTTCCTGGTATTGGTCGTATACGGATGCCAGATGATGCCCTTGATTGTAAAAAGAGAAGTTGCTGTTGAAGCGATAGACTAAGACACCTGGGTTTGAGACCTGTGCCTTTGGTTTGCGGACTGAAAGTGCCTAACTCAAGAGCCATTTCGCAATCGTTCCAATATACAAGGACCATTCAAGTGTGTATACCAATCCCATTGCCACAGATGCAATCCATATCAATGAGTCAAGAGGTGACAGTTGCCAATTATTGTACAAAGCTTTTGGCCGAGGTAAGTTGGCGAACATGGAGTAAGTCACAAGACCCGCAAGTGAGGCGAGGGGAGTATATGCAAATACCCCCATGAGCAGATATAGCGCCATGACGACCATCAAGGCGGCAAATACTCCTGCCAGTTGCGATCGACTGCCAGCCATTGAGAGTATGGTGGAGGAACTGAATGAGCCCATGGTCAGGTAGCCTCCAATAGGAGGACCAAAGATGTTGGCGAATCCGAGGGCAACAAGTTCTTGCGAGTTGTTGACGGCGTAACCATTCGTCGTCGCCATCTTCTGTACCAGCGCCGCCTGCGAGACCACCATTAAGAGAACGATGGCCGGAAGTTCCGTACACAGATATCCCATCTCTTCAGCGTCGGGCAGTGTGGGAAAATGGGCGCGTAAGAAACCTGCGCAGAAACAACTCGTTAGTAACCGGAGGAGACGTGAGAAGTTTTATAGATATACCAGGTTCAATCAGTCCCACTACTTGGAACGGACCTCCGTAGTCTTCACGATGGATGAGCCAGCTGATCAAAATTGACATGCCAATGACGATTGGGAATCGTAGCGTCGACACAAAATTCCACAGGCGCCGCTGTGCAGGATACCGTGTAGCCAATGCAGTACACAATAGCGCAATGATTGCAAGAAAAAACATCACTGCGAAGCCAAAGACAGCGTCAACAGAGACCTCTCCCAGATGTCGTAAAACATGTCCAAGAACAAAAAATGAAGATCCCTGGTTTGAGACCCCCTGGAGACCAAGCAAAGCTGGAAGTTGGCCGATGATCAGCTTGAGACAGGCGGCAGTAGCATATGCCTCCGTTGCAGATTTTGGGATGATTTGAAGGAGCCATCCAAGTCTCAGGGCGCCTAGGGCCACTAGAGCCAAGCCTGCGGAAACTGCCAGCGCCTGTGCTGCCCGTTCAGGCGTATAATATCCCAAACCCGCCTTGTCGGTGACTCGACTGATGACATCCACGGTGAGGAGCGATGAAACACCAGTGGCCTTGACAGTTGAGTTAGACTTGGTTGTAAAAAGAAGGCATCCCTGAATATACCGAGATAACAACATCTTTGGACCCGCCATACAGCTAGTATAGAGCTAAGCCCGCGAAGGTTGAGTATAATCCATGCATAGGCGAGATTTGGGACATGATCCCGAAACCGATTGACTGGGGGATGATGACCAGGCTCAGAGCAATTCCAGCGACAACATCTTCCTAAAGAAAGGACCAAGTGTATGAGATCAACCAGAGAGGTAACGGCAGCAGTGTTAGAATGAACCGAAAAACCAAGGACGGGCGAGGAACATGGCCCCAAAGCCAGCCTTTGAGAGACATTTCTGAATGCATGATGCGAACAATGACAGCAAATGATGGAAATGGGTTGAACTGATGTTTGCTGAAGAGCGCTAGAGATGGAATGCGGGAGATGTGAAGCAGAGAAAGAGAAAGAAGAGGAGGAAGGAGGAGAAGAGGAAGAGGGAAAGCAAAAGGATGAGGAAGGGGGTTGCCGAGAAGAACTCGCTAACCCATCATCATCTGGCCAGGATCGACCCACATGCCGGCATTGCGGCCGCTCCCTTTGCGCTGAAGGAGGCAGTGGCGTCCCCATTTGCGCTGGTACTTTGCAGGGACAGCAGCGATATCAGGAAGCCACAGCGTGCGCGCCAAGATGTGCGTGCTGGCAGCATCGAGGAAGTCAACACACTTGAGAGGCTCCCAGTGGTGCTTGTCTGCGATGTAGTCCGGTTCCCCGGGCGACGGCGGGGCGTCCCTTCCAGGATACTGGGTGTCGACCAAGAAAGAACACATTCGAGGCTCGACGTACTTGCCCAGGTCTTCTTGGTTGCGGTCATTCAGACCGCTGGTGGGGAGCCAAGTGCCACTCCAGAAGCCGAAGCCGGTCTGAGCCTCTGAAAATTCACCAGGCAACAACCCGCGAAAGTCGGAGCGCAGGAACTTCGCGTGCATGTTGCGCGGGAGGAAGTACGAGGTTGGGAAGCGATACCATTCCTTCCCAAAGCAGACGTTGTCGTCCTCAGCGCCGTAGGTGTTTCCTCCTTCATCACCCCATAACGGAGAATAAACTTTCAGGGGGGCAGAATACGCGGAGTAGATGCCGTAGATGCGGGCAATGGCAATATCAAGCGAGAGGAAGAGCACAAGACCGACGGCAAGCAGCTTCAGGCGACCGGGGATTTTCCCAATCAATGTCTTTGGGTTTGAGTTACCAATGGCGGACAAGATGATGTGCAGTGATAATGCGGCGTTGAGGGCCAGAAAGGGGTACGCGGGGTACATGAACCGCTCTTCTTTGTGCGGCTGTGAAGTGAAAATTACGAGCCACATGTAGAACGGTGTAATGAAAATGACAGTTCGAAGACCGCTAGTCAATCGTTGTGATGAAGATGAAGATGCTTTTTGTAACAGGAACAGCGGCAACACCAACAGGGCGAGGATGAACCAGATGTTGAAGTTCAACGTCAAGTTCTTGAAATAAAACGTCCATGGCTCTGTTCCATAAAGATCAGGGCCGCCGGTTTTCGAGAAAATGTTGTATTTGACAATGTTCCAGGAAACAACTACAGGTTTCTTGTAAAAAAACAAGTTGATCGCAAAGTCAAAGAACTATTTGGAAAATTGGCGTAAGTGAATGTTTGTCTCACAAAAGGCTTCAGTGAATTCCACTTACCAGGACAATGAGAGAGGCGATGACACCGCGAACAAGCCGTATCAAGGCTTCGATCAGAGAGTCCCTGTCGCTGAACACGGCTAAAATGAGTTCTTCGAGGACATACGGCACGCAAAGGGCGGCAGCAAAAGGCCAGCCAAGAATGCCAGCCACAGCAAACCATGTAATGCCTTGCCAAGTCTTCAGCCCGCCCCGCCAGTTCATGAAAGATGCAGCGCCAAGCATCCCCGCGTACATGGCAAAGCTGGAGGGCAAGAAGGCGGCGCTCGCGTGGAAATTCCCCGGGCTTATGATGGTGATGACGAGAAAGAAGAGGCCGATCCTGGCGTTGAGTGCGATGCTCACAGCTTGGAACATGATGGTCTGACAAATGGCACAAACAAAGGCCAAGCCGTAGCGGATGAAGTAGAATTCAGAAACCTAGCGGGCGTCAATCACTCAATCGATTCGGTATAGACATCCTACATGCCGCAGAAAGGCCTACCTTGGTGGACTGGGGCAGTATCCTTCGCACGTTGCCCACAACAGCATGAAGCGCAATGTAAAGCCAGCTGCGAATGGCATAATCTGGGGAATACTCCCAGGTCTGGAGGCCATAGCCATGGGAGAGATAATGGGCTGGCTCCCAGTAGTTGAACGTCTCGTCGCAGTCCTGGATTGGCGCAAACAGAGCAGCGATCAGGCCTGCAGCAAAGAAGAGGTAGAAGGCCGAGATGGGCTGAAAGGCCTTGGGTGCCTTGGGCGCCTTGGACGCCTTGGGCGCCATGATGGTTGATGTACGATGAGAGGAAGAAAGATCGGAGCTTGGGGCTGGCAGGGAGTGGAAATATATAGGGCCCGGATGCCTTAGGCCTCCTACAGGGCGGTGAGTTTTCTGGTGGGAAGTTTCGTGATAGCCACGGGCGGCGGTGTTGAAGTGAACAGAATGTGATGCGCTCTCAAAGAACTGAGATATAGTAATTGAAGTTCATTTCAACCATGCATGCTATATACCTAGCTACGTACCTATTTTCCGCAGTGATGGAGCTCTTATGTAATACGTGGTTCCACTTTGAGTGGGCTGAGAGGCACAATCGCCCGCTGCAAATAGCACTAATTTAACAGCTACAGGGGACTGGTCATAACAACTGAGCAGCAATTACACGCAACGCCTCTCGATATACTGTAGCACCGTTGACGCGTTTGAGCGCGTAAGGTTTATAAAGCAAGATCTGACGGAACGCTAGAACTCAAATAGATTGTTTGATACCTATCTGAGTAGATGAATATGAATCAAATGGTCAAAATATTACTGTGCCCAGCTTCGATCCAGCGCTTTGGCTGTTAGGCGCAAAACCTTTTCTCCACCAAGCAATGGTGAGAATGTGGCCACCCGCTTTTGCACAGGCATCGTCAAAAATTCAGCTAATCCCGAGGCCCCAGCTTGCTCAAAGAGCGTTTTCGACAATATCTTGGCAGCGAAAACATTCACGCCGGCACGCCTGAGGAAGATCTCCCATTCCGTTTCCTCAGAGGATAGAAGCCGCTTCATACCGTGGGATTTGAAAGAGCTCCGAGATAGGCAGGCGGAAATCCACGAGGCCATTGTTTGTTCCGCCCCTGGGACAAGCTGCACGTTTATATCCCCGTCCAGTGCAACGGTAAAGCTCACAAAGTCAGCGTAAGCTGCGATATCAGACGGAGCCAATGCTCCCGAAAATTCTCCGCTGGGGTGTGATTCCGACACAAGGACTAATAGAGTTTCGTATTTCCGACTGACTTTCTGCACACGATCGCGCAACGGCGATTGAGACTGAGAGCCAGGGAGAGGCCGCTGCCGCACTTTGAGGATATTGGTGACGATGATTCCTGTAATAGGCGACAAAGATACATCGGCTTCGAAACCTAACTCCGAGGTAGTCTCTTTGCATTGAGCAGATTCTGAGGGCCGCGATATGGCAATATGCTCGGAGTAATCGATATCAAGCAAACTTTCGGGAGACCATGCACGCTCTAATTGCCTTAATATTGGCCTTGGAAGGTCAACTGAAACAATGAAATAGGCCATCACAGAGGGTATCTCAAATTTAGGAAATACTGCTGAAACCATCGCTTCGGGTATTGTGGTAGGCAACTCTTTAGCCATATCTGTTGAATATACATCGTTTACAGATTCCAATGATAGGTTTCCTGCGGTTTGGCATGCTTCTGAAGATCTTGTATCAAGCCGAGGTCTTTTTATGCCTCTCAGCTCCATAAAGTTATGGAGAAGAATACTCGTAGCGCTTGTATCGTAACATTTCGGTAAAAGTCTCATGGAGTCATCGGCTTTCCTTCGAAGCGAGCGGCTGGGGCCAGGGCTGTTTCGCTTTTTATAGTAGAACGACTCGCTTCTCTGTGGTGAGTTCATGCGATTGGTGTCCTCGTGTTGCTCCGCAACAATAACAGGCGGCATATCATCTGTCATATCAGCTGGCACATATGCTTCCTCCGGCTCGTAGACTTCTTCAAGTTCTTCATCTCCGATAATGCAAAGAACCTCTAGCTCAGGCCTTATAGTAATGAAATCCAAGCTGCTTTGATGTGATGTTAGATCTTGAGAAAGATATTTTATAGCTGCTTCATTCGAGACACCATGTTCATATGTCATTATTGATCTCCCCTGATCTGGCGGAACAACCGAATATGAGACGTTAACCTCTAATTCCAGATCTCTCGGAGAAGGCAAAAGGTTGAAAATGCTCGGCATCCTGTTTTTTAAAAACTCAAAGTGAGTCTCCGCAGTAGAGCATTGAGCTCTCCAGGTAGGAGGCTGGATACCAAAGTCGAGCAAAGGCACAGGAATGCGCGATATAGAATCTGCTGGATCTAAGCGCTCCTGGCTCACCAACTTATTGGCATAATACCGCCGGTCGTCAAGCAGAGTCATAAAGGCATCTTCGAAATGCCCTCTTTCCTGGAGCAAATCTGTAGCATCCTCTTCAAAGCCTATAAGAGGCAAGCAGATATCGGCAAGAATATTCTCCTGGCGTGGAGAATATGAACTGGTAAAGACAACAGGTAAATCTACCTTGGCTTCTTCGATAACAGCGTTGTGCGTTTCGAAGAGCTGAGGTAGCTCCCTAGTAGGCGACGGGGTCATAAAAGTATATGAGACAATTGGTTCTGAATCCTCAATTGTAGTTCGATCGGGACTATTTGGTTCAGACACGAGGTCAATAACCGTCACATTTCCATCGGGAATGAATGGGGCAGCGTCATCAGATATTGGAGAAAGAGGGGGCGAGATAGGTTCGACGCAGCTGTATTGGGACTATGATTGTATCAGCGATTAGGTCAAAAACTATAAACAAGGCAAAGTTGGCTTACAGGGCCAAATTTAGTTTGTCGCTTGATCAAATCTTGATATTGGAAGGCCGTGATCGGTTTGTCGATTTTTCGCACCAGCTCCGCAGCAGCATCTGATGTTATTGGCTTATCGGTCTCTATTTCTCGACATATTTGGGCCCATAATCTGTTCAGAACAGGCGGGAAACCCAAACTCTCATCTCTGTCGGTCCTCGTACTGGCCAATGGAAGCCATTGTTCGAAAGGGTTGTCATATCTTTTTGCCAAAACTGGGCATATATAATCCTGAAGATCATGCTTGGGGCAAGAGCCCAGATCTAAATCTTCCACGGGAATAAACAACTCTTTGATATGAGAGCTAGCAGATGGTAGAAAATAAGCTGGTGGCGAATTACGAAGCAGATTCTCAGCGTTCAATCGATGATGTTGGTCCTGGTCAAGCACTTCTTCAGCTATCTGCGGATTCGGGAGTACTCCTGCCTTCAGCCCCGGCTGAGAGACCAATCCGTCTCTTTCTGTGGCCTCTTTTGTGCTTTGGAGATCTGTTAAATAAGATTGAAAGGTAAATGGATGCTGTCTGGAGTTTCTGAAGCAATCCTCGCGCCGGCCGTATTCGTCTGGCGTCTCTGCCTGTCCGATCGGTTCGTAATGGTGGAATGCCATTCTAGCTGCTGGTAGTATTTCTTGGCCGTCGGTGTGTCTAAACTCGCATAGGAATATTGAACTATGAAGTGCCAGCATGGATAATCATAATCTTCATTCTGGCCATTGGAAGAAAACATAAAGTCAAGAATGAAAGAACTTGTGTTGGTTTGTGAGGAGTCTACAGGCCTGGAAAGAGCAAAACTAATTGCCTAATGAGGCAAAATGCCATTTATCGATTTTCGGCTTGGATCAATTTTTTTTACCTTTGCTCGACGCAGCAATTGACTTTTGTCTATATGAAATTGGTGCTGGCAAATGAGGAAGCTTACACCTCTATATGCATCCAAAACAATATTCAATACTCTCAGCGAAATAGATTTCCAGTGCTGCATGGATAGCGAGCGCTTTGATTTGCCGGGAATACGCTGATGATGCTGCATAAGCCAAAGTACCCTGCAAAGCACTGAATAGAACTTGCACCAGCTCCGTAAAGACCGCTGGCGACAAGCCACCACCCCGCTAAAAGTGGCTTCCCGCCCCGCCAAATCGAACCCCCAAAGCCCCATCCAAGGTGCTAGAAGCCGCTTACATATAGCGGGCTGCCTATCTCCGATAAGTGATAAGCATGGCGGCTGCGATCCTGGCTTGACGCAATAGCTTCTAGAGGCCGCATCTTGGGCTCTCCATAGCTGTTGTGCCTTTCCATCTAGGTCGTGCTGACCTCGAATAGAGCATTCGACCCTCTTCTACTTGGCAGTATACATACACTCTTCCGCCATGGCCTACGTCGCTCCCGTCCACAAGCCAACAAGCATCAGGCATGCCCTGCGCATCCGGTTTCTGTCGCCTGATATCGAAGACTTGGTGGTCGCGTAGGTCCTTCTTGACGACTTGGAATTGCTCGTGCTCCGTTGACTTACTCGTATCGAATGAACAGAAAGGCAAACCGACTGGAGATATGGCGAGTCACCGAGGAGGGAATGACTTGTCTTCACACAAAAGTCATTCACGGCACCATAGACATGCTTCAGCGGCTGCAGCCCAAGGACTCTGCCACGGATCTTCTGTTCATCGGCACAGACAGACTCCAATACTTCAATGTAGCTTGGAATCCCGAAACAAACCAGCTAGATGCTGTCGAGCAGGCAATAGAAGATACAGCAGAGCCTTACATGCGACAGTCGCAGAGCCAGAATCGATGCCTGGTGGACCCTACGGGAAAGTTCATGGCGATGCATCTCTGGGAGGGAGTGTTGAACGTCTTTCGCCTACGGATACGCAAGGGCTCTACTACGAGACTTGAAGGGCTAGACCAGGTTCGATTGACTGAGCTTTGGATGAAGACGAGCACGTTCCTCCACAGCCGGACCGGCCACCCAAGAATTGCTTTCCTATACAAAAATCAGCTTGACCGGGAGGAAGCTCGCATAGCTGTCTATCGACTGACGGAAGACGATAAAGGCGGCGTTTCGTCCAAGTTTGATCCACAGAAGGATAGAGAGCTAGACCAGGTGATTCCCGACCCCTATGCGTCTATGCTGATACCCGTTCCCGTGTATGAGGAGAAGCGATACCATGTGCGCAACAACGAGGGAGCTAGAGCACACCTGGGCGGTCTTCTCGTGGTCGGAGAGACACTTCTCACATATTTCGATAGCCTCACATACTCAAACGTGTGCTCTACCCTTGACGACCCCAAGATTTACGTTGCCTGGGCCGAGTGCGACGGCACACGCTATTTCTTGGCTGACGATTACGGCCGTCTCGACCTCTTGGAAATCAAGACTACCAACGAATCAACAGGCGTAGTAGTCACAGGCATGACAGTCCATCCGATGGCTTTTGGAGATTCAAGCCGATATACATCAAGAGCGTCGAGCCTAGTTTATATGGGAAATAACCTCTTATTCATCGGCTCACATCATGGCGACTCTCAGTTATTACACGTGGATATCGAGTCCCAGCAAATGACTCTCATTAAAGTGATATCAAACAACGCACCTATCATGGATTTTACCATCATGGATCTCGGCAACAGAGAAGGAGATGCGCAGTCCGGCAACACCTTTTCATCTGGCCAGGCGAGAATCGTGGCTGGTAGTGGTGCATACCAGGATGGAAGCCTACGGAGCATTCGCAGTGGTGTTGGCCTTGAAGATCGCGGGCTCCTCGACGAAATTGAGGGCACTAGAGGACTTTTCACGCTGCGATCGGTGGACTCAGCAAAGGCCGACACTGTTGTCATCTCTACCCTTGCTGGTACTCGAGTCCTCCGGTTTGAGCCAGACAATATTGAAGAGCTGTTTTCCTTCCAAGGCATGGACCTCGAGTCGCCCACTCTTCTAGCTGCAAATCTTCCAAGCGGCCAGATTTTGCAAATAACGCCTCAAGCGGTCAATCTTTTGGATCCCGACAGCGGAGTTTCAGTATCGTCATGGCAGGCACCTGAAGGCAAAACCATCACGGCGGCGTCTGCCAATACCAAATGGGCTCTGCTATCCGTAGACGGATCGATCTTGGTTTCTTTGAATCTCCTAGACAACTTGAAAGCGACTACTAAAGACGCTTCCCAAGACTCGGTGTCTGGGCGACCGGACCAGATATCTTGCATTCATGCAGCGCGCGACCCACAAGACTTTGGTGTTATCGGCTGGTGGACTTCAGGTACGATATCGGTCGTGGATATGGCTACCTTGACACCACTACACGGCGAGCCTCTAAGACAGACTGATGACAGCGCCTCTGTCCCGCGAGATGTGGCACTGGTTCAGCTGCATCCTCCCGAAAGCTCCGGCCCAACTATGCTGGTGGCATTAGAAGATGGAAATGTCATAAGCTTCAATGTTTCTGTTAAAGGCTTTGCGATATCTGGGCGAAAGACAGTCACCCTGGGCAGCGGCCCTGCACGGCTGCACGTTTTACCCCGAGAAGATGGAATATGCAACGTATTTGCGACTACAGAGCATGCCAGTCTGATATATAGCTCACAAGGCCGGATCGTTTACTCGGCGACAACGGCAGCTGATGCAACATTCGTTGCTCCGTTCGACTCGGAAGCCTTTCCAGATTCAATCGTTTTATCGACAGAGGATCACATTAGAATTTGCCACGTCGATAACGAAAGGCTTACACACGTTAAAGCCCTGCCAATGTATGAAACTGTTCGTCGAGTAGCATATTCACCAGGCTTGAGGGCTTTTGGGCTAGGATGCATCAAGAAAGAGCTGGTGAATAACGAAGAAGTAATCACGAGCACCGTTAAGCTCGTTGACGAAATCATCTTCCAAGAGTTGGGGACACCATTCTTGTTGAATGCGTCGTCATCTTTAGAGTTGGTTGAATGCGTAATTCGGGCCGAATTACCCGACGCCAATGGCAACTTGGCTGAGCGATTCCTGGTTGGCACGAGCTTTGTCGCAGATCAAGGCACGGCCGAATCAGGAGAAACAAAGGGCAGAATACTGGTTCTCGGTGTTGATGAATCACGGCAGCTGTATCAAATCACTTCGCATAGCCTGAAAGGAGTATGCCGCTGCCTTGTTATGATGAATAACTACATCGTTGCCGGCCTCACTAAAACAGTGGTTGCTTATAGCTATAACCAGGATACCTCGACTTCAGCCTCCCTAACAAAACTGGCGTCATTCCGACCTGCCTCATTCCCAGTCGACTTGGACGTCTCAGGCAATATCATAGGCATTGGAGATCTCATGCAGTCCCTTACCCTTGTCGAATTCACGCCACCTCAGGACGGCAAGAAGGCCAAGTTAGAGGAGAAGGCAAGGCATTATCAACAAGCGTGGACCACGTCGATTAGCGCGCTGGATGATTCTAGGTGGTTGGAAGCGGATGCTCAAGGCAATGTCATTGTGCTGAGACAGAACCTGGAAGCCCCTACAGAACAGGACCAAAGCCAGCTACAGGTCATCAGCGAGCTCAACATTGGAGAACAGATTAACCGGATTCGAAAGCTGCAAGTTGCGCCAGGAGAAAATGCTATTGTGGTTCCAAAAGCATTTCTGGGCTCGGTAAGTTTATGGATATGCTTACTTGAAGTTGTATGTTCTCAGTTGGGACTAATACGTTTGCCAGACCGAGGGCACGCTTTATCTTTACGGCGATATTGCTCCAAAATACCAAGATCTGCTCATGACATTCCAGTCAAGGCTACAGGAGTACATCAGCACTCCTGGAAACCTCTCTTTTGACCTCTGGCGAGCGTTTAGAAACCAGTCTAGAGAGGGCGAGGCTCCCTTCCGATTTGTAGACGGCGAGATGATTGAACGGTTCCTTGATCTGGACGAGGGCAAGCAAGAGCTGGTGTGCGAGGGATTAGGACCCAGCGTAGAAGATATGCGAAACTTGATTGAAGAGCTTAGAAGGATGCATTGAAAGGGAGATGTAGCCGGCTTGTTGGATTTTGATATATATGAATGATGGATATAGCGATGGTAACGTGATGGTGTTTGCTGCAGTTGGAATTTCCACATCACACAACTCATACAAAAAATTCCATGTTGTCACTGGATAGATATACCTACTTCTTTCCTTCATCACCTACTTGTCTACACCAAATCCGAGCGCCGACACCGTTTGAAACGGATGCTCCACTTCCCCTCCGAATTTGCCTTGCCGCCGATCTTTTGGCCGGCGGGGTATTAGCCAATAATACTGATTATTGTGATTGAGATTTTTTTTTTGTCCTTTTCTCTTTTTAATTCTCGGGATTCTGGTAGAGTCACTCGTTATTGAAGTAAAGTTTTAAACTTGTTTTCTTTTCCATGTTTTGCTTTGTGGTGAATGTTTGCCGTGTTTGGTTCCGTAAGTAGACGGCGATTGTTGACCGCTGCTTGTGAAGACACGGGAATAGGACAGACACTAACTAGTAGTCGAAGAGCAAGACTCATTTTTGCCCCGTACCATAGACAGTAGTACCTATTTGGAACATCAGAGACCAAAAGACGTTGAATCTGTGGTCTAGACTTTTGCTCGAATAACGAAAGATATTACTTGTTGATACGTTTCAAGTCTCGAAATCTAGCTTGGAAAACACCACGCGCCAGCAGCCATGTCCACCTCAGACCTGCCCTCATCCACTTCGCCAACCATCATCCTCACCAACCCAAACCCTCCGGAACGCATCCGCACCTGGACCTACAGCCAGCCAGAATGGGGAAACAGCCTCACCGTGCCGGAATATCTCAACCGCGAGGAGTATCTGCTCACCATCCCGCTCGCCCGTAACGGCGGTATCACAAACTGGATCCTCACAGACAGCGCCGCCGCCGTCGACCCGGACACCGCTGAGCGCCCCGTGCTGGCCTCGTGTGAGACGCTGCGCAAGCGTGCCCTTGTGAGAGGCAAGGATGGGGTTGTCAGAGATGTCTGGGCTCACGGCATTGCCAGTGTCTTCACGTACAGCGAGTTTCGGGGCAGAGGATACGCCAGCAAGATGATTGAGCTGCTGAGGGGGTACATGGCGGCTACGCAGCAGGAGTCCGGCGAGCCAGCCTTTTCCATTCTCTTCTCTGATATCGGCAAAGAGTTTTATGCCAAGCACGGGTGGATGCCATTAGAGAATACCCAGATCGAGTACCGCGTAAAGGAAAGCCCCGTAGAGTTCGACGCATCCATTATCAAGCTGCTTGGCGATGAGGACCTAGCCGCCCTGACTGAGAGAGACGAAGAGCTCATCCGCCGGGAGATGGCTCTTCCCAATTCCTCTGATGCGTCTAAAACCCGGGTCGCCGTCTTACCGGATATTGATACTCTGCAATGGCATTTCTACCGCCAGGCTTTCATCTGCAACACCGCTTACGGCCGCAAGCCCACCGTCCATGGCGCCTTGTACACTTCACCCTCGACCGGCTCTCGCGTCTGGGGTCTCTTTGAGCGGAACCACTACGGCGGCCCCAACAAGCCAGAGAAGAACGTTCTAAGTTTCCTGAGATTCGTCGTTGAAGATGGCAATATTATTGACAAGGAGCTATCTGAAGCCGTTGTGGGAATCTTCCGCGCTGCTGAAAAAGAGGCCAAGGACTGGGAGTGCTCAAAGGTTGAGATCTGGAACCCTCTTGTCAGGGTTAGAAAGATTGTCGAGAATGCAACCGAGTTTGAAAGCATCTTTGTCGTGAGAGATGCCAAGAACTTGGCGAGCTTGAATTGGTTCGGCGAAGGGAATGCGGAAGACCTAGACTGGGTTGTCAACGAGCGATTTGAGTGGTGCTAGGCTTCCATCGCCACGCAGTAGATACGATGCAGTGCAATAGACAGTATATACATGTACACAATCACATAGATAGAAGCTGAAACCAAAAAGTAAAAAGTCATTAAAGTCATTGATAAATTTATCCCTCTGCATTCCCATGTGAAGCATCATTCCGTATGTCATACCACAGGCGTGGTATACATGCCATTTCTTTTTTGTAATACGAAAAACTCCTTCTATGCACCTTCTTATTCTTCATCATTTAGTAGCTTCTGCCAAACATGGTCCAGAACTGTGCCTTGCGCTGGCACTCGGGGTTAAGACATTCAGTCTCGCCGGCAACAACGCCCTCAGGCTGCTCAAAGGGAATACACAAACTCTTCATGCCCATGGAGGGAAGCTTCTGACTCTCAGGGACATCGGGCTGGGTATCTTCGCGGGTAGTAAGCTCCTTGAGACGATCCTCACACTTGCCGTCGCCACAAAAGGGGATCAGAACGACATTCTTCTTGTCCAGGGAGGGGAGAACGTCTTCCCACTTGGTGATCTGCAGGCGGTGCTCTCGGAAGGACTGCTCGGCCTTGTTGTACATGTCCTGCTGGATAGTCTCCAGAAGCTCAGGAACCTTGGTGGCCACCTCGGCAATAGGGATAGTACCCTTCTCGCCAGTGTCTCGTCTGGCCCAGCTGACAACTTCCTTGGCGGCGTCCTTGGGTCCAAACTCAATTCGGAGGGGAACGCCCCTCAGCTCCCAGTCGTTGAACTTCCAAGCAGGGGTGTAGCCCTCTCTCCAGTCAGACTCAGATCGGACACCAGCTTTCCTGAGGGTATCCCTGATGCTATCAAGTTGCTCCTCGTGCTTCTTGCGATCCTCAGGAGTTGTGCTCTTATTGATGCCGACGGGGATCATGACCACTTGGGTCTTGGCAATTCGGGGAGGGAGGACAAGGCCCTTGTCATCACCGTGTACCATGATCATGACACCAATGACACGGGTAGACAGACCCCAAGAGTTTTGCCAGACGTGGATGTGCGAGCCCTTGTTGGCAGGGTCTTCAACGGTAATGTCGAACATCTTGCTGAAGTTCTGACCAAGGCAGTGAGAGGTGGCACCCTGGATACCGCGTCCGTTGGAAGGAATGTAGCCCTCGACGGTAGTGGTGTAGTAACCACCGGCGAACTTTTCATTCTCTGTCTTGCGTCCTCGGACAACGGGGACAGCCAGAAGCTGCTCGTAGACGCCAGCATATAGCTCCAGAATCTCCAAAACTTCCTTTCCAGCAAGCTCCTCGGTCAGGTGAGCAGTGTGGCCCTCCTGCCAGAGAAATTCTCTTGTTCGAAGGAAAGGGGTGGTCTGCTTAGCCTCCCACCGGACAACAGAGTTCCACTGGTTCAATCGAAGAGGGAGATCTCGGTGGCTACGAATCCACTTGGAATAGTAAGGGTACATGACGGCTTCGGAGGTAGGACGAATTGCGACAGGAACTTCGAGGTCCTTGTCACCGCTGCGTTGCATTTAGTACAAACATTTTGAAGATAGACGATGTATATAGCACTTACGCTTTCGTAACCCAAGCCAATTCGGGGGCAAAGCCCTCGACGTGATCCTTCTCCTTCTCCAGTGACTTGGAGGACAGGAACATGGGGAAGCTGGTCTCCTCAACACCCATAAGCTCGATGCGCTCCTGGAACCATTTTCGGATGACATTCCATATATGCATTGACAGAGGACGCAGGACAAAGAAGCCAGAGATTTCTTGGTAGTACTCGACCATCTCGCCCTTGAGGACAACCTCTTGATACCATGCTGGGAAGTTCTCTGCCTTGGTGACGGTGATACCAATGATATCGTCGGTCTTCTTTCCGCCCACAATGGGAAGGGCTGCCTGCTTGGCGGCCTTGGCAGCTTTGTCGGCGGCCATCTTGGCCTGCTTCTCGGCCTTCTTCAAGGCGCTCTTGGAGGGCTCCTTGGGCTGGTCGGCGGCGTTCTCCATGGTGTAGTTTTATAGGCAAAATGCTTTTTCGTCTACAACTTTTGGTAGGCGTCAGTCGAGGCGACAAACCCAGCTTTTTACCCATGAATTTTCCAATTTGAAAGAGAAAGAAGCATACCTTTTATCAAATGACACAGAACTTGCTCCCAAGTGCAAAGATGGTCTAATCCTGAGTCGCTATTGCAGGATGCGCAACGGAAGAGAAGGAGTCAGTCGGCCTAAAAACAGAGTCACGAGAAGAGTCAATGGCTTTCTCGAGGGAGGGCTAATCGGCTGCCCCGCTATCAATGTCCCTCCTTCAGAAAGGAGGGGCAGCGCAGGCCTTACCAGGGTAAATTTCACGGCCCCTAAACGCTTGCCCAATCAGGGCCTGCAGCGCTGTGGCTTTGGGCTTTGAGCGCTGTAAGAGCTGCGCGTTGGGTCTTATCGTAGCGCGGCGCCGGAGCTTGGAGAATCTCTGCTTCCGGCAAAAAAGTCGAGGGGCAGCGGGACAGGTGCCGCCATTACTGAGCTTCGCAGCTTTGGCTAGGTAAGCCAGGGTCGAGTCCTCAAGGCAGAACTTCTTGATATCCTCCACTCTTCCCCCCCATTCCCATTTCATTCCCTTCTCTCCTCGCAAGGCTGCACAGACGGTCAAGCGGCTTAGATCATGTCTGCTCTATTCGAACAGCCCCGGAACGGGACCCTCTTCCTTGGCGGCCAGAAGATTTCGGGATCCGATATTCGAGACCAAAATGGTACGTTGGACCGTTTGTGATGCCTTGGATGGATCCATTAACTGATTGAGCATAGTTCTGGCAACACAAGCCATTGCTAATGTGGTGAAGAGCTCTTTTGGCCCCAGCGGCCTCGACAAGATGATGGTTGACGATATTGGCGTGAGTGCATACACCGACTACCCCTGCCCCTCGATTCGTGTTTTCGAGAGGCTTCTGCCCCTATTCCGACGGCAAAGCAAGCAATACAGACAAAATATAGAATCGCGACGCTAACTTACACTCTGCTGCGAACAGGATGTTACGGTAACAAACGACGGTGCCACAATCCTCACCCTCCTCGATGTCGAAGACCCCGCCGGAAAGATCTTGGTGGACCTGGCTCAGCAGCAGGATAAGGAGGTTGGCGATGGCACAACATCAGTTGTTCTGATCGCCGCCGAGCTGCTCCGAAGGGGTAACGAGCTGATGAAGAACCGCATCCACCCTACCACCATCATCACCGGCTACCGACTTGCCCTGCGGGAGGCCATCAAATTCCTGAGCGAAAACGTCAGCATCAAGGTCGACAACCTCGGCCGAGAATCTCTCCTGAACATTGCCAAGACATCCATGTCCAGCAAAATCATCGGTGCCGATTCCGACTTCTTCGCGGACCTGGTTGTCGACGCCATCCAGGCGGTCAAGATCACCAATAACAAGAACGAGGCCAAATATCCCGTCAAGGCCGTCAACCTCCTCAAGGCGCACGGAAAGAGCGCTCTCGAGTCAGTCCTGATTAAGGGTTACGCTTTGAACTGCACAGTTGCTTCTCAGGCTATGCCCACCCGTGTTCAAGATGCCAAGATTGCCATCCTGGATATGAATCTGCAAAAGGAGAGGATGAAGCTGGGTGTCCAGATCACAGTGGATGACCCCCAGCAGCTGGAGGCCATCCGTGCTCGGGAGTCTGGCATGATTATCGAGAGAGTGGAGATGATCCTCAAGGCCGGTGCCAACGTTATCCTTACGACCAAGGGTATCGACGACATGGTACTGAAGATGATGGTCGAAAGGGGCGCCATGGGTGTTAGAAGATGCAAGAAGGAGGATCTGAGACGAATTGCCAAGGCTACTGGCGGTACCCTCTTGAGCACACTGTCTGATCTGAATGGCGACGAGAAGTTTGAGCCATCATACTTGGGACACGCCGAAGAGGTTGTCCAGGAGCGCATCTCGGACGACGAGTGCATTCTGATCAAGGGCACCAAGGCCCAGTCCTCCGCCTCCGTCATCCTGCGAGGCCCCAACGAATACTCCCTGGACGAGATCGAGCGATCAGTCCACGACTCTCTGTGCGCCGTCAAGAGGACGCTAGAAAGTGGCAGCATCGTCCCCGGTGGCGGTGCCGTCGAGACCGCCCTGCACATCTACCTTGAGGAGTTCGCCGGCACTGTCGGATCCCGCGAGCAGCTCGCCATTGGCGAGTTCGCCCAATCTCTCCTCGTCATCCCCAAGACCCTCGCTATCAACGCCGCCAAGGACGCCGCTGAGCTTGTCGCCCAACTACGCTCCAGACACGCCCTGTCACAGCGCGTCCAAGAGGGCGACGCCAACGAGGACGAGAAGTCGATTGCCAAGAAGAAGAGCTACAAGAACTACGGTCTGGACCTCACCAAGGGCAAGGTCGTTGACGAGATCAAATTGGGCGTTTTGGAGCCTAGCATGAGCAAGGTCAGACAGCTGAAGAGTGCGGTCGAGGCTTGTATCAGCATCATGCGGATTGACACGCTAATTAAGCTGGATCCGGAGCAGATGGAGGAGGATGATGGCCATGGACACTAATCTTTGTGATTATATATGAGAAAGGATTCTTGGGGGATTATCTGGGTATGAAAGAATAGATAAAAAAGAAATAATTTTCATATGCCTCAAAATTGTAATATCTTGTCTGTAAGCAAATCAGTCCCAGATTTCACTTCTCAGTCCAGCTTCCTGCTTTAGTATAATATTTTTATTTTATACAATGCTGCACATGGCTCACGTCTAAGAAACAAGGAATTTGTGTCCCATTCCCAGCAACATGAGACGCCCGTCTCTCCTTCATTCAAGCGCATCCCATCCCACTATAGACTTTGACCGCCCAGAGAGAATCTATGGTTTTTTTCTGATAAATTCCACGACGAATTATAATTTTTCATTTCCCCGGGAGCTGTCTCTCCTCGCCCATTTAGTTTTCTCGCAGGGCCTCTTCATCGATACTGTTACATCGTTTTTTTCCGCGACAGGACAGTTCCCTCCTCTCCCGTCTCTTTTCTACCCCTTCAGACTTTGCACAGAGTTCGCGCTGTTTAACCGATGATAAGCTTGTCATCCTCGGGGAAGTCGTACTCGGGGATCTCCAGGTTCAGAGGTGCGGGGCCCTTTCGTATCCGGCCAGAGATATCGTAGTGGGAGCCGTGGCAAGGGCAGAACCAGCCACCATAGTCACCAGCCTCGCCAATGGGGACACATCCCAAGTGGGTGCAGACACCCAGCATGACCAGCCACTCGGGGCGCTTGACACGGTCCTCATCGGATTGGGGGTCTCGGAGGGAAGTGATGTTGACTTTGTTGGCCTGGTCGATCTCGTCCTGGGTTCGGTGGCGGATGAAGACGGGCTTGCCTCGCCATTTGATAATGACCTAAACAAGAAAGAATTGGTCAGCTTTGGAGCACGCCAAGGTTGAAGAAATTGAAAATTGCAGGGTGTGCTCACGTTCTTGCCCTCGGGGATGGTGTTGAGGTCGACCTCGACCTTGGCCATGGCCAAAACGTCAGCAGAGGCGGACATGTTGACGAGGAATTCTACAGAGCCCCACGTGTTAGCTTCAGCTTTCAACTTGCAGCATTCAAAGCACCCAATTGCTTCCAGCCAGCTTCCAAAAGCTCCAATGGCTATTCACAGCTCAAGGTAGCTCTCCAAGGTTTCCCAATCCCTTCCAAATCCAACACCCCACCTCCCACAAATGAAAGCCTATCAAACACTCAAACCCACCTTGAACAGTGCTCTTGGCTCCAGCGGCGGTGATGGCGCCCATTGTGCCGACCATGAAGTACGAGAAGAGCTTGTTGGAGGTCTCGCTGCCCTTGGACATGTACTTGCTGAAGTCGGGGATCTTGTTGGCCTTGGACTCGCCCTTGAAGGGACTGGTGTATGAGGCTGCTCCGGGAGCAGGGGCGTCGGCCTGGCGCACAGCAGTCGAGCTCAGCGCGCGCACAGCGGGCTTGGCCACGGCGGCCGAGCGCACACACAGGCGGGAAGCAGTTGCGAGAGGCGCCATCGTGAAACACTGCGGAAGAGGACAAGGAGAGAGTCGACGGTGGTGGTTGGTTTTGAGGTCTTTTCGCCCGTTTGCTTGGCTGGGACTGTCTCTGGGGCTAAACTGGGTGCGATGAATTGCCGAAAGTTTTGGTGGTGGCCTGAGGCTGCAACGGTCCAATTGCGCAAAAAAGTGCCTGTGATGGAAATTGGGCGGCGCTGATTCGTCAAAGGCTGGATTTTTTTAGCGGAGCCCCGGCGTCCCGGTCTGTTCCGCTAAAAATCGACTGATGCCGGCCTAGAGAGACGGAGCTGAGTAGATCACTGGGTGAAATCTATAAGCGCAGCTTATATCTGGAATAAATTCATGCTCTTGTCTTAGTATTCTAGCAAGCTTCCTATATGTAGTGTAGACTTTTCTCAATGTTTAGATTACTTATATCGAGTCCTTGTTTTCCTCTCCTTGTCGCAGTATAAAAAACTGGCACATTGTAAATCAGCACAAGCACTGAAATACAGAATGTATATTCCCAAATCTGCATATGCCTAACCAACTAATAAAACCAAATATTCACAGCCCTGCGTAGCATTCATTGATGAGGTGGCGGAGGTGGTGGGGGAGCCTGGCCATTCCACCCCGTCTGTCCGGTTTGCGCTTGAATCTGGCTCATTAACGCGGCAAAGAAAGCGGGATTGACAAATGCTCCAGGGTCAGATGCCTGGCCTTGACCTTGGGCAGATCCAGGCCAGCCTGGAGGCGGTGGCGGTACCGCAGGAATACCACTTTGTTGGCCAGGCGTGGGCTGTGGCCATCCGGGAACAGGAAATCCAAACTGAGGAAGAGAGGGTACCTGGCCGGTAGGAAGAACTGGATTGAAGTTCCATGAACTGCCTGTCGAGGCAGATGCTTGAGGAGATTGGTTGTTGTTCTGAGGAGGGAGAGAATATCCATCTCTGGGTTGGTTATAGCCTCCCCTGCCACCGCGACCTGAACCTCTCCCTCGATTGCCTCGTCCTCGAGAGTCTCCCCTCCGACCTCCTCGCTGGAAGCTTGATCTAGGAGCAGGCTCGTAATTCTCAGCCTGTGGAGCGCCGGTACCATAGCCTGCAGGTCTAGCAAGCGGCGTATATAGCCCGTCATCCTCATCATCATAGTTCAAGCCCCCATCGGCGGACATTTCCTGGCGCAGAGGATGAGGATGCTTCCCCTCCTTTCCACCGCTGCTCTTCCACTTGTCCTTCTTCTTCTGCTTCAGTGAGCGTTTGTATTCCGCTTCTTTTTCGTCGTCTGAAAATTCGATTTCTTCATCAGCAATTTCTTCATCGTGGAGATTGCTGGCGTCTGAGCCCTTGAGGTTTTTCAGAGGCTCTGTGAAAACGTATGACGCGTGGTCGACGGGATAGAAGACTTTTGCGCCAACCTCTAGTCCAAGCTCCTTTACTTCCTCTGCTGAGTTGAACATGACTGTGTACATCGGCTGCAGTACTTTTCCAATTGTTTCTGCAATAACACCAATGACTACTCTCTCTGAATTGCACAAGACAGACCCGCTGTCTAGAACTTGGTATTCTCCTGGAGTGAATGCCTTGACAAGCATGATGTTTTCGACAATGTGTTCTATAACTCCGAGCTCTTCTATAGCCATTTCGGGAGTAATCGTTACTTCTGGCTTGGGAATGATTTCCTCGGGAATCTCATTCTTTGTGCGCACGTACCCAGATCCAGATGATTTCCCTCTATCACCCTCATCATCTGAGCCACCTTCTGTCTCCATGAGTATCCTAGCTGTCTCTTCGATACCCAGAGGCTCATAGCCTTCATTATCAGAATCGTCGTCGTCGTCGGATGATGAATCGGAACTGCTTGAGTCGGATGATTCATATGGCGAGGAATCTATCTCCCATTCTGGGTGCTCGCTCTGGTCGGGCTGTAGAGGCACTGGATCTTGCTCGCCTGCTGGCAGTTGCTGACGTGTTTCGGCATTTTCCAGGCCACCAAGGGCTGCTTCGAGAGCAGACGTTAAGGATGGTGGGCTTCCAGGCTTATCAATCGACATATCATCTGATGTAGCGTGAACGGTAGGCTGTTCGGAGCCTGTTGTCTTGGCTTCTTCGTTGTGTGTTTCTGTTGCCACTAATGCTGGTTCTTCTATAGGTGGATTTGCGTCTTGCATTTCTTTGTCTTCCTCCGCTGCGCTCGAAGCCACAGTGGGAAGATCGGTCGGCAGAGGAGGTAGAACTTCATTGAGTTTCGCCTGGCCTAGCCCAGGAATCTGGAAGCCTGACATCGTAGCGACGATGTTGCACGGCGCTTGGAAAGAGGGTGTGGAAAGTGTTGCGAGGTGCTGATGACAGAGAGGAGGGTTGTCTCAGTTGTAGACTTCGCGATATACAGGCTCGCCGTGTAAAGGTAATAAATGCTCGCCGTTCATATATAGTTCTGATAGTTTTGGCAAAGTGTCAGTGGTGTATGTAGAACAGAAGAGTTGCTCTGCGAACTGATAAAAAAAAATCCAGGTGAAGATAAGGAGTGGGGCCAGGACCGGCTCTAGCGCGGTCTTCACCGAACTTCACCGAATACTCTAGGGTAGCAGTATTCAACCAAAAAAACCAAAAGTCGACAAAAAATCAGCACATTAATCCAGATAAGATACACGACTTGCAGTGTTTTTGAGTATTGTCTATTGATCGTGCGTAAAATGGCAGTTTTTGAGACGATTGCTATTGACACTGTACGTCTGCCCGCAAATGCAAGGTTATACAGTAATTGATTAAGAAGGCAATTGAAATAAAATATGCTGTACGCTTGGCAACTCTAGATAGCCGATCTAATATCTTTCTCCTGTTGAACTACTTGGTTGACATTCGTACCTATTAATATTATCTGAGCATGTTGAAACGCCACCATCTCCTGCACTTCTCTTTGTCGCTATTTCCGCCGCAGCCTCAAGAGTCTCGTAGTGTGTCTCAACATCGAATCCGGCGTCCACTAGTAATCGACTAACCACACAGTATTACTTGGCTTGTTCTGCTTCTACTACATCAATTGACTTATGCCGTAACCATGTCAAACCCTGCGCTGTGTCGAAGTCAACGCTATGAACCTTCCTTAGGTCTGGAACAATGGCTTCCAAGCGAACGACAGGTATTTGGAGAATAGTGCTTTCTCGGATATGCGCAGACAAAAACGATAAATAGCGCCCCTGGTTGCGTGGAAATAATTATGCCCGAAGTAATAGATAAAGACTCCTGGAGATGGGACTTCAATCATTGTTATTCCGGCTGGAGGAAACAGAATTCGCCTCTGGTTGGCGTAGTAAAAACTATGGCCGAAATGATATACGATGACCCTAGAGATGGGACTTCGGTTATTGTTTTGCCAACTCGAGGAAACAGAATTCGCGGTAGCAGCAACAGTGTCTTCAAATGTTTTCCAACGTACAGAACCATTCAAGCGAGTATTCCAAGCCTATTACCACAGATATGGTCCATATCGCCGAGTGGATGGGTGAAAGACGCCAATTCTGGGATCTGGGACCCCGATCTTGGTTTTGCCAATTGAATTGAACAGTAGCCACGGTAGCTGCAGTAGCTGCAGTAGCCAGTTCAAACTCGTCCCAACATATAGCGACCATTTATAAGGTAGTAAAAACCGAGGTCTTTATCAATGACCGTGTCACCCAGGATGCGCATCCTAGCACAATGAACTTCTGTATTGTCCGGTGATTCGCCTCATGGATTTGCTAGGCCTTGACAAGATTCAATGTCTAGATGCTGAATTTCCTTATACAGTTGAGCATAAGGGCACGATATGTTCTCGCTGTCCCGGAAACCGGGTAGGTATTGCTATACACAACTACACAACGATTAGGGAAAAAAGAATTACTGTGATCCAAAATGCGGCGCCAACGGAGAGACATCTGCGAGAACAAGAAAAGATTCCTCATTTGATACACTAACGAGACCAATCAAAGCTGGTAGCTGTCCAGTTATTGATTTTGGGCAGGTTTCAGTAACCATACCAGGATCAGTCTGACCGACTGTCTGAAACGGACCATCGTGTTGGTCGTGATAAATCAGCCAGCTACACAATATCAACAAGGTAATAACACCTGGGAGCGCAGGGTGCTGATGAGATTCCAGAAGCATCGTTGGTCAGGATATCGTATAGCCATGAGTTTGCACAATTTATATATGCAACAATGCCGCGAACGATGATTGATGGGATTCCAAAAGCTGTGTCCACATTGGCCTCTGCAGCCATATAAGCCGGAGTACGCCTAGCATAATATGAACCAGGCATAACCAGGACCAGGCCCGATAGAACCGCAAGCAGCTGGGCTAATTATTCTGGGGTGTAAAAGCCAAGGCCAACTTTGTTGAATATCTGGTATGTGATGTCGGCAGTGAACATCGAAGGCATACCGGTGGCCGTTGCAGCTCTTGGAATTACATGTACTCCTAGGATTCAATCCAGCCGGGCGCACCGAGCATCAGCACGACACAGCCCAAAAAGTTGGAAGCAAGCGCCTATGCCGTTTCTTCAGGCGTATAGTAGCCTCAACATTCTCGTAGTGAGTCTTGGACCCAAACCCAGCGTCCACCAGTGATCATTCCACCCAGATATCATGCATCCTAGCGCAATAAACTTCCGTACCGCCGTAATTCGCCTCGTAGATTTGCTAGGCCTAGACATGATTCAATGCCTGGATGCTGACTTCCTTCAAGTGGAGCACAAGGGCATGAAAACCAGAGATATTCTCCTGGATGTAAGTCGACAAAAACACCACATTGTCCTCTTGGTTGAAGTGAGAGAAATCGCGAGGCAAACGATAAGCGAAAACTCCGGGATATAGGACCTTGATCGTGTTTCCATCAATGGGGCGGGGGGATTTTAGGAGCCAAGTTAATCGTACTGATGTAAAGAGCCCACTCCAGTGAGTATGTAAATGCCGTTGCCAGAGTATCATATAGATATACCAGATTCAACTAGAATAATGGCAGGAACCCCAGTTCACAAATGTCGAATTTCGTCTGTCTGGAGGTCGCCATTCGACGCCACCAGTTTCTGGACCAGGGATGCCTGTGAAACTGCCATCATCGGGACAATCTCAGGAATCTCTGACCAGAAATGTCTGATCTCTGTTCAAGGTCGCCATTTGAAGTCGCCGGTTTATCCACAAGGGCTGCCTGCGATACTGGCATGATGAGAATGACAGCAGGGCGTGTCGGTGATGCGACTCATGACATCCACAGTGAGCAGCGAGGGGATACCGGTGGCCTTGACAGTTGAGTTAGACTTGGTGGTAAACAAAGCAGGTTTGAACATACCGAGATCACAGCGTCTTTGGACCCGCCATACAGCTAGTATAGCGCCAGGCCCGCGAAGGTTGAGTATAGTCCATGCATGGGGTATATCTGGGACATGATCCCGAAACCAATTGACTGGGGAATTACAACAAGGCTCAATGCAATTCCGGCGACAGCGTCTTCCCAAAGGTATAGCCAGTCGTATGACAAGAGCCAAAGTAGCAACGGTAGGAGTGTGAATAGGAGTTGGACGATGGCTAGCAGACTGAGGACATTGTGCTAAACCTACTTTCTGATTGACGAAGGTGTCAGGGGTGAAACCAGCCTCCACCAGTGATCGTCTGGCCTAGAAATCGTCGCTGAAGCGATGCATAAAGACACCTGGATATGGCACCAGAGTCTTTTTTCTGCTCACTGGAGGAGCGAGACATATTTCTTGAAAACTGTCCCAACGTACGGGGACCATTCAAGCGAGTATGCCAGTCCCGTTGTGAGAGATACAATCCATATGAGTGGGCGGGTGAGGAACGGAAATTCCGGAGACAATTGTTGGTCGAGGCAAGCTGATGAACATTAAGTAGATCACGATACCGGCAAGTGAAGCGATGGGAGTATAGGCGAAGACCCCCATCAGGAGATGAAGGGCCATCACCACCATCAAAGCGGCGCTGGAGTGCTGGAGATGTAAAGAAGTGGAGATTGTTGGCTAACGGCAATGGAATACATTGAAAAGAAAAATATTGGAAAGTTGGAAAAGAAAATGAGACATGTTGGTTTGAGAAAAGTTGGGGGGCCATAAGTTTGGTGGCATATCGCTTGCTGGTAACAAAAGATTGGAACTTTTACTTTGAGATTACGCAGCCGAGGCAAAAATGCCATCCACAGCAAGTCAGGCCGCAAGACATGGATGTAAGCTTTCTACCTACACGTGAACTATATAACCGAGCGTCATATATGATATTAATCTAGCTATCTATTTAGGTTGATACCCTCGACTGACCTGGGCATCTTGGATTAGAGCTTGGACAAGTCGAATTGATACCTAATTTGATCAACTCCATGTCCGACACAGCTACAGTCAATTCAACTTCATTTTTTCGCAAGGGATGAAATGAAAATAGACTTCCAGCATATCCCGCAAGGTCCGCTAGCACATTGTTCGGTTAGAAGCATTCTCTAATCTCCAAAAAAAAAAAAAAAAATAAAATAAAATAAAATAAAATAAAAAATAAGCTTAGTTTTTTATTATTAGAGTTAAATGTAAGGTTTATGGCCTTATTTTCTCTCGCAAAAGTTTTTTTCTTATCTGGCGACGCAAAGTTTAAATAGGTAGGAGTCAAAACGCCACGGCCGCGCCCCCCTTTATTGGCTTCTTTTCCACTTCCTTTCCCTTTCCTTTCATAATACGCGCAGTGGCTTTGATGCGATAGCAAACGCTTTCACAGCCACTCGCGGGATGAGACCACGACAGGTGACCTTGATTGGCTTGTGTAAACTAAATTAGATGTAACTGGATAGGTAGAGTGAATCTACATAAATCTGTCAACCGCCTATGCAGGATAGATAGTTTTGTGAGCGTCATGTAGGGCGAAGAAGTAGTAAGAAGAAATTAATTGGTCCCAGTAATCATTTGCGAAATATGATGTTTATTTATAAAGTGCAAATCTATCCTTTCTTTGCCAGTGTTCCAAACTCCCCTAGATGTACTATATACGTGCGGGCCTGTGAGATCACTTATAAAACCTTAATCAGTTTAAGAGAACGTGTCCTCACAGCTTGAATGTCTCATCATGCTCATTCGGCGATTAAGACGATTTTACCGCGCGGTGCTTTCTAAATTAAATAGCTAGACAATGGCTGATATTGGAGGACGCTGATGAGTAGATTAGACTCCCTCCTCTTTCTAGTACTCTTCTAACTTCCACCTTCCTCTTTTCCCCGAAACGCCATTCCAGGCTATACGGCAATATCCATTCAAAATGAAGTTTTTGCATACATTTATTCTGACTGCCTTCATGCTGATGGCCCTTGTCAGTGGCCAATTCAGCAAGGAAGACAAGACCAACCACGTCATAGCTGGAGAGCCAGCTAGGTATCTCATCGCATTGAGCCCTGAGATACAAAGATGGGTAACTGAAGAGGAAAAATGGGAGCTTAGGCTGGTATGTTTCTTTGCATGCCATCATCAGCCCCCTAAATCAATATTCCATTACTGACTCTTCCCCAAATCCGATACAGAGCGGGCATAAGTTCATGGATATCACCGGCGCACAAGATTCAGACTCAGCAGTGGTTAATACCCAAAGCCCATGGGATATCCCTGTCAGATTTCCTTCGAAATGTGTGATGCAAGAGCAGGTGAAAGAGCTGGCAGGCAATCTATCCAAAGATGCGATGCGGGAAAATCTCCATAAGCTGAACGGATTTTACAACCGCTACTACAAATCCGACTATGGGCGACAGTCATCTCAATGGGTCCTTGAAAAAGTCAGGGATATCATCAAGGAGGCTGGCGCCGACGGTGCCGTGACTGTTGCCCCCTTTACCCACCCGTGGCCTCAGATTTCGACCATTGCCAGAATCCAAGGTCGGACAAATGATACCATCATCATCGGCGCGCACCAGGACTCTCTCACTATTACCCCTTATGATACTTCCAAGCTACCGGCTGCTGGCCCTGGCGATGATGGCAGTGGCGCAGTTACCATCATGGAAGTCTTCAGGACTTTGCTCATCGCCAAGGACGTCGCTGGGGGGCTCATGCAGAACACTGTAGAGTTCCATTGGTACAGCGCCGAATCAGTTGGACTCTTGGGCAGCCAGGCAATCTTCCGATCGTATAGACAAGAGGGACGCAAAGTCAAAGCCATGATTCAACAAGACATGGTAGGCTACATTCATGGAGCTTTGAATGCCGGTAGTAAGCCAGAGAGCCTCGCTGTCGTCAGAGATGTCACTCATTTTGACCTCAATGCGTTTATCAAGACAGTCATCGACGAGGTAACTTCTTTTCCAAACGTCTCGTACCATCTGCTTGACTTTCATTGCTGATATCTATCTCTAGTATTGTGATATTCCTTGGATCGATTCAAAGTGCAGTTTTGCTTGCTCTGCCCATCACGCCGCAGCGCAGGCCGGTTATCCTTCTGCATTTGTCACTGATTTCAAGGATCCAGCTTTTGATCGTAAAGATGAGCATGTTGAGACTCGTCATCTTCTCAAGTATATATCATACGATCATATGCTTCAGCATGCAAAAATGTCTTTGGGCCTGGTATATGAGCTTGCGCACTTTAAATTCTCCAACGTCACATCTTAGCTAGTATCTAACCAAATAGCCACTAAACACATTTGAGAAGAAAGATTTTTCATTCACATTATTAGTTTCTTGCGTGCCTTTTTTTATCCTTTCCTTTTCTTTGTCGACGAATGTTCAAGTAATCATTACCGCTACCTACCGGGAGCTAAAATGCTGGATAACAAAATCGGGATGCTAGATGACTTTCCCCTTTGTAATTGGTGACGAAAATATCCTGACTTGATTCTTAGCATTTCCGTTTCAAGAAGTCGTAATTTGTAACTTGGAGAAATATCTCATGCTTCCAAATCTATTACAAGGACAAATTAAATTCTTTTTACTGCATTAGAGACATGGTGCATCAAACGAGGGATCTTATTTTCTTGTTCTCGCAGAAGCCTTACGCCATCTAGGATATTTCTCTGTTGATGCTGCCTTTGAGATTACAGTGATTTTTCCCTTTAAAATCATTGGGCAATTATGCACAGCAATAGCCACCCGATATTCGTAGACAGCGGCGCCTGTAGGATTGTATATCAACCTTACGGTTTCCAATTGCCATTGGCATGTCAATATTTAGTCAACTGGTTAGTCCATCGCGCTCAAGGCTTCGTCACGACCTCCACGCCCGCCTACTCCTCAGAGCATCGTCGTGGGGTTGTGCCTGGTCCGTAGTTCAATGATTGGGTGGATAAGGATATCCAAAAAGAAGAAGAAAAACGCCATGCTCAGCCACGTTGGGTCCAACAACGCCAAATCATCTTAAATCACTTATAAGTGTTTAAGAAAATGTTTTCCCGCCGATGATAGAGTTCTCCGCCGATGACTCAACAACGCAACCCTGGAGCAATGAAAAGGCCGCCTATACGGAAGGTTGTTCATACCCAAAGCTTGGCATTGCATCCAAGACCACTGGCCGTATTTACGGGGCCAGTAAATCTCCCCTCATGGCTTGCGCTTGGGATATGATTGGCTGGAGATAGGGGGGATGGAATCGCACTGTGTGAGGAGGGAGCATCAGCCTTGGACCTGATAGAGGAAGACGGGAAGAGTCAGCGTGACTGATACGGCACCGCATTGCATACATTGGCGGCATCCGAGCCTCCATCTTCCCCTAATTGACCGGCCAAGGTGCAGCTCCAACAGAAACAGACAGACTCCATCTCGCGCGGGCAAAGAATCACCTGTATCATCGCCATCATCACCATCATCACCCATCACCATGGCCATATACAGCGCTGTCCCGCCGCCTCCTGAATCGCCGCCTCCCAACCAGGCGACGGCCAACGACATCTTCCCTGCCACTGCAACATCCAACGCTGCCATCGACATCGAAGCCTGGACTATCTCGGCGCTCCAATCGCTCAGCGTCTCGCCCATCGCTCGCGGCACCGGATCTCCTCTGACGATTCCCCTCGATGCCCTCCAAGCGCCCTCCAAGCGCTCAATCAGCCGCCAGCAGGTCACGATAGTGACTTCTTCGGCAGAGGCGGCCCTTGTAACGCCTCTCCGTCGACCGCCCTCTGCGCGAGACAGCCAGAAGCGCAGGGAAGCCATCCTCAAGGGCAAAGAAGGTAGCCGGCAGCGTCGGCGATGGGAGAATGGTACGCATTAAGCCACTGCCGCTGCTAAGCCCTGGTTTCAAGGCACATGTCAAACACAGGTCGCTGATGATGAAGCTGATGCAGATCGCCTCGTGGACGTCCCCAACGTCCAGCCGCCCGAGCCCATCGATTGGGAAGTCCATCCCACGCATCCCATCCACCGAGTCCCCTACCAGCTCGCCCAGTTCTGGGATCACGGCGTCCGTCAGCGCATCCAGGACAAGACGGCCAAGCTGCAGGCCGCTCGCAAGAAGCAGCAGCTCAAGGCCGGCAGCGCCACCGGCCTTGGGATAGGGGAGGTGCCTCGCGACCTGCGAGAGTCAACCAAGCGCAGTCCGGTCATTCGGACGTGGGTCAAGGCGCTCGAGGAGCCGGTGCGGCAGTACATGGCCAACGAGCGGCAGAGGCGACGGGCCGAGGAGCAACGACGACAGGCTGGCAATGGCCGCGATGAGGACGTGGACAGCGCGGCGGAAGAGATGGACTCTGATGATGAGGAGATTGTGTTTGTGGGTCGGAATGGCAGGATGAGAGACATGCAGCAGAAGAGGGCGGCTGCGGCTGCGGCGCAGTACAGGATGGCGCACCGTGAGGTGTCACAAGAAACGGTTGATTCTGGACTGCTCTTTGATTCGTTTGGCGACGATTTAGAGACTGCTGCTTTCAAGTCAGTTGAAACCTTTTGCCCCTTTTTGGCTATACATCGTATGCGTCCAAAACTAACCAAGTGCTTGCTTCCATTTAGGCGATGGCTTGCGCATGCCATTGCAGATTATTACGGCCTCACGTCCAGATCAGTTACCCTGGCCAACGCCCAAAGAGTCGTGTACGTTGGCCTAAAGCAAGCACCACGGTTGCAAAAGGCGGTTCCTCCTCTCGTACAGCTGCCACGGCCCCTGTGGGAGATTTGCTGAGCTGCAGAGAATTGTGGTTTTGAAGAGAGCAGGCTGTAGAGATTTGGGTTAAACAGGACCTCATATCTTTCATGACGCATGCTTGCTGGTGGCTTTGCCTTTTTCTTCTTCTTGGATATACTATATGACTAGACGTATATGATATTGGTCATTCATTTCTTCTAGATGATTTCGAATAGATGGGGGTGTTTAGAGGGGCTTTACATGCATTTTCTTGATTTTTCTCAAGATTTCCTTCTTCCCTGGATGTCTATGGATATGATAACGATATCTCCTCAAGCCTACAATGTAGCCAATTTTGTTCTAGAGTGACTCCCGTAGGCCGACATCTGGAGCGGTTCAACAATAGCACATGCTAATAAAGGCAAGGCAATTTAATATGGCGCAAAATCCACAACCATCAATCGCGCAGCACGGTAAATCTTCTTTTTCTACATGTACCTAGGTACGCTGGGATGATCATTCCAGAGACCCAGATAGCTCAGCCTATAAACAGTTTTCGCTAGTATCGCAGCAAGCGGCTGGGAGGGGCAAACCAAGGCCTTTTGTTGTACTTCCCTATGACGTATCGCATATTTCCACTCGCATGCTGTAAGGATACGAGATCTAGGTGACAGGAGCAAAGCAGGGGAGAGTGAAGTGATAATACATCGAGAAAAGCAACCTAATTAGTCGTTTTAGACAGAAACATTTTTTCCAAGTTGAAAACGTTTGGAAGCCAGGGGCCAAGTACGAGGCTAGTCTCGCTACTTGGACAGTCGAACATTCGTTCTTCGTCGGCATAGTCTATCTGCCTAGATAAGTATTATAGATAGCCCTAATTTAACTTTATAGTTGTATTTTGCCAATCATGCTACACACAGATAACTACATGTATGGCTAGTTCAATATCTGCCTCTCCAAAACAACATTGAGCATCGCGATCCAAATTATAGCTTGTGAAGTAGTCGTGTTATTTGAGCGTTGTTAATATGGGATGGTTTGTGCATTCCCACGCCGGAAAGATCATGCGTTACAATCGAGCTAGACATTTCTGAGGCATCCTATACATCTCGAGTTTATCTCTATGCTAACAAGTTATCCTCCAAAAGAAAAACATCAGATCCAAGATATTATGCGCGCCAAAAAGCTCATGCTATCAGTCCTGTATTATACCGTGCTTCTAGGTTGCCTTGGGCGAGGAAGAATGGAACAGAGTTTGTTTCACATGTTATTGAATTCTATGGTTGGCTCGTAATTATACAGTAGGGAATTGCCCAAAGCGAAATGTATTGCAATGCTAGGAATCGAAACTTGTTGTTTTCTTCTTGTTCTTCGTATCTAGCCTAGGACCAGCTCGTACAGGATGATGAGCGTATTGACTATAATCAGTGGCGCTATAGACGGTATTAGCTTCGTAGCTCTGTGTGGCCCCCAAACTTTTTGGCGCAAGTAGCTGCCATTGGTAGTGTATACATGTACATGTATGTATACACAAAGAACAACAAGTAAGGGTCAGGAGAGATGGAGGAACGTACGTCTCATAACCATGCGCACACTAGCAATCAGAGCAACGAGTTTCGCCTTGACGCTGTTTGAGTCGGCGCCGGGGCCAAATGCAGGATCAAAGGTGGTCGGTGATAGGCCGATGCGCGCGAGGAAGCGGTCGTCGGAGAGGATGGCGAGGGCGTTTGTGAAGAGGCAGAGGACGTAGACGAGATTGCCTAGGAAGAACATCTTGGCGGTTACGTCTACCTGGTGTTTCCTCTCTGTGTGTGCCGCTCTCCTTTGGCTTCGGTGTTATTGCGGTTCGACCCCCTCGTTTCTTTTAACTTTCAGCAAAGTGGAGAATAGAGAATAGACGATAGATGCAAAGGCTGGGAATCGACCGTTTCAAAGGGCGGGGGCCTTGGTCGTTTTGCGATTTCAAGGAGTGGACGAAGCTGAAGCAAGCGAGTGACGGTATTGAAGCGAGTGACGATCTGATATCGCGTCCAAGCTGGCCACTTTTCGGGGGGCTGAAGCTAGTGCGATAAGGACAGCTTATCGGAGCTGGAGAGTTTGGAGTACATGTGGAGTCATGTGACTGCAATAGCTTGAGTCACAACTCGATGAGAGGTACGTACCCAACCTTGAACGGCATGTTGCTCTGGGCTTGATACACCACAAAGTAAACAAAACATCGAAATGTGTGCTTTTCACGAGATTGTAATCGCAAGGTATGATACAGCGTATATCATGCATCTTCAAGTTTCTAGTTATTTGTGAAGTATAATAAACTCGTGGTATTCGCTGGCTACAAAACAATGGATTGCTTGATATCGTGAGTCAGCTATCTATGACCATTTCCATTTCGCCTAACTCGTCCATATCACCCAATTTGACAACATCCATTGCCTCTACTTCGCCCATGTCATCGAATCTGGTATCATCCATCTCATAAACGATATCCATTTCATCTTCGGCGTCGATGATGTATACATCATCAGCGCCGTCTTCATCTCCCGTCTCATCCATCTTATCAGCCTCATCCACACTTTGTAGCCATGGCATGAGATTTGCCATTTCCGTAATAAAAGCTGCAGAATAGAATCTTGCAGCATTGTCTGAATGATTCATACAAAGTAGATGCAGTCTGTCGAGAAGATTCCGGCAGATATCAACGCCAGTCGTGTAATCGTCGACTGGCTCACTGGCTGGCTGGCCATGGAAGAAACAGGCCGCCGATCCCCCCCTTGGGTACAGCATTTGTTGACCGAAACAATTCATGGCTGATAGTGCCATCTAGGAATTCCTTGGCCGTATTATTTGTAGATGGAGTAAGTGTAGCTGGGCCAGCGTATATAGCAGATTGCTGGTGGAAGAAAATCGTATGCGTGTGCTGCCGTATGATCTTGGATAAGAGCAGATGTTAGCAAAAGGCGGTGCAAATAGCAGTCTGTTTATGATATGAATTAGTCGTTGCAGGCTAAATAGAACAGTTATATTGAATAAACAAATGGAATCCTAGCTAGGCGATCTACTTTATATATGCTTCTGATCGCAAAGGTCGACTGTTCAATATTAAACTCAAGCATTTGGTCCAGAATAACATGTGTAGTAACAATGCTATGGAGTATAGCAATAATGTCTCCACTGTTCATCGTAAAACCTACACTGCGTCGAAAGGAGGCTTTGATACAGTATCATTTTAGACTTTAAGGAAAAAGCCTACCAGGTCATCGGTTTAGGTGGCCCAAGCCCGAAGTCGCATGTTGCATTGGGTAGTAAGAACATATAAAGTTCCGTTTGTACCTAGGTGGCACTTGCGAACAGCAGCCAGGTTCAGTTCTTTCTTCTTTCGCTCCATCGAACAATCCTCCCTCTCAAACGGAATCAAGCTGCGCACTCAAAAGGTATCAAAGGAAAGGGCTTCCGAGACAAAGCGCCCAAGTTTCTTTGTATTCAAAACAAATCCCATCTCTCATCTCCATTCTCGCGCTTTCTCTTGTACGTCAAATGAACAGAAAGATTCTTATGCGCCCCCAAACTAAATATCGCGCAGCTTAGATCAGAATTCTCATATCAGAAAGTATGCTCAGTCTCGCAAAAGCCTCTGCGCCGAATACCGCCAAGAAGAGGCAGTTGTATTCGAAACTTGATGCCGGCGTCGATTCTAAAAGGCGCCGATGTGAAGCCAACGACAAGGTCCGAAAATCGAACGTCAAGGCCCAAAAGTCTAACAACAAGGCCCGAAGATCTCACGCCAATACTGCAGCTCCAGCAGTCGCCTCATCCAGCTTGAAAGTAACAGAAACCCCGAGCGCCGGAAAGCAGCCCTCTGAAGAAGAGCTATGCCGCGGTCGCAGAAGATGGCGAGCTGGCAGCGAGCCGCAGGGCTGGGATGAGAAGGAGTGGCATACCGGTGATGGCATGACCGCAAGTATCGAAGACAGACCCGAGAAGCCCAAGAAGCACGATTCTAAATCTACGACAGACGCGTCGACTTCGTCTCATGATAGCGATGAGGAACATCAGCCGTTCGATTTGGCGTTTTTTGACGAATCTTCTTGCGAGAGTGAGAGAATCCAGCCATCGTCGAAAGCACTAGCGGCTAGTGTGCAAAAATTGAAAATGATCCAGCACAGCGGCAAATGAGCAGGTTCTTCACGAGCGACATTCAGTGCGGCACCCAGAAGCAGCAAAGGTGGAAAATCTCGACCATGAGGAGCGGTAGTTAGAAATCCTTGGAGTAATCGCGGGTGGAGTTTGCAGAACTTGGGATCTCAGTGTCTTCGACTCTGTGTGGGTCTATTTCGGCTGGGTATTGGGTATCATATCTTTGGTGTTTTCGGGAAAAGAGTCAGAAGCCGCATGGCGTCTTATCGGTAAAAATATCCGCATTTTTTGACGTCGTATAGCTTGGATTCATTTGTCGTAGCAGCTTTTGAAAGAGAGGCAAATATGATTTCTACCATGGCGCCTTTTTTCTTGTTATGCTTGTTGATGACTGTTGCGATTGGGTCTGCTGCGCTTAAAGTCCCATGTCGTCGTCGCTTAGATCGTCATCCATATCCTGGCCATTTTCCTCTTCCTCCTCGCGGCGCATGGTTTCAGCACTTGCACCGATTTTTCGAATGCCTTCGGCCACTCCAGTGACAAACCCCCTGCTCTCAGCCAGCTCCATGGCCCCGACACCTCGCAGACTCGTGACGCCTTCGCCGTGGCTCTCGGGATGTGTGACTTTAGATCTCATCTTGGCAGCTCGGGCTTCTTGTAGATCTCGTAAGAGGGAGCGGACTTCAGAGGCAGATGGGATATCATCGCTGGCATGGGCGAGGAGCATCTCGGCGAATTCGAACCAGTGGTAGGGAAGAGCTCCGGCCGGAGCTGAGGAAGTGCAAGACGGTAGAAACGGCGGCGATAGTATCACGTCATCTTGGTAGGGATTGAGTCTTGTAGAATTGCCTCTGCCATCGGCTCGGACAGGCGGAGGCGGAGGGGGAGCCCAATCCTTGACGTCGACAGTCGTCTCGTATGCGACGATTTCGCGTAGGGATTCGGGATGGAGCCATGCAGGGGGCACGATGTTGGCGCGTCGCTGCTTCTTGAGGAGGATGGCGAGCCAGAGGGGCAGATCGGCTCGGTGAGGCGGCCGGAGTCGGGGAGTCGAGCCCTGGGAATTATCACAGCTGTTAGAAGGAGAAGAGCCAAGCAGTCGTAATTGGGGCTGGACAGAGCTGCCCTACCGAGAGGAGGTCAATGCTCTCGAGCCGCTGTCGTGGAACGACGGTGACGAGCTCCATTTCGCACAGAAACGCCACCTCCGAAGGCACCAGGCCCTGGGGCAGAGGCAGGGCCATTTTGCGTGTTTAGCAGCAGGCAAATGGCAATGGACAAGTACAGGCCCAACGCAGCTAATGGACGGGCGAGGTTGAAAATATCCATGCTGCCCCTCCACACTAAAAGTGCTAGAAGCTGCGGATGCTGGTTGACCCACTCGCTGTTTAGATCCAGATCCAGATCTCGCTGGGCTTTAGATCAAACGATCAAACCATACCAAGCATCTGGGGATTTTCTCTTATTGGTGAGTAAGAGCTTTTTGTATTTCGAAATCGCTTGAAGATTTCCAACATACCTAAATTATAACTTTGGCATTGATAATCGGCCCTTGGTAATTTTTTTTTTTTTTTTTGGCAATCCCCACGCGGGTGGCAGCTATATCTCGGGCGGCTCATTCTGATTGGATTCTACGCAAAGTATCGTCACAATGACCATATGGAGATGCAGATTAAAATTCTGAGAATCGTGAATGGATGATTGCGTTGTCTAGAACTGTCTAACATGTTTCACCACTACATGTCACGCATCTTGGAAATCACAGAGTTGCGGACTGCCATTTTTCCAACAATTGCGGGATTCTTATATGGGATTCTTGTATCTTACGTAGGCTTCTAGCATTGAGACTTTATATGATAGGTCAAATGTTTCTTGCTGGCAGATGGCCAGTCTCTCAAAACCAAATCAGAATATCCTTTTAAATCGAAACGTCATCAAAGCTGGCAACTGCGTAAAATTTGCCGTCGCGTACAGTCTCTCAGGAACGACGTCTTCTTTAGTGAAATTCGGCTCCTCAAGAGCGTCCATAACCAAGCCTCTTTTGAAAAAGGCTCCAAGAAGCTCATGTAAGGGACGGTGAAAGTAAAACTGTTACCATCTGTTAGATTTTCTTGATGGCGTCTTCTTTTTCGAGCTGATTAGGCTTTTCACAAGCCTTCAACCTACCTGCGGCGTTTCTTGCCCAACAACGAAAACGCCTTTGCAAGGTTCGACATGTAGGTATTCATGTACAACTTTGCTAAGGAGGATTTCCTGATCGCCTGTGCGAGGGTTGATTTTGATGTCGAGGTTGCGCGAATGGGTAGAGGTGAAGAAGGCTGGATGGAGGAGGGTGGCAACGAAGCTATGAAGTTCAGCATGAAAGGAAGTTGTCTACTGGGAGAACGTTTGAAAGCAAGTTGATGAATATTCAAAACACTTACACGCCGTCCTTGTGGAGTAGTTTTAGCAGCGCATCTGCGAGGGGATCAAGAGTGGCGACATCCATAATGGCCATGTTCATGAGCACAATATCGAAACCGCCAATCTGTTTTTCTCGATTAGAACCATGGCGGTTAGCGAATGGTTCCTCAAGATGATAACCACTGCACACAGAAAAGAAAGGAAAGCAAACAGTAACGAAGACTTTAAATTATCACCTCTGCAGCCTTTTCCACGAGGGGCACAAAGTCATTCGCATCCGTCACGTCCAGCTTCCGAAAGGTAATCTTGCCAGCCCTATCTGCGTCGAGATGAGTTTTGGCCTCCTCCAGCATGTTGAATGTGCCGTCCGTGGCGATGACGCTCGCGGCGCCATTGTCTGCGAGCCAGCGCGCGCAGAGGCCGTTTCCCGTCGCCAGCTCCAGGGCAGCGCAGCCTGGTTTGCTGAGGCTGGGGCCGAGGAGGCGTCGGAGGGAGGGCTCTTGGAGGCGTTTCCAGTACTTGTTGCCGTGCTCGCCGATGCCCGAGTTCCAGAGCGACGCGTTGGTTTCCCAGAGGGAGAGGGCTTCGTTGCGGAGATGAGGGGCTGACATTGTTAATGGACAAAGATTGATGGTCAAATTTTATATCTATCTCAATTGCTTATTTTTTTTTCTACGCTGATGACGGTTTGGGATTCTTAAAGAAAAGGAAAAAAGAACAGGAATTATTTCATTCGTAAGTAGGTAAAGTACATGTAAATGCGGCTAGGCATTACTGAAGGCTTTTCACGATGCTGTGTTTTTGCCGGGTGAGTCAGTCGGCGATGCAAGAGGTGATCACACTGGGAATATGCACCAATGAGGAGAAACTTGGCATCTAGATTGAGATTAGATTGCAGCGCTACTGCGGCAGCTTAAATTCTTTTTTTTTTTCCAACTCTGTCTGCCTAACAGTATTTGTCCAAGACACAAGTCGTAAGGGGAGGGGCTCGATCTCGCCATGCCAAGAGGGGCGTAGGTAGGAAACTAGCCTTGAAGAGAGACTGAAGAGATTGATGTTTGCTGCATGTGATGTTACGGAAATTAGTCCTTCTTTGAAACTGTAACTGCATTGTAGAAGAGAAGATGTTCTATACTCCTGTGCCGTATTTAGGATGAGTCCGACTATATGGCACCGGCGCCGGCCTTTATTTCCACACCCGGGGCCCGGGATGCTCTCGCTCTTTAGACCATCCGGAGCCGTATAGTATGGCAATAGGGCATCACAGCGATGAAAATAGAAAATAACAGTATTCTAGAAAGCAATATGCATCATTTCAATATTGGCTGTTCGATTCAATCTCCCGTCCGATTGAATCTTTGAGCGTCTTACAGAACCTCTACCATTTCTGCATACAGATCAAGTCGGCAATGAGATAATCCAAAGAATGCAAATTCCCCCTTCTTAAGAAGCGCTATTGAGCTAACTAGATATCTATTAATGGTATCAGTACTGGCTCTCCTACAACAAACCTTCAAATCGTCAACGGGTCCAAACAAACACCTAGCAAAGACGTTCAAAGAAAGAAACCTGATATCGCTCCAAAGCCTACTGGAGTTAGCTCGATCATTGTCTTTGTCGGCCTCTTTCTTGCCGCCCTTTGCGTTGGACTTGTACGATCTCTTTACTCCTCCTTAGCCTCCCTTATTTAAACATGCATACTTGAAATTATTCATCTCTCTAGGATCGCACCATTGGCGCCACTGCCATTCCCAAAACCACAAGCGACTTTAACAGTAGGCAGCGAAAAAACGAGAGAACAAATTGTCGAATTACCATTAAGTCTTGAAACGTAGGCGAGAAGCATGTTTTATTTTATACAATGATAGATTTCTATCAATGAATTGACATTCGCATCTTAACTCGTTGGCTTTTTGTCATTTCTTAGCAGCGTTAGGGTAGCTCGGGTAGCAGTGGCGATGACGTTTGGTGTACATAGTTTCGTATGAGCATTCCCTTGGTGCTACGTGTAATGCTTTCCAATACAAACTCGCAAATAGATATTTATGAAAAAGCGAATAAGAAAACGGTATAATTGCTCTCTGAGAAACAGCATATTTCCACAGATGCTCGCAATCTCACTGCTACCCAAACAGAACCCCCACTCTCCGATGTCGCCTCCAACAACGGCCGCCAATCTCATGTCAAGCGTCGCATCCAGCGAATCATGGCCGCGCTGCTAGCAACCGCCATCCCGGGGAAGCGGGTCGCAGATGCGGATTACTATGGAGCGATGCTTATCGCACTAATGGCAGTGACGCGATCGCCCATCGAGGCTATCGCCATATGTCGGTCTGTTCGGGGTCGGTCCGCTGATAAGGCTGGATCATCTCGTCTTTCTGAGCGACATCGTCCTTTGTTCTTGGTGATTGGCAATCTTGCTTGGTCCATCATCGCTGCAAAAGCAGGCGACGGCTCGAAGCTGCAATCTCGACTATCCTACTATAGTGGGCTTAACGATCGAGCTGAGATAACCACAACGACATCTAGCAAAGATGGCGGACAAGGCTTCTCCTATCAAGAGTCTTCCTAGCGAAGTAAGAATGACAGACGAGTTATCAGTCGTATCAAGACTTGAATAACTAATACGTTGCATCACCACTACAGCTTCTAGCCAGTATACTGGGCGAGTTCAGCACCAAAGAGCTCCTCCCAGTCGTCACCGTCAATCGCCGCTTCTGCTCTATAGCTACCAAGATTCTACACCGACGCCTTGTCGCTTCGCCCTCACGCTCAAACCACGGCGTCATCCTCGAATGCTACCACCCAAGTGCCAAAATATCCACGCCCTATCTGCGCTGTCAATATCTCGGCAACGCCACCTGCGATGGACCCTCCATCGACGAGCGGGACCCTAGCTTTGTGGGCCTGCGTAGAATATACTCGTGCTTTCGGCCGGTTGTTTTGGAAAGTAACAGGCGCAGGAGGTTCCGCTATGGGTGGTCCGTAGAAACGATGGGAGGGAGCGTGCAGCTGCAGATTGCCGCTGACGACGAGGAAGTAGAGGACACGGCCCATCAAGAAGTCTACTTGGACGAAGGGGAGCGCTTCTCTCAGCTGTGCGCCGTGGCAAATGTCGTTGTCCACGGCTCTCGGCCGGGACTCTTTTCGCGGCACGTCAATTTCAGCGACGGCGTCATTCGCGTGTTTAGAGAGTGGCTGGCCAGCATGCTGCCCGGCCACTCACCCTCCCACGCTGAATCTGGGGCGTCCTCGTCATCGTCCGCCGCCGCAACGGAAGCCTCCATCTCGGCGGCTGGTTTGTTTTCATCAGACGATAGCCGCGTCTTGTGGGTCGACACAACAAAGAACGTTGGGATCCGATTCAGGGTGACGCCAGGGCCAGAGGCAAGGGGAACCATCTGGGAAGATGAGCCACCCATGTTTTACAATCTGACTTATGAAGGTTGGTACTAGTAGCAAATGCCCTTGTGGAGTCCACCTCTGGCTTAATGGCGTATACTGACGTTGAGTGATGAATAGAATTGGTTGTGCGGACGAGCACGCTGCTGCTGGCTATGGATGAAGCGGATGTGCAGCATGTGGCGCATTCTGGAAAAGACGTTATCATTGCTCCTTTTACGATCCTCTGAGTGTGAAGGGGAGTTGTATTTGTTACGGCGTTATTTGGTGTTGGAGTAGGATGTATGTTTGACATGTGTACTTGAAAATGGCTGACACTCACTTGAATGATGGATGCATATTCCCGTGGCAGTAACCAAAATAAAGCATTTTTCAGCCACAAAAAAAGATGAAGATCTGCACAAGGGTTAAAGTAAACAAATTTTAACCGGCGACCTATTGTCGACATGTCTTACAGCAGTATTTCTTGCTAGACATCTCAGATGCAAGAAAGCTAAATGTCTAAGGGCGGCATAGCTTACCGTATCTATTGGAACCTAAAGTTATAATTCACCTTTCTACTAGTGCTAAGAATAAATGTCTATAGTCCTAACCTTAGGCTGTATTTAGTAGTGGAAATAGTTTATATAGGGTTTTTGTTCTAGTGGTTGTATAAAGGTTTTTCCTTCAAGGGATATATAGGACGACTAGAATTAGCACCTATAGACCTGTAATTTAGGCCTTAGGCAAGTATTAAATAATTAACATTATAATTAATTATTTAATCTCAAAAGGTTATAAGAAATAGGCATTTCCTTATAGGTATCAAACCTCTCTAAGCCAGCATAGCCTTAAGAACCTTAACCTGCTCCAGGACACGTGCCCGACTAGTACCACCCTTGGATGATCTCACCTCAACACTTTTCTCATAGTCAAACGTCTGCGAAACATCCTCCTCAAACCGGCTATCAATAGCCTGTAGTTGCTCTAGTGAGAGCTCGTTCATCGGGATACCTAGCTCCTCGCTCTTGGCGACACATCGCCCAGAGATATGGTGCGTCTCACGAAAGGGTACACCCTTTCGTACAAGATAATCAGCAAGATCAGTAGCCAGCATAAATGGGTCTAGGGCAGCCCTCATCCGCTCTGGCTTAACGGTAAGGGTAGCGAGGATACCATTTGCGATCTGAAGGCTATCAGAGATAGTCTTCACATGATCCAACATGGGTTCCCAACTTTCCTGCAAGTCCTTTTGATATGTACTGGGTAGGCCCTTCTGGGTCATCATAAGGCCAGCCATGTGGCCAAATGCTCGACCAGCTTTTCCTCGCAAGCATTCTAAACCATCTGGGTTCTTCTTATGCGGCATTAAAGAACTTCCAGTGGAATAAGCATCAGCAATAGTAATAAAGCCAAACTCTGAAGAGCAATACAGGATAAGATCCTCGGCCCATCGAGATGTATGTTGCATAAGCATGCTACCCCATTGCAGAAATTCAGTGACGAAATCTCTATCACCAACAGCATTCATGGAGTTCCAGAGGAGGCCTGTAAAGCCCAGCTCCTCAGCCATCATATCGCGATCGATATTGAAGCCATTGCCAGCGAGAGCACCACAACCAAGTGGGCTCCTGTTCACACGCTTTGAAGTCTCGCGCAGCCGCTCAAGGTCGTTCGCAAAGTAAAAGCCATATGATAACAGATGCTGTGACCACAAAACCGGCATGGCACGCTGGAGGTGGGTATATCCAGGCATGATAATGCCGCTATCAAGGTCAGGAAGGTTACTAGATTTGGAGGATAATCAGACTTACACCTCGGCCTCAGCGCGGGCGGCAATAACCTCAATGAAGGCAATCAGATGGCCCTCAATCTCCTGCATCTGGTTGCGAAGCCACAGACGCATATCACAGACAACCTGCTCATTGCGACTACGACCCGTATGTAATTTGCCAGCAATATCCTTGCCAATAATCTCACTGAGCCGGCGCTCATTGGCAGTATGAATATCTTCATCATTGGGCATGATAACAAAGGTATCTGTTTCCCACTCCTTCTGAACCTCCCGGAGACCTCTCTCGATTTCAGTAAACTCGTCATTGGATATTATGCCAGATTTGGCGTTTGCGCGTGCATATGCAATGCTGCCGAGGATATCTTCCTTATATAGGAGCTTGTCGTACTGAATACTCGCATTGTATTTGTGCATGAGGGGATCGAGGCCGCCTGTCATTCTGAGGTCAGCACATTGTACTTGGACTTCCATGAAGAACTAACCTGTGAAGCGTCCACCCCAAAGCATGTTTTCTGCAGGTTTCTCAGATGCCATGATGTACTGCGTTCTTATCTGCTAGAATTGAGTACAATGATTTGAAAAGAATTAGTTCGCATCTGCTCCGATATCGTGGTCGATTTTTGCTGGATTACCTAAGAAGAGAGGAGCTCTGTGTGGTTAGGTTACGTGGGGCTTTGTGACCGGAAGAGTCAACGCGGGTAGTCACGTGATACTTGCGTCCCCGATCTCACCACCAAGTTTACTATGTAAGTGCCCAAGAAAACTTCATTTCTTTATCCGGCGCGGTCAAGGTTAGCTCTCATCTCTTCCTTGCTTTAGAATGGAAACAATTGCACCTCAGAACACTACACTTCTAGGATTATGATTCAGCGCAAAGATGACTTCTGGGTTGTTGCTAGCACCCAGAGGAGAGCACAGTCATCCTCCAATCCACCACTATAACCCCAGGGAGAAATGGAGATGCCCTGCTAGTCAGTGCAAGAGAGTAATGCCGATGAGTGAAAGGGAGACACTATTTGCGGGCCGCCACTTACGAATTGTTGGCGGTGCGGATTGCGACTTCTTAAGAGCGAACAAGTAGTACATGTAAAGATCTACAAATAGTATCGATGCAGCAAATGCAGGAAAAATGGCATTCTTCGAACAGAGACGGATAAACACTCCCTGGAATGTACCGGCCAACAATTATTTTCTTACCACAGGTGCCGCAAGTCATTCGCTAGCCTCCAAGAACATTACAAAGTCTGCGAATACTGGAGATGCTTCCGCTGTCGCAAAGACAAGATATTAGCTTCAAAAAACTCGAACACGCCAAAGCATGTTCCAAACCGCTGCCAGCTGTATGTCGTAAGCATGCAAAGTTCATGTATGCCCGCAATGCAAGATCCGTGGGAGCAAAGTCCAGATCCTGGCACATATGCGTATCTGCCGTCGGACGGTGTGTAGCTCCTGCGGCTTCAAGATCAGTCTCGATGAAGATCATTATTGCCAGTTCAAGAGGTCTAACGCATGCGGGGCATGCGTTAATAACGACTTGGTAGACAGAAATACGTCAGACTGCCCAGGATGGAGCAGGAACTGGAATAAAGTGCAATTACGTGCAGGGCCAAGTCCTCCTCTTGGCGCGATTCTGTCGCCAAAACCCGAGTTTCCTCCCTTGAGAGACTGCGTCTCTACCATGACGGCGTGGATGAAGTATCCTGCCAACACTGCGATCGCCAACTTCGAATTTATCACCTTTCCTGGCAGCTTAAGATTTCCCTGTCAGGTCGCTATCGCTGACGGCTTCGGCGAATGGATCATTGCTCCCACAACAATCAATCACGGCATCACAAAAGGTGCCCTTCTCAGCCGAATTATGAGCATAAGGGCCCGCACAGGAACCTCATATTGTATTGGAGCTGCCACAGTTCACACCTACTATCCTGGTAGGTGAGAGGAGATCACTCAGGGGTAAGAGCTGCCAAGAGATCGCGGACCTCATTGATCAATACGTCAAGGTTAGTAAGATGTCCAAGCCCCTCTTCCTACGATGATATTAATTTTTATTTATCCAGAAACACGGTGCTTTGAAAACGTTCATGGCTTGGGGCTCACAAGACTGCGATCTTAACTACTTACGGTACATACTTCGATCTGCCAAGGCAGAGCATCTGCTTCCTCCAGCATTAAGATTTGCTGCTCAGCCGCTTACATAGTGGCGGCGACTGAGGCATCAGCTGGGACTCACTGCAACTACACGTCCATTAAACCTCGCTAATCTCTATGGTACTGTCTTCCCCGAGGAAAGAGAGCTGACCTTCGAAGCCCATGACGCTGGGGCTGACGTCTCGATGGCATATCGACTCGCCATTGCATACCTCCGGCGGGCTTAGGTATGCATCTGTCTGGCAAGATTGACTCTTGGTTCTCACCGACAGTGAAGAGTGGTCAAAGCGGATGGAAGATCTGTGATGAGGAGGCCAATGACTTTCTCACACGCCTGCAGGAAGCCGGAGTTGGCAATGACCAGACTGACGAAGTCATGAACACTGGAGAAGAAGAGGAAGAAGAGATTGACCTGCGCTTCCACGAAATCTTCAGCGATGTCGAAGATGAGGAACTCCGAGACAGCAATGAGGATGGCGGAGATCTTGACAACCACTTCCACAAACTTGGGAGCGACGTCGATGATGACGAGGAAACTGAAGGATTCGACAGTGAAGAGGAAACTAGAGACTACAATAATGACAATGAGACTGGGGACTGCGATGAAATCATGAGCGATGGCGACGACGACGGCGATATTAATGGATAGTTTCATTGAGTCTTAAAATACTCCTGCTGCTAGGTTTTCTTTTTCGCGTAAAAGTATGGTTGTGGTTGTCTTATTCTATCTCAATCCATAGTAAAAGCCTAGAAGGCTTTATCAGATACGTAGCTCATGCCTGCTGTGGCTCGTTTCTATAGCTATTATAACATAATTTTCCCTCATATTATAATTTATGACTTTAAATTAAATTATATGTATTTATTGATATACTACCTTCCTTAGTCCCTAAGCATAAACGATGTTACTCCCCGCGAGACCTTTTGCCCGTTGCCAGTATCGCTAGCTCATAGACCGCGATAAAGATCACTGTAAACACGCAGTCGCAACAAAACAAATGTGAATCATAACAGTGAAAGAGATGTGGGAATACAGATCAAAGAGGACGGTTGGCAGAGAAGCCCGGCGGCAAGGGGGATTGTGCTGTCTGCAAGGTACACGTTAGTAGGATTCAGACACGGCAGCCCGTGCCCTGCAAGAAATCTCGTATGGCTGATGGTGGTGAGCACAATGGGTACGTAATGAATTAGTTTTTGGAAGAAAGGAGTGGAGTAAAAAAAAAAAGAGAGAGAAGAAGAAATACAGTGCTGGCGCTGGTACCAGCCCTTTGCAGTACTTCTCTCATTGGTTAGTAGGAAACATAGACGTAAACGATCTTGTAAGCCAACAGTTGATCTGGCGGTGACGAAGCTGAGCCTCTCTGCATGTCTCACCAAAGCCACAAAGCGAGGACGAATAAGAAAATTTTCAACCAAAAAGAGAGTCTTGGAAGTGGAGCTCGATTCCAAAATCTGTCATCAACCAATGCTACATTCTCCCAGCTTTTGGAATTGCGCTGCTGGGAGGGGTGACACGGCATAGTCACCGAGATGTGATATTGGAGATGGCGGGTGATGGTGCAAGGTTGCCATGCATTAGCTTGGAAGCTAAGATGCTCAGGTGGCCTTTTTCTTGCTTCTTCTACCTAGGTTCGGAATTTTTCTCTTTCTGGCTTTCTGGACATGGGCGTGCTTGATGTTTTCGTGCAGGCGGTGTCTTACAGGTTAGTACTTGGCGCCTTTCACGGGCAACCGTATCGAGATACATACACCTACGTACGACATTATGCTTGATGCAGTGCCGGTATTCCAAATATTAGAGCGCTTAAAGAGTGTGCTGTGCTTCGTACGTGCAATCATATCAGTCGCTGATTGGCGCGATAGAGTTGAGAGCGGACGCCAATGCTGATATGCAGCGTCCTGGATTGAGTAACGGGACCCGATCTACGGCTACCTGCAAGGCAGAGGAAAAGTTGAAGACAGTGGCAGCTGGAACGCTTTGAATAGTATCCACAAGGCAAAGCAAAGACTCCAATGAATGGCCGTTGCTCGCATTTTTCCCGTTGTTGAGACGTCAGCGTGAGCAAGTTTGTGCTCTTATCGCAGGGCTGGGCGCTCTGAGCCTGGTCGATATGCAAGCCACACAACAAATACAAACTTCGCTAAGCAATCGGTGAGAGACGGGATGCATCTGCCAAGGAATAGCTGTGCCTTCGGCAATTGTATGACTCGGGACTACTCCGAAGTTAAGACTCTATTTAATCGCAGCCACAACTGGTACTGAAGCCATCAAGAGTGGCGGATTACGAAGTATGTGGGAATTGCTTATCTGAAGGATCACGAGAGCGGCGTCAAGTATGTCTTTGCTTGTCTCCATTCCTCTTGCAAAATCCATGGATCTCTATGTAGCAGCTTTTTACTCTTCCTAAAACCTCTGCAGCTCCCTAAGAGAGGCGATGACCCATGGACATATACCTACCGCATAGGTATCCGTACCGACTAGACATCTTTACCGATTGTACATCAATCCAAATCTTGGCAGTGATGGCTTGAGAGGTGCCTCGGTAGCACGGATACGTCGGTGGCGGTACAATGCAAGCAACATCACAAGTTGTTTTGTCTCGAGTACGAGGCAACGGATTTTACCGCCCCCATAATAGCTGCCAACCTCTCGGGCTCCAGTGCCGCTGCCCCCTAAAGACCCCCTGGTCTCCCTAAAGCCCCCAAAAGGCTCCGCCCGGAAGACTCCACTGTTCAGCCCGTGTCCGCGCACCCAATCACAGCGGGTGCTAGTACGCATCGGACCGTAGCTTCAGGTACTAGGTCTTTCGTACCCAGCATAAGACCTGGCGGCTTCAGCCTCTTTCGTCCATCCCTCCAGATCTGGTCCACCTCGTACCAGCATCTCCATCTCTCCCTCAACTGTGCGCAGTACGAGTGCTTGTACTTGTATTAGTTTTACTACCTGCTAACCTGTTTGTCTCTACAGACTACATCTCCGAAAATATGTCTCACCAATATGTCCCTGTCCCGGGCCTAAGACACAGGGAGGTGGAAAAGGAAAAGAAAGAAACAGGGCATCTTCAATTGAGTCGAATCCGCTTCAAAGATCGATTTCCCTCTCTGCCTCCCTGTGGCAAATGGTTCTGTTATTCTTCTCTCCTCCTGCAGAAACTGAAACGCGCTGCCATGCTACAACCCTGTTCAGCCTAGCCATGAGATCGACATCGCGGCACCCAAGAGCACTCGTCCTTTGTACCGTACATGCAAGCAGATCCACGTCTGGTCCTCGAGGGAGAAGCACATGCAAGGTCCATCGACGAGGCTATTGGTCGACGCGTCTTGCTTACAGTTATCAGCGGCGCTGCCAAGGATCAGGACCGACCGTCGTCGTCGTCATGGCGTATATGTCGGCCTTGTTCAGCTTGCACCCTGTCCATAGAACAGCCACAGCCGCCATGATCTGTGCACTTCCGGTGTCCCGGGGATGCTGAGCCATCTTCCGGCCATCAAATGATGACTGCAGAGTTAGCACCTGCTCTGCTGCCACTTCACCGGTAGATACAATCATCATTCACTCTACTCTAAAAAGGGAGAACAAATCGGTGGCTTCCACAGGCTTCATCCCTCCCTCAAGCTCGATGCTTCTATCAACCCATGTTGCCGTTTGTTGTGTCTCTTGTCTTGTCTTATGATGCCCTCCCATCCCCTTGCGATACTACTCTGCTCGTATGGATGCGTATGCCAGATCCACAGACCGTCAACTAGACCCATGCAAGGCAGCCTCACCGAACGGTGGGTGGCTTTGTACCATCACGCTCCCCCCCTGCCTCCACTTCCGACTGGCCGCCCACTTCTTTCTGCTCGCGATTAGAGCGTACATCTATCATACAAGTAGTGACACCAGAGCCGTGTTCTCGGGGCTGTCAAGACCCGATGTCGCGCTGAGTCCCCTCCTCTTGCACCACGATATAGATATACACTCGTTTTACACAAAGAAGCACATCCAAGATAATCTCGCCAGCCCGACGCTAAGTAGATGAGCTGGTATCTCATCCAACCAAGACGCTCACTCACAACTACCAACAAAGAATACCAAGTATAAGAATACCCCAGTGGGCTTGCCAAAGAAGGAAAATATTCGTGATGGAGCAGAGCAGTCCCAAGCCTGGAGGCTCCTTGAGGCGTCCACAGTCTGTCCATTCTCTCAGATCTGCACTCAAGACGCTCGATTTGCCATCCATGCCGCCCTCAGTGCCCTTACCACCTCTACCCACCTCTCCTTCGTCCACAAGATCTACCAAGTCTGTTAAATCTACAAAATCACGATCAACAACTCTCAGAGGAAGTCCTAGGCCTATGACAGGCTCGACCAAGAAACCTTCACTCACTTCGATATCCTGGCGCCCTTACAAACCGACGAAATATGGAAGCGGAAGATTTTCCCATGTTGAACTGGTGCCCCAGCCGAGCGATGATCCGCAAGATCCGCTGGTAAGTTACCCAAAACTACAGGAACCAGGACGCGACGGCTCATACCTCGATTTGCTAGAACTGGCCTCAATGGAAGAAAGAACTAAACTTGGCATCGCTGCTCTTCATGGTTTGTTTAATAGGCGCAATGAAAACTGCCCTTATTGCAAGCAATGGGGTTATGGCTGTCCGTTATAATGTCTCTTATTCCTGGGTCGCCGTTTTGACGGCTGCACCCTTGATGGTTTCGGCCCTGAGTGGGTTTATCTGCTCGGTAGTCGCGAAACTGGTTGGAAAGCGGCCAGTTTATTTGGCTTCATCGATCCTGATCTTTGCTGGATGCCTCTGGAATATGACGGCTGATTCTAGCTACGGTTCTTGTATGGGCGCTAGGGTACTACAAGGAGTCGGCTGGGGTGCTTTCGACGTTTTAGTGTTGGAGAGTATCCAGGACACCTTCTATGTGAGTCCTCTTTAATCCATTGTGTCTCGTGAAAACATTTACTGATCGCAACGAGAATAGGAACACGAGAGAAATATCCGCACCACTCTACATAGCATCGTCACGGTTTCGGCAACATGGGCATCCCCACTCTTGGGTGGTATCGTCTCTTATCAAGTCGGATCTTTTACTGCTCAGTATCGCATAATCAGCGCATTCTTTGCTATTGCCATTCCACTCATGGCCCTTACTGCACCTGAGACAGCATTTGATCGTGCTCGAGCCGCCATTGCAACAACTCCTATATTCATCTACACATTCCCCTGGGAGCCTCAGCCAGTTCAACTTGAGCTTAGCAAAGATTCTGTGCTTGACTACGTTAAGGAGATGAGACCGTGGTCGTATGAGAGCGAAAAGAATCTTTCCATCTGCATCCAATCACCACGAGCTCTTGCTGCCCCCACTACCACTCTTGTTTTTATCGTTACCGCATTACCTCATTGTGCCCTATGGGGTTTGATTGCTTCTCTATCTCTGCTATTCTCATCATCACCTATTAGCCTTCATCCCAGCAGCACTGGGACTCTCTTGACTGGGCCCTGGCTACTAGCAATATCCGTCGTTGCTGGTATCTGCTTCTACCGATCGACAAACCAGAAATTCTGCTCCTGCGTGAGTAACCTTACTTTAGCTGGCGGCGCGCTTCTGGCTATCATTGGCTTGACTTCATTTGGTCTGGGTGTCAACAGCTTCATGAGTTGGCCCACATCATCTGAACAGGGCCATCCCGTATTCTTCAAGCCTGAAGCAGCTCAAGAGCTCAACCTTCCCGTTTTATCGCTTCAACTTGGATTGCTCGCGGCTGGAGCGTATGCTCTTGAAGCCGCCGCACGTCCGCTGTTGGCTCGATCCGCATCCTTCACTGCCTCCAGTATGGCCACGGCACAGCGAAGCATAGGTGATATGCACTCTTGGGTTATTGTCCTACGAAATCTCGTCGCTGGTGCCTTTGTCTTGGCTGTTCCCCACATCATTTGCAAGGAAGGGGGACTCAAATCTCTCATCATCGGTCTAAGCGTTGCCCAAGTTGTCATTACCCTGTCCGTTCTATTGCTATGGCGTTTCTGCGAAAAGGCTATATGGAAGATGGATGGCAAGGTAATGGGACTTGTCAACTTGCGGATGCCTCATCCTGAGGCAAGCTTTTTCGATATCGACTGAGCGTCGCGAACGCCGTGTGAAGAAGAATCTCATTGAGATCATGTGACAAGGAACAAAAAAAGAAACAAATTCCAAAAAAATAATAATGTACAACAGTTATCATCGGCTGATTGCCTAAGTGGACGAACAGCAAATGAGAAAAAAAGAAGGATGAAATGGTCAAATGAATGAAGCATGAACGTCAATTACATGAATAAGGGGTAAAAACCGGAAAAAAAAGTTAAACTTCGCTATTATTTATTATCGTTTGGACTCTTTTTCGTTCCCCCCCCTCCACATACATACCCAATACTCTATTTGTTGCGGAATTTGCTTTTTCCATCTTCGTTTACAACTCCTGGATTCTCTGTCCGGGAATTGTTCTCCTTTCCTCTTTTTTACTTTCTTTATCTATACGCCTTCACGATATTTGAGATATGAAATACGCAGAGTATGAGCTTTTTGGAATATGGCAAGGGAAATGGACATGAAGAAATGAATCACGATCGGTTGGTAATAGGAGCAATAAGGGATCATGGGCTTCTTTTGTCATGCTAAGGGAGCGACAGATGGCTGTTTGTTTCTAATTTGGACTCCTTGATTTATTATCTTGAGAAATCGTGAATCATGTGCCTTGTACTGCTACGCGCTAAACATCCACCACTGTATTAAAGGTAAAGAGAAGTAAACATGGAAACATCTGCCATTTCATAGTCTTCAATAAGCTCCTAATATATAGTGTACAAGGTATACGCTTCCATGTGCCTCCAAAGAGAGGCAATCTCTGTCGCGATCCTTGATTGAAACCACATATTCATATCAATTCTCTGGTCAGCTCCCATTAAATCCGTCGCATCCATAGACTAGATGGCGTATATGCATAAAAAACACTAATGCCTCGCCCATTATCGCTTGCCAAATCCGTATCCGTATTCTTGCATAAGTTGTATTAAGAAGGAAAAAGCAGGAGAAAACAGTGACAGAGCGGGCTGAAAGATGCTTCCGCTACGTTATCACTTTCTATCCGCTCACTTCTCATAGACTGTTCGCCATCTTGATTTCCGAATTAGCTACGCGTCGTAGCTCAACATCGCTCCTCATAGTCTCGGAATAATCATCGTCGAGAGAGGAGTCACATCGTCCTGGTGGACTGGTGATTCGCTCATTCATTACAAGATCATCTGTTCTCTTGCGCTCGATGATTGGAGATCTGCTATTGAACGTCTCCAAGGCCCACGCCTTTATTCCGTGCCAACTGGTGACGAAGAAAATAATGCCGTTCCATAATCCTTGCAGCGGCAAGACTGCTGCTGTTGCGACATGGAATTCATATGGCGAGCCTCCATCAAGCCAGCCGTGAATACGATTCAGGCTGCTGGGTATCCATGTAACCAAGACGCTGAGCGCAAATAAGAAACTTGTTCGCAGATACGCTCTCTTGATGGGATCGCTAATATGAAACTTGCTACCAATATCATGGACAGCCGAAAAAAAGCGGCGAAAAAAAGAAGATTTAGGCGTAGTTACTGGCGGCGCGGAGGTTGTGACGGAAGAAAAATACTGGTTATCCACGGCAGGCAATATTTCAGGCTCTGAGCTGTCAAAAGCAACGCGAGCAGCATTTCGGTTGATACGAGTAGGCTGAGGCTCCATAGGCATAGAGCTGGCAGGAGTATGCGTCACTTGAACTTCGGTAGTGACGGTGCCGTAACAGCCACTTTCTGCTTGGCCCTGCAGTTCACAGCAGCGTTAGTTAATCAACTCGTGTATCAGGCAAACAAGGCAAACATACGGCATCCGCTTCCTTGTCTTTATCACGATTTCTCGAAGTGGAAAAGCTGCGCAAGCGGTTTCTCATGCGGAAAACATGCCAGCCGACCAGGAAGTAGCAGAGTATGGAGCCGACGATACATATCCAGATTAACATGTAGTATGTATAAATTCGAATAAAGTCCCATTCGCGATCGACCCAACACCAGATCTATGAGACGGCGGATCTCAGTCAGCTTAATAGAACTCTGGAAAGGGAACAAGACGTTGCTTACCGTAGCTCCACCGTACACGAGCCCACGTGGGCTTCTGAGGAGCAGGAGAGTGAGGGCAATGACGAAAGGTCCTCCGTAACAAATTAGGCAGTAGATCCACCAACGCTTGCGGAAAGAATCAGGGTTTGTGTGAAAGTAGAAGACGAGGAAGACGTTGATAGCCATGGCCAAAGACCACCAGGGATCAGATTGCATGAACCTGCTCAGGAAATTCCATGGTTAGCTCTTTGTTCCCTTGATCCATTCTTTCGCTTCCCGCCACATTCATTCTTTTCTTTTGAAGCCTTTTTCTTCCCTGACATTATAAATCCCAAAAGCGAGCTCAGGTTACTCACATCTCAAACATGAAGCTCTGGGCCTGGCACAGAGCTGATGCTTGTCCAGCGTTCATGCCGTCGTAGGCGATGATGGTTCCAATGCTGGCTCCGATATTTGACACACTGGCAAAGACAATGAAGGTGTTCTGCACGTTGTGTACGCGCCGCACCAGCCAGTAAGCGAGGAAAATGAGCATAACTGAAACCAGGCTGAGAGTGCCACCAATACGCTCGACGAGAACGAGCGTTTTGATCTGTTGATGCTTCAGCTGCTCATCGTCAACCGCCAAGTTTGCAGTCGTGTGTATATCCATGGCAGCTCAATCGAATATCTCAAGTTTATCGAACAAAAGCGGCATGCAAGGTGGATATCAGGTGCGGCGATGTGCAAAATAGTCCGAGAGACTATGTGGAGGAGGTGGATATCAGGAAGTGGGAGAGGATGGAGAAGGAAGAAAAGTAGAAAAACGCGGTTGATGAAACAAGTTTACGATTTCTTTCAGAAAAGAGAGAATGTAGAAATTTTAATCTTTAGGCCAGAGCGCCAAGAGGGGAGGGGAGAGCTGCCAGCTGGCGGAGGCTGTCAAAGGAAAACGCCGAAAAGAGCTGCGAGAGAGGCACAAAGAACAGAAGCGCAGCAGCGGCCTCTTGTCTTCTTTTATCTCGTCTTTTTCTCTTTTCTGGAGAGAGCGGAGGTCTTTTCTTCTCTTCTCACCCCTCATCCCCAAAAGGATCTGGCCTGTTGGAGAAAAGAGGGCTTGCCGACACCGAACGACGCTCGCCTCACTTAGAGACAGCCTGATGCTGAGACCGAGCTCCAGGACCGAGCCCAAGCCAGGATGTGCGTGGCGCTTCTCCAGCAAACCAGCCCCAGGGCACCATTGATATCAGTCGGACAGCGTGTGCTGCAGCTCGCAGTGGACGCACAGAAGAGCGATAGGACCTGCATGTGCTACAGCAGCTGCACGCGGCCGATGCGGTTGGAGGAAGCTCGGCGTTATTCCAGTTTTGAATCGTGTCTCGCTCCTGGTGGCCGTGGTTGGCTGGCCGTGGTCCAATGAGTGTTTCTTCTGGTATCTGCCTGATGGGAGTATCTCTTCCTTTCCGTCTGTGTTGTAGGTTCGTAGTTTTGGAGACTGTACGCACAACTGCTAGTTAGTATACCAGGTAGGCACAATCAGACGATCAAAGGTGCAATCTTACAGATCAAATCAGCATTCGCAGACCGGGCCGGATATATGATGGAACTGTGCCTCTGGCTGTGCAATTTCTCGCCACGACGGCAGCGTTCAGTAAGCACGACGAGCGTGGCTTCAAGCTTCAGATCTATGTCGACGGAGGCCAGTCTGACTAACCTTGGCGGACCGGCAGCCGGCAAGACACGAGGCTCGATCAAATCGATAGCCTAGAATCTGCCTATTGTTGATCGCTAATCTCGGGCTGCCCCTCATGTCAGGTGCGTCATCGCCCAAGCATCGTGAGCAGGAGCCATCGCCTAGCAGCCGGAGCGCTTTCCCACTCTCTACCGTTGAGTGCGGGTCGCCCTGCGCTGCGTCTCTGCCAATCGCCAGTGATTTGCTGCAATGTCGTGATTTGTCTCACTGATATTCTATTTCACGACGATACTTGACTTTTGTTGCTGCTGCAAGGCATTTCGCAAGTACTGCTACGCCGCCGTGCGATGACATCTACAAACAAACCTGGCCCCGGCCATTGACCTTGTGCCATCGCCACTTTCGACACACCGAGAATCCGCATCCAAGTATTCAGCCTTCTTCTTCTCCTGCTTCCTCTCAATAGCAGTCTCTCCTCCACAGCACCAAAGATCCCTCAGCGCACAATAGCCTAATCCACGGCCGTCCCGCCCCATCCGCACTCGTGATATGGGCACAGGCGCCATCCTGTCCTCTGCGCTAATACGCCACTCTCTTCTGCTTCAACCCGCCAACATGCGTCGAGCCCTCAATTGATCTGTACGGCATGCTAACTCTCACCCGCTTAGGTGCTATCGCTTTTACGACTCTTGTCTTCCTATTTGGCTCGTTTCAATCTATTCAATTCTGTGCCTCTTGGCGCTGCTGCCTACCTATTCTCCTTTTATTCTTGTTCGTTTTCTCGAGCCCCGAGCGTCACGCTTCCAGAGACAGGGACGCGGTTTTCGGCTTCTATATACGGGAGATGGAGTGGGGGAGGGGCAGTTCGGTCTACAAGTTGCATGATGGCTCAACTTCAATGGAGAAGAATAGAAAAATGATACGTCAGTACCGGCGGAAACATGTACGAAGCGACTGGCGGCGGCGTAACCACAGCACTCGTAGGTACCCGTCACGAACCTGCAGCGCCCTCTGCCTCTGCACCGGCACCCTCTCGGCGGCGAGAGACATGAGTTCGAGAGTCGAGGCAACATGCATGCCGAGAGAAGACAGTGTGATGTGAAAGGGAATTCTTGTGGCGAAGCGGCTTCTGCGTCGCACATTGTCCTCCGATGCCTCTTCGGCTCGTCTGCAAACCCGCGCAACGCTGAGAGCAGAGAACACAGCCAGAAATGCACGAGTGTTTGTGCCGGTTCAACTCTTTCGCCTCGATGCCAAGAGACGAATATAGCGACGAGGCGCTGGAGAAAAAGGACGCATCTGTCCAGTCCCGTGGGATATCTCTAGTGTGCCTATCTTTAGAGTCGGTATGGAGACCCCCAGAACTGATGGCAGGCCATTGGCACCACTTCACGATACGCGGCAAGTGGGGATTCAAGGTGGAAATCTCGTTAATAGCCTTTTACCAACTCAACCCACAGCACACTCCGGGCGCCACCAGTGGGGCGTGCCATGGACAGATTCGTCTCTAATCTGGTTAACCTTCCGAGCCACCTCGTGGGAAAACTGGGGAGACGTGGCTTTGGCCTGACTCGATCCGCTCTAACTTCAACCTCATCATAGAACAGATAGCTTCTGCCAGATTTGGGGAAATGTCAGTTCACAGTGCAGGATGAGCGGCCGGATGTTTTTTCGGTTCGCCTTCCCGATAACGGATTTTGTTTTCTCAACGTTTACGACTTCTAATTTTCCCATGTGCTCAGATCGACATGGCCAAAGCTGCTGCGACTCACACCGATATACGCTGAGGCCACTATCCGGCCACCACCCGGCGCCCAGGCACGAACTAACGGACTGCCCTTCATTCTTTTCAACCAACACGATGCCTACTAATCGTTGTGCTACTGATGCTAGATACTATTGTCGCTCAGGGTTATTCGCCTTCACTCGAACGCTCTCTTTTCCGTCCAAAGATCCAACAGCCAAATCCGACCGATGCCTCTCACAAGGCACAAAATTGAGTCAACCCCACCCACCTGCAATTTTTTAATCTGAGCACTTGGCCAACGAGCGGCCAAGCCGATCTATATGGCTTGTACGTCCTCACAGATCCATCCTACCAACACGCTGTGCGTGTGTGCCCTCTTGATTTGAGGCTACATACATCCCGAGTACCTGCATGCATTAGTTGTCTGGAAGGATTAGACCATGTTTGAGATAGGGTGGTAATGGCCCTGACTCGCGCGCTACTGATGGAAGAGAATGGCAACAATGCTCAAGCTTGCCAAAGAAGGTATCTCGCATGCGGATCGTACCACTCGTTCAGCTCAGCGATGCAAATTCTCTCACATCCAAAAAGTCCATGAAGCCTGAATATATTCGTTAGTAGTTGCCTAAGCCTTGATGCAGAGAGTAGAGGTAGGAACTGTAGTGACGTGTTGCGTATAACGAACAACGCGGTAATGTCACTGGGATGAAGTTGAAGCAATTAGCTGAAGGATGATGTCTCTCAAGACAAAGAATCATTCTTTAGTAATGTAGACCAAACTTCCATATACCCAAGAGAAACATGCAGGTGAATCTGAATGCGACAAGACCATAGCTCAAGATAAAAAGTTTATCATAACATCTTTTTGTCATTACTGCCGCCAAGAACGCTTTTGACGCACGTCTGTCTCGCCCATCGCCTATTTACAATATACATATTGTGTCCAGAAAGAAAAGTCCTTGCCTTCTATCGAGCGTGAAAAAGGCATAGAGTGCTCTAGGGATCTACTCGACGTAATCAATCCAACAATGTCCAGCCAAACAAAATAAAACAAATGGTATCCAAGGAAAACCCCCCATCCAAAACCCCCAGGTAACAGGTCTCTCATAGCCCCCCTCTAATGGATTTCTTCACATCGTATCATCTTTCTCGTGAGATAGATGAGGCGGCCCTGATCGTATCATCTTCCAACAGACATGTCCAAGTGAAAGAGAAAATAAAGAAAGAACGCTCTCAGCCGGCTGATAGGTATACATCATAACCAATTTCCAGCGTTTTAGAGAACGTACATGAAATCAGGACGCATATCGCCCAGCTCTTGAATCTCTCGCGGTGTCTTGCCCTCAATCCAGTGGTTTCGCTCTCCGTTCAATCGCTTCTGGTTCTCTCGGTTGAGAAGCCACGCCGTCAGGATACTGCCGCAAAAGGTGGCGATGAACAAGTATCCAATAACGGTGGCATGGCCCTGGATGTAACGAGGCGCGTCGTAGTAGATGTTGCTGCTAACAACACCGTTCAAGTTGCCCCATCCGATGACTATACCCAAGACAATTCCGCGCTTGTACACGCCCTCGACGTTGTTGGCGACCCAGGCAATGGTGATGGGAATGCATGGGTAGATGCCGACTGCTCCCAAGAATGTGCCGGCATATTGTACGCCCGGGTTGGTCGATCCTATCAGCATGGCAAAGCCAGCGACGCCAAACGGGGCAATGGCAATGTTGAAAATGGCTCTCTTCTGGACTTTATCGGACCAAAGTCCGGCGACAACAGTGACTATAGCGCCCAAGGCGTACGGGGCTACACTGAGCAGCTGGTTCCTGACGACTGCGGTTTTGGTGGTGAAGCTCATGTTTTGGATGATGGAAGGCAAGAACAGACTGAATGAGTAGAGCGGCATGAGAGGACCCATGTAAAGGAGCATGCCGGCATATGTCTTCCAATCCCAGATGGCTGCCCAGAAGTACTTCATTTGGAATGTTTCATGCTCGGCGGAACTCTGCTGATCTTGGCTGAGTCGATACAAGACACGCATGCGATCCTCTTTGGACAAGAACTTGGCCTCATCAGGGAAATCCTTTACCATGAAGAAGGAGAAGAAGCCGATAAGCATGGTGAATGCACCCTCGATGATGAAGATCCAGGCCCATCCAGGAATTCCCCTCTTGCCGTCCAAATTCTCAATGGCAGCCGCAAGAAGACCTCCGAAAGAGCCGGCCAACGCAGCAGCTGAGAAAAATATGGCGGCTCGGGCGCCAAACTCGTTGCGCTTATACCAGCATGAGAGATAGTAATTCACGCCGGGGAAAAGACCTGCTTCGGCAGCGCCCAGGAACCATCGTGCAGCCATGAGACCAGACCAATTTTTAACGAAACCCATTCCAAGCATGCATGCGCCCCAAACGATACTATGATCTTGTTAACGGATCTTGATGAAACCAAGATTTGTTGCTCAGGGAGATGACTTACATGATCATGGGAATAAAGATGGCCGGGCGAGTACGCTTCAACAGAAAGTTGGCAAGAGGCTCAAAAATGGCATAGGAAATAAAGAAAATTGTGAGGGATGCATTGTATTGGCCTGTTGACATGGGAATGTCCTTCCCGAGGCCGGCAACCTTTGCATTTCCAATGTTTGTACGGTCGAGGAAGCACACGAGATACAGTAAGGTGAGCTGAGACACGTTTGTTAGCAGGTCGCCTTTGTAGGTAGCATATCCGCTACCTGAGCTTTGCTAGAATACTTACCCAAGGTACAAGAGTCCAGTCCAGCTTCCGCAGCAGCCTCCGTTCCTGTTAATCAATTATTAGCCATTCCGCGTTGACAACCTCTTCATATGGCGAAGCATCCGAGACTCACATTCGCTGCTCGCTCGGCATCGGATAAGCCCGCGTCCGGGTCTACGATCAGGGCGAGCTCCGAATTGGAGATTGTTTCTGCGGTCGGCGCTTTTTCCGTGTCGCTCATGATGGGCAGATTTTCGAACCAAAAAAAAGAAAAAAAAAAAAACACAGAAAGCCTCCACAAATAGAAAATGAAAATGAAAAGAAAGGTGTGATTAAACAGAAGACAAACAGCAGCCGCCGCAACCTTTCACAGACTTGAGCGAAAGGGAGAAGAATTCAAGGGAGGGGTGGTGGCTTTGGAAGAGGGAAAACACTGATCCTGTGCTGCTGATCCGAGTCTTAGACAGACGGGCGGCAACCACCGGATGTCTGGGCCTGCTAAGCGATTTATACCAAAAAGGAGGCAGACCAGAAATAGAAGATTCTCTCAGAAAGACATGAACCGGTCCGGAGAGAGAGGGACGAAAAGATGAGGAATGTTGGAAGACGAGGCGTTCATGTACTGGCAGGCAAGTGGATATATATGTATTGTACTGGGTCTATTCGCCTGGCACGTACATGACCAGGATCCGCAAAATTGGAGATGGAAAGCCTGAATCAAGGGTCAAGACGACTGCAAGATGCAATAATAAGCCAATTGAGGCAAGGCTGGGTTAGCCAGGTGCAAGGAAAGGCTGGGTGGGTGTGACGACGACAACCAAAAATGACCCAAAACAAAGAACTAGGCAGGGATAGCGATGCGGGGAGAAAGGTCCAGAAGTTTAGCTCAAGGATGCGCGAGTAAGTGAATGCTGGAGAAGGATGATAGGACGTGCGGAGAGCTGCTCCGTACAGGCATGGCAATGACAGGGGAGCTTGGCTCGTCATGGAAGGCCGTCGTATTTTGGTCCTATCTCTCCTTGTGACGGCGGGCCAATTCGGGACATGAAGGCAGCTATGGGTGGCGTTGGATTTGCCTTGCACCGTGCGCCGGCATGTGGAAGCTCATTTATATGGTAGATGTCTCTTGTTGGTCTGGACAAAGAGCTGTCGGAAATTATAGCGATGTTTGCCGTACCGCCCTGTCTGCCAATTCCCATCTTATTGGTTGTTAACCAAACGTTGGTGCTCAGGGCTGGACAATGCTTAGGACGACGAGTATCGGCGTCGGTAAGGCCGCCACCTTGTTATGGCATTTGTGCGCATGTACCTTGGTGGCCCTTCCGAATCTGTCCCTCTGTGCGCCTTATTGCTAACAGCAGCATTTACCTGCTCTCATCACCAACTGGTGGATAACCGGGTCCATCAAGGAGAAAAGGAGGACTGCCAAGACCTCTTTCTTACCAAGGCGCTCCTCGTCATAGGTCGTCGTCGGCTGTTCTCCATCACCTCCGCATTGACCCCAACTTGATGTGCATCCTGGTCTTCAGACTAGGCTTTAGCATCTGCCTATGGAGTTTGCTTGTGGGGTTCCTAGCCGACGCCAGCTCTCTCCACTCTTGCACCTCAGTCTTTGCATGGAGTAGAGAGCGTGGAGACGGCGCGGACGAGGGGAAGTGGCGCCCAAGGTTTTCTGAGATGGGGTAAAGCGAAGACAAAGGAATGAGCTTCAAAAAGGAAACGTACACCGATAAGAGGCCAGCTTCTTTGGTTGTCTCAAATCGAAGAACTGGAATGCGCCTCAACAGTGCGAGGCTCTGGGCGCTGCTATCTGCGCAGAAGCGCGATGTAACCCGGCCACTTTCAACGCTGCAGATGCCGGTACTTTGTACACCGCACAAAGAGCATATCGTCAGTGGTTCCTACTGTAGGAGAGAGCAGCTAGGGATCTGTGCGGAGTGGTTGCCCAAATGTGAGCAAGTAGGTTTGATAGCCGACCCTTGGCTAGTTGCGCTGTAGCTCGGAAGCCTTGGAAGATTCGTTTCCATCAGGCTCAGAACTAGCGGCTGTCGGAGCGAGTCGTGATGTGCCTGGCCCTAATAAGCATGGACGACGAACTGGCTTCACCTCGGCGCCCAATCAGCGCTTTGACGGTCCGAAAGATGGCTTCCACGGGCGGTGTTGCAAGCACTAGTTGCCAGGGAGCCTCTTCACACAAGCCTTGTGCGCGATTCATGCGCAGCCGTCATATCTCAGGCCCAGAAGAGAGGCTACGACAGATCATTCAGAGCAGCTGAGATGGCCTGCTGCTTGCTTTGTCGAGTGCTTTGCTCCCGGGGCACCCGAGGACGATGGTCGGGAACGGGAATCTGGCTGATGTCACGGTGCCACAGCGATGAGAAGAGCCGCGAGAAGCTACGGGCCAACAAAAAGAAATGCCAGCAGCATCACTTGCTCACCCTCTTTGGCTGCCGAGAAGCGAAGCTGGGGTACCTACTGGCAGGTACAGATCCAGGCCCGGTCAAGAGCAGCTACAGCACGTTTCCCCCCACGCCGTCGTCTCTGCCAAGACGAGCGATGGCCTCAAGCGTAGCAATGGTCTGTTTATCCATGAGAGTCAGTAACTGAGACGGTGCCTGCTGGTGAGCTTCCTGCAGACTCGTTACCGAGCAGTGACGGCCTCTCGTGCCCAGATTGGCCCAGACGGGCGTCCCTAAAAGCGTGTGCGACCATTTCCATGCCACGTTCTGCCCGCGCTCCCGCCTGTCTGTTGGATGGCTGCAGGCAAATCTCATGGGACGGAACAAAGGCGCACAAAGATGAAATATGTCCGAGGGCCTAAGCCAGAGTGTAGATGCGCGTGTGAGCATGCGAGTACCGCACGCTGCGTGCTTCGCAGGCCTATTTCGCACAGGGCGAGATGATGGATTGTAAACGAGGTTCAACGATTGCTGCGCATGGCCGAAACGAGTCAGCCGCAAGTTGCATGATTCGAAGAATGCTCTTCTTCTTCGTCTGCTTTGAAATGCCCAAAGAATCGGCGGCGGTGGTAATCTCCGCGGCGTTTGTGTTTGCGACAGCCGGCCAGCGCTGCCAGGATTTCCAGGCGCTGAGCCAGCCCCAAGCACCGCCCGCAACGGGTGGCTGTCTTCAAGCTTAACTGGCCTTTCTTTAGCTGCGGGAGCGCACAAGTCATTGGCCTCGCCACCACGTTGCCCAGCAAGTCTAGCCACAGGCTAGGCGGCTGTTAACGCGCCGCCAGCTCCAGTTTGGAAGACGCCAGCTCGAGCCAAGAAGCGGGGAGATCTTCATCGACCATTTGCCGACACTCGGCCATTGCTCAACCGAGTCTGGAACCAGAAGCTTGATGACTTATCGCGCAACAACGGTCCGCCCGTATATCCGGCTAACGTCCAGTCCAGCCCAGTCCAGTCCAGTCCATCCATGGCTGCCCTCCCTCGGCACGAATCTTGAGCCGTGTCGCCTTGTTTGCTGCTTCCTGTCGTGTATTTGGCTGATTCAACGCTGAATAATCCAACCGCCTCACCATTTGTTGCAGCTCAAAATAGGTACACTCAATATTCACCGCATACATGTACCTACTGCGTGGTCCATGCAGTTACGCTCAGGGCATCTCAAGTATACACTCGGGGACCTGGCGAACACTGCTCGACCGACGGAAACGCACAGCAAAACGGTCCAAGGGCACCAATAACATCCACAATCGACGACAAAGGCCACTAAACTCCCCCTTGGCCATGCTCGGCGTTGCCGCATATCAGCGGCTGTTCGTCTAAATTCGGTCAATTTCGTGCCATCTTGGTCAAGTTACGAAAAACAATTGGTGTTATCAACAGCAAACACAGCATCATTGTGGATAAGGTGGCGGTTGGCGACAACCCAGAGGCTGCCCAAAGCTCCTCTGCCAAGCCAAGTTTCACTCGCCTCAGCCACGTGGATATGATGATTTTTGTTTTGTTTTGTCTAATCAAGTCTCATGATGTCTGTAGCTCCTGTAGATACCAGACCAGACCAGACCAGCTTGTGGCTTCAGTTGAAAGCTATTCCTGTCTCAGGCCGTGACTCGATCCAGGCCAAAGTCCAAATGGCGGTGATGCCCGTCCGTTCCCCGACAGCCTTGTCTGCTCTCTCCAATTACTACGAATGGCAAAGAAAGAAAGTAACTTCATCTCAAGAACCATTTATTGTGTTGCTAATTCAGTAGCGCTTCAATAGTTGGTAAGCTGCGTAGGCCGCCGCCGCCCTGGCCGTCGCACAGTCTGGGCCCTGCTTGCTTCTCCGGTTCCACAGCCTTTAATTTTTATGGCTCTATTAAACTGATACAAGGGTTTTGCCTCCGGCCTTGGACTCGAGCTTGGTGATCCCTTGTGTACTTGGCCAATTAAATGAAGCAGCAGTGGCGTAAAAATAGACATTGGAATGGAGAGACCATTCATTATACGCCCCTTTCCGATGTTTTGTTCCGGCATCAATCGTCAGTCACCAGGTAACCATTCACCATCTGCAACTGCACCATACGTGACCTCGTTCAGGTTCTCATGATACCAACGCTGCCTATCGCCAAAGTAGTTCAAGCGGTAATGTAATCTCCTCGTAACGAATCGTCCCTCATTCTCCAATTTTCGGATACGTGTATGGTAAAACTAAAAATCGAACTAGCATGAGGTTAATATCCTAGCAATTCATGTAGTAATACCTTGTAGTAATACCTTGATCCATGCACTCAGCACTAAGCGTCTATTACTATTACACAGCGGCAAACGCTTACATGTTCCATCGGTGGAGAGTTCTGTCGTGATCGCTGCCGTGGACACGGAGCAAAAGCCAGTCAAAGGCAAGAATTGATCTCTCCGGAGAAAATCGGAGGATTTACAAAATGGCCGTTATGTGTGAGCTACAGGGACTAATGCACGATTATGCTTGGACTTGAACGACTATGAGTCGAGTCCAAGTCTTTAAATGTGTACCCCATGGATGCAACTCAGCCATAGAATGAACCACCTCTGCCGTTTAGGCTCAGATGCTGTAGGAAGGTCTGTAAATAATGCATAATTTATAAACTCTGAAAACAAAAGTCCGCCCAGGATTATAGAATATGATACTGAAAATAAATAGATAGGGCGCGCCTTACGAGTTCTCATCCTGGCTTAGGGACAGAGTGCCACCCCTACACATGTAAGAATATACCGTTTTCAACATAATGTTTGCTCAGTGCGCTATGAAAATGATATACATCTTGCATGACTGTTTAATTTGACTAATCATGCAACGTAGACTGTATAAACGCCCAATTCTTGCTCTTTCCATCATCTGTTATACAAAACTTACTGGCTGACGAAGCATACATGTATATTTAGAGGAACGATTATCCAGCACCCCAGCTATATCGTAGGCTACTGATGCTACTGATGCTACTGATGCTACTGATGCTACTGATGCTACCGATGCTACTGATACGTATGTAGAGAAGCCTTCTACTCCTTTCCTACGACTCATCTAGAAACACGGAAGAAAAGGAACGATTTGTAGGCGACGCCAAACACTGAGATATATCTTGCAACGCCTGCTTCTACTAGATATTCTAGTTCAAGTCTATCAGTCTCTGATACCATTGAATCCTGACTCCCATCTGACGCAACTAAAAGTCAAACCCCCTTTTCCGACATTCTGCGCTGGTCATTCTTTATGCTTCCTTGGCTGATTCCACCACCGCCCTCAACTTACTCATCGTGGCCTGGTAGAAAAGCCTCGTCACCTCCCAGCATCCATGGCCCGGTACGCGCCAGACAGGCTGCGCAAGGCTAATATCTGCGCCAGCGGCAAGCAATAGCTTGATGCATTCATGTCGCTTCAACTCCATGGCTAATTGAATTACCCTACCGCACCCAAATTTGATATGCTTAAACATCAGACCCGCATAGAGGTCGTGGTATCCGACATTGGCATTCGCTCCGTTCCTAAGCAGCAGCCGCACCAGGCTGACATCGCCCATCTTAACGGCTCGAACAAGCGGCGGAATGAATTCTTCTTCCAAGGATATTACACCAAAACAACAGCCACCGTCAGCGCCCGGGTTAAAGGGCAAAGGCCGATCTTCCTCTTCAAAGTCACACCGGGCGCCATTTGCCAGGAGCAGTTCCACCACAGCTCTATCTTGCTGATCAACAGCGCGCCCCAGGGCTCTCGTCAAGTCCACTCGGCCTGGGCATCTCTGCAATAAGAGCTCGATGAGTTTGCGGTCTCTTGCTGCCACGGCCCTCGTTAACGCCGGTCCGTCTTCGCGATCGGATTCACGGTCCAGAAACCTTATATCGGCGCCGTTGTCAAGCATAAGACGCACCAAATACAGCTTCCTATGGTCTATTGCCCATCCCAGGGGGCTTTCAAACTTGTAACCAAAGAGGCGGACATTTAAGTCTATGCCGTATGATATAATCTGTGAGACAATGCGGTCATGTCCTGCCTTGAACGCTGCCTCGAGTGCATCCTGCTTCTGGCTTGTGCTGGGCTCGCCATTGCGTAACTCGGCAATAAGAGCATCATCGTCGTCATTCTTTTTCTTCGACAGGCTGTCTCGAGCTGGAATTGAATTTTTGTCTCCTGTAATGCGATGACGGAAATAGAACTCCCCAGGAGCACCCTCTTCCCACACGAGCTCCCAGCCGTCATCGTTCTCATCATCGGCCTCCTGATCGGACCCCTCCTGACTAGACACTGGTGTTAAAACAGCATCATCGTCACTATCAAAATCCAAATTGTGCTCCGGTTCATGATCTTTACAAAACGAGTCGCCTGTAAAGAATGTGATTCCCTCAATCTCCTCCGGCTGGGGACGCTCTTGCACCCCGTGCTGTTCAATGTACCTAAAAGTGAAGTCTGGTTTGAAAGGAGGTTCGTAATCCCGCTGGAGGAGCTTAGACCAATCAATGCCAGCGAAGAACGGATGCTTCTTAACCTCGGATGCTCCCTCCTTGGCTCCCAGACGATGATCAGGCTCGCGTTCGAGGAGCCTCATTATAATATCTCTAGCGTTTGGAGCAAGGGCTTCAGAGATTTGGATGGGTTCAGTGCTGAGTATCTTGATCTCCTTGTTCATACTGTGTGTGCTCTCAGCTCTTTCAACTGAGGTTCAATGTGGACAAGTGTGTTATAAACTAACAGCAGAGGAATACAGTGAGGGAGGCAATGGGGGTAAACAAGATGCTGCAGTGTGTTGAATGTTTCCTTTTCCTATGTCTGGCGAATATAGATATGTCTGGTCTAGTTTGTGGTTCTCTTTGGCTTGGATTCAAGATCAATGCTAGATAAAATCATACTACCGGTTCTTTTCTTTCTGCTTTCGAAGAAAAGCGGTAGCCCTGTCAACATCTCGTAGAGAAAAATCCCTAGTGTCCACCAATCGGCCGCTCTAAAATGACCTTTATTGAGAAGCACTTCGGGGCTTGGATACTCTGGCATGCCGTAGCCGCTGCGGTCGCCGTCAACGGCTGGCTTATAAACGCCAGAACCATAGAGAACGATGTGCCCAAAGCAGTCTAGAAGGACATGCCGAGGCTTTAACCAGGAGTAGATGCCGCGGACCTCGTGCAGGTATTCCAATGCGCACAGAATCTCAGCAGCGTAAAATTGAGCGCTCTCGGGATTGAAACGCTGCTGCCTCTGGAGATGGTCAAAGAGATTCCCGCCATCTATGGCTGGAGACAGAAGGTTTAAACCTTTTTCGACTGGAAAGTCAGCGTTGATCGTCCGGTTTGAATCTTCTTGTGACTGAAAAGTCAGCGTCAGTGGTGCAATGAATGGATGGTTGACATTCTGGAGTCGTTGACCCGTTGGAATTGTTCTTTTAGTATATAGTTGCCACGTATCTTTATTAAGCAGCTGATGAACGTGTCTGTGTTGAAAATCGGATGCTTTCAAGGCCCGGTCTTTCATATCCTTGTATTCAAGACTGATGCGAAGCTGGCCAGTGCCATGCTGCACGTCAATCCATTGCGACGAGGCCGCCACTATTCGAGAGGGATCTATTGCGATTCGTGCCACTCCAAGGAAAGCATGGCCTTGTATAGAAGAAGATTTATAGGGGTCTCCGAGATAGAGATAGATGGCCAACTCAGCAGGGCGGCAAACATCAAAGTCCCAAGTAGACTCGCGTAACCCCTCGATAGTAACATCCCAGTGTAATGGGCGACACAGCGATCCAGTGTCTGATGTCCATACAGGATTTTGTCTAGTTCCCCGGTGAGAGTTGGCCTTCTTTTGCGATTTATCAAAGGTCAAGATGGCATATGGTATGTTGCGCTTGTTTTGCTCTTCATCGGGGCTCTCTTCGAATCCATCCGGCACGGAGAGACCAGCCCCCTCGCGAAGAATGACTGTCAAGATTCCCGGCCGGCTTGGTGAGAGCAACGTTTCCTCAGGCCGAGGACCATCAACGCCATAACCATGCTCTGTCTTAGTCATGATGTAGTGGAAATTTTGAAGGAAAATCGTCGTTAGTCAATGAATGGCATGATGATTAATACAGCACAGCATGAAAGGGACATTGTACGCAAGTTACATACGCACCATGCAGTTATGCCGTTGTATGCGGGGTCGGACCAGCCGAAATTGCTGTACCCAACTTTCGTTACAAATCCTTCGGCAACTTCGTGAAATCAGTCCTTCGGCTTGCTACTACGCCCCCGAGCGACTTGATGGCAGGTTGCAGGGCAGCGGCTGGCAGCAACACCGTTGACGAAAGCCACGCAATCGAGCCCCTATAGTCGAGTCCGAAGAAACATTTGGACCCGGTAGTAAGAGAGAGTAGGGTCACGTTGATATGATAGCCTCGGGCATTTTCCGCTTATGAACAAAAGTATAGAGTTTTTATTACTATTACAGCTTTTCCTAAGTTATTGTTTACGCGACAGCTTTCAATTATGAAACCCACCGTTTTTTTGGATAACTAACATATTGTCAGATCCTCCCTGAATTCATTCTCTCTGGCGAGCCCATGTCCGGTGTTTGAAGCCAATATTTCGTCCAGGAGAATTTCTCGGGAAAATAATGAAAAGGATTGCTCGTGCTGTTTATTGTGAAATAGGGAGCCTAGGAATACGTAGCAGTCAACCTTTTCACTGCGATATTTATATCAGTGGTGGCCGCGCATCTTAAGACTCGTACTTCTTAGAGTTGGGCCACACGGTGTCGTTATAGATGCTGTCAATTCGATTTTAAACGCCAATGTCAAGGAGCTTGTCAAATGAGCATCATCTGTAGCAGTGGTCTGAGCAACCGGTCAAGTGTCGATCAAACGACTACCGTCACCGGATTCTGGCATGGGCCCTGATTCTGGCATTGGCGATGATTCTCGTAGACTCTCCGATCGAGGGCCCTCTTGCTCAAGCAAGATCTGAATGACGCTGCGAAGTTGGCCGATTGCTGCTTCTGGATCGTCTCTCATGAGATCGTTATAGTGCCCCTGTAGGAGGGTTACTATTCGTCGTAATGCTATCCCGTCCCCCGTAGGACTATGTACATGTACATTGAACTGCGTATACTCTACGCGCGTGCTGTGGTCTCTCTCAAAGATGTGGCATCGGTACGTGGCGGTTGACAGCACACTCAGCCCTCGACCACTGGAAAACTGGGTTGTGGTCTCGGCATAGGGTCCTGCCGCATGTGTAATCGCTCTGATCATTCTCTCAATGTGATATACGGCCTGTAAGCGATGTCTCTGCGCCAAACAATCAAGCACAGCGCCCATTCTTTTCGCAAGCAACTCGGACACCCCTTTGGTTATGTGTAGACAGCGCCGTTGTTCCGTGACCATGTCAACGCCAATGCCCAGAACCGCCAATCGGCCCGGAGCGGGAACAAATCGTGGTATAAATTGCAGGCTGACAATGTTTAAATAGCCAAGAAGCTGGGCCATGTGCTTGATGACGATTATTGTATGCCCAAACAGAAGCCTTTGGGAGTCGAGGGCCGTAGGGGAGTACAGGATGCCCGTCAACCGCACATCCAACGCTCCCTTGATGTCCGCGTCGACGGAATCGCCTATCATATACGTATTTTCGAACGAATTCATGCCGAGCCGTGCGATGGCGTATTCGAAGATGCGGTGATCCGGCTTTCGAAATCCAATCTCGTCGGACGTGATAATGAGGTCTACCAGATGCAGTACGCCGATGGCCTCGGCCTTTTCTCTCTGATCTTGGAGCTGCCCGTCGGTGACGATGCCAATGCGATATCCATTTTCACGCAGGCGGACCAAAGCCTCGACACTTCCCGCCGTAGGTCTCCGGTTCGCACTGTAAACCGGCTTGTACGTGTTGTGGAACTGCCAGACTTGTTCAAGGCTGGGTTCGGGCAAGCCAAGTGACGCAAAGAATAGGTGGACCTTTTGAGTGTCGGCCGCTTCGTAGGTAATCACCTTATCCAGGTACGCATCACGGGATTGTTGAAGAGCGGCGCTGTACTTTTCGATCAGTTCTTCGACAGTCTTCTCCGCGAGGGCATTATATGTATCGCGTATGGCTGATAAGGCTTGTCGTAGCGAATGGTCGATGTCGAATAGCGTTCCATCCATATCGAAGAAGATAACCTTGGTCCGCGTTGATTGCATGGCGATTTCCTGAGTGCGCGGTGGGAGGGATGCTGAGTGGAACAATGGCGAGGCAGACGATATAAATCAAGGAAATATATCTGTGTAAATGAAAAAAAAAAAACAAGGCTTTCGCTGGCGCACATGCTATACCCGTCGGTTTGTTCCTGACAGCTTAGTTATAATTTAGGTATTGGAAGGTGGTGATGGAAATACTCTGGAATGAAAAGGGATTCTTCTCCGTTGCAGTTTCTTGAATTCAAACGCTCCTCCTCTACATGGAATAGAATATATTCACAGCTTGCTCTCGACGCCGTCATTCTTCCGCTGCGTACCAACTGTGCAGGTCAACAGAGATTGACTGACACGTTCATGCCTTTTCTTGCATCTCGCACATTCTCAAACCATTTCGTCATATCAGGGCGTCCACGGTAAGACATGCCCAGCGCCATCAATCCTCACAGATTCACTCTCTTCCTCTACATCACAGGTAACACGGATCGCGGTATCCAGCGGCGAGCTTCTTCAGCAGCTCAGCTTCGAGCCAGGAGATATCATCGAAATGCTTGACTGTCCATAAGATGTGAATATGCCAGCTACCCTGGTTCACGATGTGTTTGTCTTTGCTGCGATGGCTGCTGGACTCGCAGTTCCAGCCGCTGCTTTAATTAAGCGGAAGCAGGAACAATACATGTCTTGTTACATGCAAATGACACATTCATCTACCCGTAACTAAATAGAAGACGAGATTACACGTTTATATTAAAGCTTGGCTTGCTTCACATGGCTACCTACGTAGGTGCCTCGTCATAGCGTGACATCTCTCGCTACAGCCACTGAGAAGCCAAATCTTCTTTTTCATTCTTCTTCTAATCCTAAAGCACTGCGGTACCATCCTTCTCCTCTTCTGTTGATCATAGCATACCAGAATGACAAGTCGTGCAGAACGAGTGCCACTCCTGCTTAACCAACTCGCGGTGGCATAGATTGATCTTGTGGAGTGGGAGCAGCAGCTCTTACGCCGACTGCGTGTTCCCATTGTGACAGATGGAGTAAGCAATCTCCTTCGTCCTCGAGCGTTGTTGCTTTGTCTAACATGTCTCAGAGTCTATTTTTCTTGGTCCCCGACGAACAGTTATACGATGCTTGCCAGGTTGCGGCCTCGTTGGGATACTATCCAGAAAGTCCCGAGTCCCTGAAAAAAGCCTACCCATCAGAGTTCTCGGGCTTAGGTGTGCGGTACAATATTGATCCCAAAACCAAAAAGACACATGACCGCTTCGACAGGCTTGTTTTCTTACCACTGTCCTGGCCGGGACTGGACTTGCACGATCTGGAACTAAAAGCGATACAGTACTCGTGGCTGCGAGACGACCCTTGGAACATCTGGACAGTACCTCTTGCGGCAGCTTGTACTGCCTGGGTGCGTCTTATTTGCGCTGAAAAACGAACAAGCTCTTTACGTGAACGGCTCTCTTCAGATTTTGTTAATCTTATTGCCTACAACTTTTATGATACAAGCTATGAAGGAGACTACGAGGAGCTCTTGGGGGATGACGTGCCGTTGTCAGAGTCCGAACTTTTGGAGATTGAGAATGCGGTTATCACGATTAACTCTTGGGAGATGAGAGATGGGGAGGAATGGATAAGGGAAAACCTCCTCAAGATTGTTTCTTGTACCATGATCGAAACCCAGTTGCCCTGGAAAGATGGCTCCAAGTTTTAGAGACTTACTACTTGCCAAATACTGATAATCCATCCTATTTGCTAACCTTGGACATCAAGGCTAATCCCGAGTCATATAATTTGAGTTAGTCTCTGATCCCAATTTCGCCATATCATAACACTAAATAAAGGCAACACCAGTTAAAAACGCCGTGGAATGAACGAGGCAGCGGTAGTCGTCCACAATTTAAGACATCAGAGCAGATTGTCCGGGAGGAAACAGGAAGCTCGAGTCTCTCATCGAACGCTGTCAGTAGATTTGCTCAACGAATTTTGTCCTTCGACCATGTGCCCTTGACCGCCAAGGAGAGATCAATCTCCATACATGTCCGTCTCTCTGTTGGCAACAATGCATCCATCTAGGTATTGGATAGATTGAGCTTGCTTTCCGTCACGGGCACCATAGATCCCCCAGCTTTGGGTTAGAGCAAGCACCTCTCTATCTCACATACTTGTAGCTTTCTCGATACCAGTCATTATACGCGGCTCAGATGTGGGAACTCTGTGACAAATGTACATAATTACTGCGTATATTTTTAATTAATTAGAAGTGTTTTACCATGCCCAGTTAAATATATTTTACAACGGATGTCTAAATGTATCGGACAAGCTCAAGCAGCTTCTTGAAGTTGGGGACACCGAATCCAGTTGTAGGATCCCAGCCCTTGGTCGCGTTCCAGAAAGCACCTGGAATAACACCCGCCTAGACAGAATTAGCTTTGATACCTACAAAGAGATTTGATGCCAAAAAAAAAAAAAAAAAAGGGGGGGGGGGGGGGGGGGGGGGGGGATACTTACACCAGGAAGAGGGCCTCCAGTTTGAGTGTTGTTGCCGTTGCAGCCGACAGCTTGGCCACTCGTGATATCGGTAAAGCCCTTGTAGGCATATCCGTAGATCAGAGGGTTCAAGAATCCGAGAGCAGGCTTGCCTGCACGGAGACGAGCATCGTTCAGGAGGGCAATAACACTGGCCACGATGGGAGAGGCCGCAGAAGTACCGCCGCTGGGGGTAAGCTCGCCGCCTTGGAACACGGGGTAACTGTTCAATCTGTCAGTGTCCGATCAAGACAATATAAAGTCTTAGGAATAAGACAATGGAGGGTGAAACTTACTCGGGGCTCACGCTGTGAGCTGCAACATCGGGGAAGCCACGTCCGGAAAAGTCGACATACGACTTGTAGTATTCCTTGGTCTCCTCGCTGACATACTTGTTAAGGTATGTGCCGACTGCGGCCTCCTGGTACCAAGGTCTTGAGAAGTAGTAGCTGAAGCCTCCGGATGAGCCGTCCCAGGCAACCTCGGGGTTGAAGCTGACGGTTCCACCAACACTGGTGACATAGGGGCATGTAGCCTGACGGATGCTTTGTTAGTGAGTGTTTTTTTTTTTTGGAGACATTTGAGATTTAGAACATACCGGGAAGATGGGGTTGAACTGGGGAGTGGTGGTGCTGTTGGTAGCGAGACAAGAGGCACCAACACCCTCATCACCGGATGACTCGAGGATAGAGATACCACGAAGGCCCATCAATCCAATGAGGTTGCACACGCGGACGGCATATGCCTGGGGAACAGTCTGCTCCTCATCACCGTAGGAGTTGGTGATGACTTGGGGAAGCTCCTTGTTTGACTTGGAGAGCAGGTACTCGTAGTACTCGAGGTAAGGCTCGTTCTCATCGGGAGTTCCAGCCGGCTCAACGGGGTCTGGGAAGTACGGCGCAGTTCCTCCAGCAATAAACTCGGTGATGGGCAGAGGCTGCACAAACGACACAATGTTCTGGGCGTCCAGGTTGGCCTCGCCGTCATTGGCGTCTGTGGGCGGCTGGGGGTTTGATCCGCCATTGATGAGCTCGACGGAGAAGCCCTGGCTGGCAAAGCCAAAGTGCTTCTCGAACAGAGCGAGATCTGAGGAGCTGGCGCTCTGGTTCAGGAAAGAGCCGAAGCCAATCCTGCTACCGGACTTGGCTGAGGGCTTGTATCCGTTGACGCTGTACTCGGTCCTGAGACAGTCGGGCTGGAAGACGTTGAATGTGCGGTTCTCAAACTCAATTGTGCCCTTGCAGCTGGAGGGCTCCTGACGAGCAGCCAGGGGCGAGACGGCAGAGGCCGCGTTCTGGATCTTCAACGCCCGCATGGCCTTGGACGTGCCAAAGTAGGTTGTGGGCGAAATCAGATCGATGTGGTCGGCCAGGGTCTCGGGGACCGAGTACTGGAGAGTTCGCACTTTCTTGGCACCAACCGAGTCGGTGTAAGTGTGGAAGTTTGTGCTGAGCATCTTGTTGGCCGTGGAGACATCCGTCTGGAACCAGATGCTGCTGCCCTGCACCTTGTAGTCCACGCCGTACGACTTGAGCCAGGACTCAACAGCAGCGGTGCTGGCGCTGCTGGGAGCGAAGATTTGGTTAATCTCATCGACATCCAGGTACTTTCCATAGTTGCTGGAGTTGGGCGTGGAGACGGCAGCGAGCTTTGATTCCAACTGATCAATGTTCTGCTGCGTGAGGGCAACTTGGAGGGTGATCTTGGATGACGGGGCCGGGGCCGAAGCAGCCTGCCATCCAACAGGCACCTTGTCGAGGCTGTCCAAGAGCACGGCGGCATTTGCCTGCACGCTGGCAAGGGTCAGGAGACCGGCAAGAGCTGTCAGTTTCGCCATTGTGAGTGAGATTGGGGTGACTGGAGACCACTGGAGCACGGCGAGGAGGGATCAATTCAGATCCGGGGGGCATCTCAGGCCCTTTTATATATGCCGTGCAAAGCCCCTGACCCTGTAGACTACTTGTATATATACAGTATATACAATCCCAGCATAGACAGATGCTATTCCAAGACGCAGAGGTGATGCCTCCACCGGATGGTGTAATGCCCAGCCGCAACAGGTCCCAACAGGCAGCGATCCCGCCGTTGCACTAGCAAGTACCACGACTTGGCAGCGATGCAAGATTACGATTACCGGCTGGGCAGAAGTTCTTGTCCATCACGGTCCCCAATAGGAAGGTCGGGCAGAGCTGCGATCCATGCTAGGCGGCTGTTAGTGGCCCGGGGGCCTGTCAAGCAGTGCCGGGGTTCCGGGCCGCGATGGGCAAAAGAGGCAGTGCGGAGCAGCACTTTTGGAGTTGGCCCAGGGGTTTGTGGACAGGAACAAAAAGTGCCTGATGGAATGGTATAAACGCCCGATGGCGGCGCAATTGTTGGAGTTTGGCCGCTGCGGGAAGGGCGTGGATGGATGCCGCCACGGGTACGGCGTCCGAGTTGTTGGCAGTTGCTTGGACTCTCGTGTACAAGTAGCTGCATGTGTTTAACAATCTCACGTACAGGGCATGTCTCTACCAACGTCCCATGAACAGCTCACATTCCTTTCAAGCTCAATGGCTGTCCGAGCGCTCAACGCCATGCTTGTATCCAGAGACTGGCGGTGTGGTGCTCGATGCAACTACGTTTTAACCCTAAATAGCTTATCTCGCTCTCTCGGTCAACACCCGGTACGAGCATGAGCAGAGCAGCGCCATTGACAGCTCAGCGCTGCGCTCTCCACCTCTCGGCCGGTTCAGCTGCTCCGTAGAATATAAGACGGATTTGCCGGATCGGGCACAAACATCGGCGCCCCGGCTTTTCTTCTCCAAGACCAGCCCGCAACGAGCTTAGCACAGGGGTCTTTTTCGATTCCGCCAGCCGTAATCGCAAAAGTTCATCAGCCGTACCTATCGCTAGCAAAAGTGCACGGTGCTCGTATATACCGGTTGGTAAATCTCTTATTAATTGAATGGAATGCGGAACGAAGGAAAAGGTTGCAATGATGGGATTGGAGCTTGTAATGCCCCAGTACATGTATATTGGTAGTGGCAATGGAGCAACTAATCTCAATCTCGCCACACAAATGCAAGGCCTGCATTCAAACGGATTGGCGAATCTTGTTCTCATCCAGTTTACCTATAATTTGTACTCGGTTTATGCTCAATTCCTATGAGACCCCGATCGGAATCTTTGTTCCTGGATTTCCTGTATTAGCCTCGGAGGCAATGCGCCAATAACGCAATGGGACTTTTGTGCATGTTAAAGTCGCATCGCCACCACTATATTAACCTGCCTATCCTTTACGAGACTGGCTTCGGGCCAGCACTGAGTCACGCCGCAGGTCAACGATCCCGATCGCAGAGCCTTTCATCCATTATATACATGCGGCAAAATATACGTTGATGCAGCCATAAGTACTGTATAATAAAAGGGAAATGCGTTACTGGAAGAACTTAAATGTTATTGCTCTTAATCTCCCGCTTTGGGAGATGGGTCCTACATCCTTTGACCAATGAAACCCCATTCTGTCTTGGTGCCATGGCCCCTCCTCCAGGATCCCTCCATAAGAGATTGCCTAGGTACATTTCAATAATACCTCAGAGTAACTCTTTTCGCGTCTATCTAAACCAGCCACTGTGCAATAATGAACTCGAGTAACGATAACAAGCTAAATGAGAACATGGATAATAATAACGAAGTACTGTTTTTAGATCAGCCATGTGAATATTGCAAGGTCCTTGAACTTGATGATACACAACATGGTGGAATCATTCAAGAAATTGAAGGCGGAAAACGATTTGTTCAATTTAAAAACCCTGTGAATCGAGAGTCGAACTGGGAGTACCAGCTAAGCCTCGGATACCGCCGAGTAGATACTCTTCCCGGCCTTCCTAATATCGCTGCTACTGCCCAGACCTGCGCGTTTTGTCGTATGCTGAGGAGCGATTTAAGTTCTTCTTACAAAAATCTCCTACGGCCACGATTCAAAGATATCTATGGTACAGGACACGAGAAAGCACAGGAGAACAACGCAGTTAAAGATGCAAAGATTGTCATTACTGATATCAACTACCTGTTTGATGACCCTCATTATGCACTTCCGAAAAAGTGGGAGGATGATGATGACTATGCGGCACCTAGACGCTTAAACCATTCAAGTTGTAATGATTGGCTCAATTTATTGATTGTGTTCGTCATGATCGATTGGGAAGAATATTCTCTTCAATATCGGATATCTGCCGATGCATGTGGTATGCTGCTGTTATGGCTTTATAAATTCTTACGGATTGATTGCGCTTACATGAGTTAGATCCATGTCGGCCCTGGCTTAGAATCCATCGCAAGCCGATTTCAAATGACTTTCCATCTGCCCAATCTCTGACACGTTTACATAAGCTGATAGGCAAGTCTCTTTGTGATGCCTCGGATTCAGCACAGAGCACGTATCTGCCTACGCGCCTCATAGACGTTGGAGCGAATAACGCCACAAAGTTGAGGCTCATAATCTCAAAGGATGAAGAGGTTGGACAGGAAACGGACCCAGTCAAAAAGAGGTACTTGACTTTGAGCTATTGTTGGGGATCTAAAGCGGAGTCGGAGAAGCAGCTGAAAACAACAGCGAATTCGTTGAATAAACGCCTGTCGCAAATCAATGTCAACGAAATGCCACAAACCGTTGCCGACGCTGTCCACGCATGCCGAGCTCTTGGAATCAGGTATCTCTGGGTAGATGTCCTATGTATTATCCAAGGTGACGACGATGACTGGGCCAGAGAATCGTTCCAAATGGCAAACGTCTATAGCAACAGCTTTCTCACGTTGTGCAATCTTCAAGGAAGCTCTTGCTCAGGCGGCTTCTTGAAAACGAAATCGAGTCGGCCGACACTCAAAATCAACTTTCACTCCAAGCTTGATACATCCATTTCGGGAGTCATCCATATTCGGATGCAAGACCCTGCTGTATTAATTCCCAAGTGGCGGACACATAACCTCCTAGGTACCTCAGGACGACAGTCGTTGTCTAACATGCAGCACAGCCCTTGGAATACCCGAGGCTGGACTTTCCAAGAGGCTCTGCTCTCACCGCGAACCGTCTTCTTTGAGGAGCAGATTTTTTCTTACGCTTGGGGAGACCAGCACATTTTCGCGGATGGGTTTCGATATCTTGGGGAGCCTTTCTTATCAAGTACCAGGCTGACACCCCACGATCCGATGAGAGGATGGTATGGATCGATGCAAGACTATAACAGAAGACGGCTTACTTATGAGACTGATAAATTCCCTGCCATTTCCGCGCTCGCCACGTTATTCTCTGAGGAGAATCCCGGCCAAGAATACCTAGCGGGGCTCTGGAAATCGGATCTTCAAAGAGGACTTCTATGAGCCACGCACTCGTCCTCGGAAGATGTTCTAGAGCCTTGCTCTGGGGGTTACAAGCTCAAACTCGTCTCCCAAGAATACATTGCGCCTTCGTGGAGCTGGGCCCGCCAACCAGATCCCGTCAGATGGATCGCAAACATCACTTCCACCGAATTCGGTGACGGAGTCTTCTTCCCCGAGTATACATTACTTAATGCCGGGGTTGTCGCTGCTGACAAGTCAAACCCGTATGGCCGTGTGTCCAGCGCATACCTTGAGCTCGAGGCGAAACTGCTTCGGATGCCACTTTGTGACAATGGCAAAGCTAAATTTGTGCAGAGCGAAACCACTGTTAGCAGTTATAAGTCTTTGTCTCTTGGCCTGAATAGTGTTTTGTTATCGCCAAGCGGTGGGTACATTGCAAACTTTCAGCTGGATTGGTACTGTCCGGCCTTGGCTCTTTCGAGCTATCCAAAGGAACCCGTAGAGCAAATGAGGATGGTGCTGATTAGCAGTCTTAAACGCAAAACATGGTCGGTAAGCCAGCCGTGGGAGGAGAATTGCTTGGGCTTGCTGTTGCTCCCAACGGGGAACGAGAGAGAGTTCATCAGAGTGGGTATCTGGTGTTACGATCCCCGGGAAAATAAGGGTAACAAGCAATGGGAGAGCATTCAGCCGCAGTCCATCAGGATTGTTTAAGTTCATAACATGACAAAAACAGAAGAGAACATTTATCGCCAAAGAGAATGCTGGAATGCAATTGTTATTCGACTGCCTCTGCAAGGCCTGCGTGGATAATCTCAGAAATAGCTTTTCATGCACCTAGTTTTTTTCCTGTCAAGCAAAAATCGATAAACAAAGGCATATTCGCAATTCAAGTATCGAGGCAAGGAAATTACAGAAATTGCTAGTTCTACTAGTAGAGTATGGGAATCAATCACATAAAGGTGGATAATAGTCAATCAAGTACTCAGAATATATAAAGATAAATTTCACACGCCGCCTAAAGTTAATACAACGCGCATTACAGAATCGCTAGATTCTACTTTTGTAGTCGTCGCAAGCTCTACCCGAGACCTCGACCAATTACACCAAAAGGCGCTACCGCATGGCCTATAATCTTCAAAAAGCCCACCTATTTCAACTTGCGGCCTTAGCTCAGCTGGGAGAGCGTCAGACTGAAGTCATTCAGTCATTCAATTGATATCTGAAGGTCGTGTGTTCGATCCACACAGGCCGCATGTTTTTTTCTTTTTGTTACTTTTTTCATCAAATTCTTTCTCCTTCTAAAGGAATAGCTTTCATCCATTTTCCAAAGCTAATCGGTGTTCCTCAACGCTGAAAGCAATCGATGAGCCAGAGCCAAGACATGGTTCGTTCATATTGCCGATAAACTCAAGTGCATTCTCTCCACTGTAAACAGACCAGAGCGCCGACTATCTTAAGTGTGGCCATCAAAAATTGACGTGCGTCAAGACAAATACTCAGCCAGAAACATGTCAAAATTATCAATATTCAATTATCGTCATCTTAATTTATATCCAATCCGCCTCTAGGGTCGCCCTTTAGGAACGGCCTAAAGCACGTTTGGTGGAAAGCATGCATGTCGTGTATATGTCCTCATGCAGCAACAGTAATGACAAAAAAAAGTGTTATATACAGAAAACCATATCATTAACCCAATCAACAAAACCCCTTGGGTAAGTATCCGAGGATAAAAGCCTAGAAGATGCGAAAAGATATTGCGCACGTCCACGAAAGTCGGAAAACCTATGTTGAAAAGTCGTAGTATATACTCAAACACTCATCTTGCGAGCATTTTGTCATATATATGGCTAGATAATATTGCAACAAGATGAGAAAGGTTTGGTGGCCTCGTCCCTCCCTTTACTGAGCAGGAGGAGGGGGAGGGGGAGGAGGTCGGACGCGCTGTCCCTTCTGGGCGGCCTGAGCACGGTGCTTTGAACGAGCGCCGTACTTGGGAAGCTGATCCAGGGCAGACGGCATGGTGACGTTTGCGGATTCGAGATCGATAGCAAGACTGGGGACGCTCTCGAGGGGGATGGTTTGACCAGAGCGCTAAAAGGTTTGTCAGTACAAGGTCGATGTTGAGTATTTTACCAAAATTGAGCAAGGGGACTTACAGTGAGAATCTCAACCTCAACATCGGAAGAGAAGGCGCTAACAGCGTTACGGTTGCCTCCGTGCAGAAGGGTCCTCATGGGAGTATCGACTGTGAATCCACCGTTGACCATGCCCTCGGCGGGAAGCTTCATGACAATCAAGCTGCCGGCTTTTTGTCCAGCAACGTAGACGTTGATTTCGGCGGGGCGAGTCTGAATCTCAGTGACGTTGACGGAAATCTGCGCAAAGTAGCGAGTCTGGACAAGGTCGGCGGCACGAGTGTTTCGCTTCGAGGAGCTCTTGGGGCCATACAGCTGGTTAATGATGGTGCTGACGCTGGATTTGATCTGAGCCTGGGTCTTCTGCCAGTACTCGATGCCCTGGTAGGAGTAGCCCATGCCTTGAATGCTCTTGACGGTGTTGGAGGTGTGGAACTGTCCGTTTGCCTGGTAGAATGGCTGCAGGGGAGAGTTGGGAGTGATGGTGGCTCCTGTTTTGCTGTTGAATCGAGACTGGCCCTTGTAGGATGCGGTGAAGACGGGCGAAGTAGGCATGATGGCCTCCCAGAACGCCCACATGCGGTCGACGTTGGAGTGGTGCATGAAGCTGTTCCAATATTAGTTATACTTGAATTCTTTTCATCTAACGCCGTGATGAACCTACAACAAGGGATCGAAGCCAGAGTAATCGGGAGCAAGGAACTGGTTGCCACAAGCACCATCCCAGTGAATGGCATTGTGAATCTGCTCGACGTTGATACCAGGGCCGCTGGTGGAAGCAAAATCGGCAAAGTTTTGAGAGTTTGTCAGGACGTCATACTGCGCTCTTGTTAGTAACCAAAATCCACTGATGGCTCACTACCAGCAATGACAGCTTACAATCCAGCCCTTATAAGGGCGCGCCTGAAGGTTGGCGTTGGCGGTGTTTGGATAATTCTCCTGAGGCGAAGGGCAGCGGATTGTGTGGTCTTGACCACCTCCAGAGAATTCTCCATACGAGCCGGTCATGGCGATGTGAGGGAAGTAATAAGTCCGGAGAGGGTTGGTGTAAGCGACCGTCTTGATGCCACTGCCGCTGGGCACATTGATATTGAGCGTGTTCGGGACCGTGCAGGCAGGGACGGTGCTATCGGCGGCCCAGTCCCAGTAGGGAGCTCGCAGGCTTGCTGCCGCTGCTTGGTACTTGGCGCGGTACTGAGCAGGGTAACCATTGGCGATGTTCTTGGCTACAGACACCAATGCTTGCTAAATGAAAAGTAAGCCACCGCATTCCTAAACGGGGGCAAGATGATGAGAGACACTAGGAATATCATACCTCGAAAAGCAGAACATAAGGGCGATGCCAAGTGAGAAAGATGTCCTCCTAAAAAACATGTCAGAGGCATTTCATAATAGCGTCGGGAGGCACAGTGAATGGACATGCGCCTTTGCGAAGACATACACCATGAGGGCAGTATCCCAGCCATCCGTCTCCCGATCGGCCGCCGGCTTTGTTGTACTCGATATACGGTGCGCCATGGATGCCTAGCCAGTGTTACTAATGGCTCCGAGAGTCATGCCATCTCAAAGAAGAAAAGAATTACCGGCAATCTGGAAGAAGCTGTAAGGGTCGTGGGAGTCCAGCTTGGACATGTTATACATGGCCTGAACATAGAGGTCCCTATTACAGACTCATTATGAGCATCACGTTCTTATTCTCCCTCTCTTGGGAGAACTAAAACACTCTTTTGGCTTCTTACCATTGCGGCCCCGATTTGACCAAGTCATTGATATTTTGTCTCAGAGGCACAGCGGAACCAGAGGAGACGGGAACACCAGTGACGGGGATGTGTGCTGTACCCTGTGCGAGTGAAACTGCGGCCAAGGCCAGCACCGAGACGGAAGCTTGCAACATCATGATGCGCTTCGGTTTAAACGAATGTGTGGTCGAAGAAAGGAAAAAGAAGAACGAAAGAAAGCTGTGAAGAGGCCAGAGACAGAAAAGGAAAAATAAAAAAAAAGGACCCTAGATGAGAGACGGGTAAACGGCGCGGCTCCTGTAATTGCCCCCTTGTGGGAACTTGAAAGTACGGAGTGAAAGCGAGCTCCCTTCCCTATACAGGCAAGTCGGTTCTTCTTCCTGCTGTAGGCGAAGGCCAAACGACTAAGAGGCTGATATAGAATATATATATACGACACCAATCTAGCTGAATGGATTATGCCATGTGACAGGGGTGGAGGAGAACGAGGATGGGAGGGATTCTCCAGGCCGGCTAGGGGAGGACAGCAGCAGCAGGCTGGCGATTTTGTATTATTTGCTTTGGCAGCTTCTTGGGATTAGCTGCCGGATCGTCCACCCCACCCACACGAGTACATACCGTTTGAGTATACACAGACACAGCTGGCTCGAATCTCAGAGCTACAGGGCGCCGGGAAGTCGGCAGCAGCGCAAGAGCAAACGGAATCGAGGAATGGCAGATCAGAGGAGCCGTCACCGACGCTGCGTGTTGTTAGTGTTAAGCATGCGTTCATTCACCATTGGCTTCTTTTCAGGGGGCTGGCCAACGCCTATCCCTGGACCACGATTTAAGCCTCTTTGTTTGGTTTATTTTTGTTCTTCCTTTCTCTTCCTTCTTCCCACGCGGCAATGCTAGTGGACAAAGTCGTACCCGCCGTGCCTGGGCAATACGGACGCCGCAAGGGAGGCAAGCGAAAGGGATGAACCTCCTTCGTGGAGACGCTCCCAAGCAGCGCCACGCCACGGCTTCGGGGGCCAAGCCCGATTGGCAGCAGTTCGGCAGCGAAAACATCTAGGCTGGGCACGATACGAGGAACTTGGGGACACGCATATCCAATCCCACACAAGGGCAGCTGCGCGGCGAGGCTACCAGTCGGCTCCAGGCTTGATTCAGCCCTAGTGTCAGGGCCGGGACCAATGGTGTCGAAACCGCCCCATGCCGCGACTGGAGATTCGACAGGCCTCGAGGAGATTTCAGGACGCTGGAGGCGTGCGGGGATGGGTCCATTATTCGCCAGGTCCGATGCGCCTTTGATAGGCTCGCGCGTGAAGATCGAGCGAAGGACGAGCGCGATGAGCGGTGCGCTGGTCTGAGACATGCTCGCCGGCGAAGCGCCGATAGCTTTTGCGCTGCTTGTAAGTTGTGCAAGGATAGACGGTAGGCGCCGCTGCTGGCTGGGAGACGTAGCATGACGTTTGCTCCCTGCGTGCGATTCTGACGATCGGCTCCTCTTTTCCTCTTGTCGTCGTCGTTGTTCTTGTTCCCAACGGAAATACCGGCTGATGGCCAAGCCACGGAGCATCAAAGGGAGGTGTACGGAGTAGTATCTAGTGTTCTCCCAATTTCTGTCATTTCCTTTTCGCCTCTGTCTCTTTGAGATACAGCCGAGTGCCGATAGACTGCTGACAGGCCAGGGATGTCGATAGCCTTTGTGGAAAGACAGGCGCATTGTGATTAAGTTTTTTTTCTAGCTTATATCCGGGCAAAGCTTGTATTGCCCACCGCGTGGAGCTATGCTTATAGCAGCAATAATGCCCAGCAAAGGGTCCGCCTGATCCAACTCTCGTAATGCTGCATGAGGAGCACGACCAGCGAACCGCCGTGGATGCAGGCGCATGTGCTGTATGCCGTGAGAGTTGCGCGCCATCCAGCCATCGCGCCACTAGCAGCCTGTTAGCAGCAGGCATGGCATTGCCCTTGACGCCCAAAGCTGGCCATCTCGTGGCTCAATCCGCGTGCCACAGCGTCAGCGCTCGCTGGCTGCCAATGGCCTCGACGGCTCTCCGCCTCACCGTCTGTCGATCCATGCGAATAGTGGGCCGGGCACGCGTTGTGTTTTGTTTTGTGCTCCCTGGGAATCTCAGCTGCTGCGAACCGGCCATTCGATGCGTGGCCTCGGCTGGGCCTTTGTCCTGTGTCTCACTGGCGATATCAATTGCTGCTACCTGGTGCTGGAGCAAAGCAACTGTCAGCATTACTCCCAGCATCAATGCTCCATAGCAGCGGTGCTACATACTGGTGCCAATGCCAGTAGTATCTGGACACTGCATTCTGGCTCCGGCGCGTGATAATTTTAGAAGCAGAATTAAAATTACGCATTTGAATAAACAAAAGAGGTGTGGCGTTTTGGACTGGTCTAGTACCTGGAACTGGAGGGTCTCGAAATCGGCTCCTTCGGCGTAGCATTTGAAAGCACCGGAGGCACCGATTTTCCTCCGCCGGAGCCTCTAGACGCACCACTGCCCAATTCAAAGAGGCCGCTCCAGACTATTGGGCAATAGTCGGAGAAAAGGATCGAGAAGCTCCAATGGAGACCGCTAGATGGCATTTTTTAATCTATTAGCCTTTGATGCCCAAGTCTATACGAAGAGCAGCTCTATGCTGATCATTGAGCGAGGAGGTTTGACGACGGGACAAGATGCGAAAAGGGATACGAAGAAGGGCTGAACATATCTCGTAATGCCAATGCTACCTGGAGCCCATTCTACCAGGTGCATGTGTTACTACAACTAACTACGGATATGGACACCAACATCTTATTACCTGAGTAAATACCGACTGTTGGCGCTAGATCGCCTGAATCTACCATTGCCAACTGAACCATGTTCTGGACAGCCTTGCATCAACTGAGATCCGTCACCGCCGCGCTAGCAGTAGTTCAGGTGTTGTTCATCTCATGTTCTTTTCATATATCACGAGCAACTCTCCCTACATGTATCGCACTTATACGAGACACACCCGACATAGGAATGTCCATACACTCTTGAGTCTTGGCTATCTGAACACATCAGTTAGTGGCTGAAAGGTCAGTCTGCTCTATCTATATGAGCCGGATGATTGCAAAGACTTGGCACAAAACTTTCATGAGCACCATTTACTACAGAGGCTGAGGGATCAATTGCCCCCTATGTTGGTTGGACTCTTGATTCTGAAAATTGACTATTGGGGTCATAACACAAGGCTTCAATCTCCAACTGCAGCTGCCCGTAAACCTCAATCAGAAACAAATTTGCTGCTATTCTTGGCCAGCCTCGGCCTCCTCACAGCGTAACGTGACCATCTGCAATTTCACGCTTGAAATAGCGCATGGTTATTTGGCTTATAGAGTATATCGCAGGTATTACAGATCGGAGACCCTGTCAGTAGCCATCCCTGGGCGTGTTAGTCGAGCTGAGCCATCTAGAAGCTCGTTGGAAATCCTCAGAGGTTGGTCACTTTGTACCGGATCGTACCATAATCTCGCAGAGTGTAAGACATTGGTGTACCAACTCTACATGTGCACGTAATCGGACATAATTACGGATCCTTCACAACTGCTAGTAGTGGTATGCCTACATATTTCGTCCAGAAATCTCGGCAAACGTCGTGTTGTCTCCTGTTTGGCGCGCTTGAAGCACCTATAGGAATACGAGCCAGCGAAATTAAATGCCTGATAGAGCAACACAAAACTAACGTCAATCCAGACAAAGCTGGAAAAAGTTTCCTTCACAACGGTTGTTTCTTTTCAGATGTTCTATTTTCGTTTGTGGCATCATTAGACTTGGCCGCGCATTTTTGGGTGTGGCGTATCTCTGTGATGTTGCAATACTCTTAATGAGGCGCACTTTGCTCAGCTCGTCATGGTCATGCTCAGCTCCAAGCCGAGATTATACTTTAAGCCTTGCAGGCTAAGCACTTAATCGTATGTTTCTTCATGCGCCCTTTAAAAGGAAAATGAGAAAAAATGGTGGCAAATGACTAAAGGAGCGGCCAACCGACGCCTTGAATCAACCTACTCAACAGCCATTGGGCGTCCAGCTCACATGGCTTTAAGCTTACTTCGTATTACCTCTGCGTGGCGTCTTACAACATTCTCTCTTTTTCCTCTGTTTCGCATCCCACCAGCTATTTCCAGGCTTGCTTGTTTGTTTTGCATAAAAGTTTCAATGCACTGCGACAGTCTACCCTGCTTAGTTCCAATTGTTCTACGGCAGATCTCAAGCTGCTAGCCGCATGTCACCCCCCAGCGCATATCTTTCCATCTTCGTCTACCCCGTTGACGTCAAAGACGATTCAGCTGTCCATCCAATCTACAAGGGGGGGCCATTTCCTCATCGGGATATGATCATCTACCAGACTCCGGCAACTCCCACAAGACACTCGAGTCGCCTAGATTGGATGAATTGAACCCATTAGCACCATTCGTATCGAAAAAGGAGGCGGTATGACAGGCCCGTCCAGCGCCGCACGTGGTGATGTCAACCATTGCGCTGGCAATGGGCGCTAATTCGGCTGTGGCAGAGTTGGACAAGAAGAAAAAAAACGGCTGCTCACTCCGTTAGTCTGGGTTTTTTTTTTGTCTTTGACGATCGTGATCGTTCTTGTAAACCCCGTCGGAAAGAAAACAGGCAAATTGGAACGGATGACGCAAATTCCGCTGCTCAACCTTAATTCAAACCTGTGAACGGGCTACACGACATCATCGCGCGCTTCTCACTCAGCCAATGATACCATCATAGCCTCTTAGAGCTGAAAAGAGCACTGCATATCATCTAATGCAAGATTGTACAAAACATCGTATTCAAAAAGAGGAGTAGAAAAGAAAAAGAAAAAAATAGGCACTGCCGCCCCAATGCTCAATAAAATCAGACCTTTGCCGTACTCTTTCGCCTTTATCTTTACAATAGCCAACATATGGCTTGCCTCAGCCGGATTTATGACCATACCCTGCCTTCCCATTCATCTAGACAATTTCAAACAAAACAAAAGAAAAAGAAATAGTGTTTGTGGCAACTATGGTACCATTGAAGGAAAACAAAAGGGGAAAAAATATGCCCAGAAAGTTACATACACAATGCTGCTGGTGCTCACCCCCTTAAAAACCTTATCCATGCCTTTTGTTATATAGTAGTAGTCATAAAAGTCATTCATGTAGCCGCCTCAGTCTCTCATTGGCGATCTGATTTCTGCCCTAAAGCCTCAGCCTCAGCTTTGGAATCTACCCCACGATGACAAGCTCGTCATCGTCGTCGGGTAAGATCACCTGCCGGTCGGCCAGATTCCTTTCGGACAAGTTGCCAAGGCTCTCGCGGCCAGCCTCTCGGATTCCCTTTTCCGTGACAAACCGTGTCTTCTTCCGAAGCGGTGGTTGCTCTGGCTTGAGCTTCTCCCCTTCCTTCATGCTCGACAGCTTGTCCTTTAACGCGCCGCCCCAGCCAAGGCCGGGCGGCCTGCTGTGAGTAGTACTATTACTATTGCTACTGTTGCTCCGCGTAAGAGATCCAGTCTGAGAACTACCCGTCCGTTTCCTCTTCACAGGGCTGAGGTGGATGTCACGAGCCTTGTCGAGGAGGCCGAGCGAGGCCGCATCTGGCTTTTCGGGTTCAGTAAAGGGATCTGCTGTGTTGAAGAGCTGCTGGCTCGAGCTCATGCTGCTGGGTGCCAGGCCTGCATCGGTTCGAGATCTTGCGCGCTGCATGTATTCTTTCCCAGCGGCATTGCCGACTTCGCCAAGCTTCTTCATCATCTCGCGCTCCTTTTCCTTGGCTTCCATATTGCGTCGTAGAAACTCGGCCTTGTCCTTCCTGTCTGAAGGATCTCGGTCTTTGCCGTCAAGTAGCTCTGAAGCCGTATGCCCTCGCGCCGCATACCAATGCGTCTTGGTCTCCCAGTCGTAGTCGGTGTTTTTCTTCTTGGCCGGCTCAAAAACTTCTGCAGAGTTTTTGCCCTGAAAACGAGAGCGAGTGCCAAAGCCACTCGAGTTGACTTCCATTCGTGCACTTCGCTGCTTCCGGATGGCCTCGTTGGAATGAAACTCGCAGAATTGCGTTCGCTTCTTGTTCACCCAAGACCTGCACAGTTCTCCATCCTTTTTGATTGCTTGGCAGAAGCCCAAGTCGCGGGCTGACCCAACCTCGAGAATCGTGTCCTCGTCGGAATTAATGACCAGGCTAAAACGTCCAGTATCTTGTCTTCCAGGTGGTGGTGGCATAACATTGGGATTGAGAATGGCGACAACAGTGCCTTCTGTGAGCTTCCAGTATTTAGTGAAGCCCGAGTTGAATAGAAATAGATCCAGTTCGTATTCCAAGTCAACCAGAGTCAGTACCATGTACTTGCCACGGTCCTCGTCTTTCTGTCCGTTCTTCCCCGCGGCGGGCTTATGCGCTCGGGGTTCTGACTTTTTTGCTACAATCGCAAAGACGATGATGTCCTCTTCGACATCTGGCAGAGCAAAGTCTGGACCCTTGACCTCTCGCAGTAGATCTTTGATATTAAATATTTTCTTGCCAGAAACATGCCTGGCTACGACTCGATTGGGTAATATCCGTTTGGAAAGATGTATGCTAGAGTAAGGTTCAAATGATCCTTGCTCTTCCGTGGAGATGTCACTAGTCGGCAAGCTGTTTTTACGGCCTTGCGAGGACTGCTGTATGAATGGGGGGATATTGCCATATGGGGGATTGCCGTTTCTCCCAGCGGTATCGCGCAAATCAGACACCGTACGGGTCCGTTGCAACACCACAGGTGGTTTCGATTTGCCCAGGACCTCGTCCCTGCTAAAAGTCGGGGCCTGCAAAGGCTCGTCCGGAATGTCGACGGCATTCTTCTTGTATTCTTCCATTTCCTCCTTGCCAATTCCGACGAAAGCACTGGATCTCAGCTTTGATATCCTCTCTTGCCTTTCGGTGCGAGACACCTCTTCTGATCTTACAGAGGCCAATCGCTCATTGAAGCTGAGTGACCGGAATCCTTCGGGTGATGACATTCCTGATGGACTAGCTGCCTTTGGCTTCTCTGAATAGCTTCTCTGCGCCGCCCTATCGATGCTTACCGGCCTTCGAAAGCTTGGGGCGCGTTTTAGAGAAACATCCTTTGCCCGCAGCCCCTTGTCGATGCCCAACAGCACTCTACTTGGTGATTTTGGATCCTGTGGAGGCTGTATTTTCCGGACGGGAGACGCAGGGACCTGCACCATATTTTGGGATGCAGGCCGTGGATGTTCCGGCGTTGGTGTAGTCCCGCGAGCAGCGCGCCGTGGCTGGACGCTCGACGTAACAGAGTTTGAGCGAGAGTGTCTGCCCTGGGCGGCATTCTCGCGGGCCTTTTGCAGCTTCTTCAGCTTCAATCGAGCCTGGATCTCCTGCAGCTTCAGCTGGAGCGTCTCCTCATCGTCATCGTCGTCATCGTCATCCATCTGTTCCTGAAGCGCCCCGGATCGCGCCATGACCGATGCCGTAGCCCTGCTGCTCTTGGATGGAGAGGGCGTGGGTGTCGGCGAGGTCTGATTCATCATTTCTCGGTAGCGCTGGCGACCTTTCGGGGTGCTCATGAGGGCTTCGTGGGGCGACCGAGGAGGCCAAGAGGTCTCAGACTCTTGCGGTCCTGCTGGGCGGTCAGTCGCAATTAGCAGCGGCAGCGGCCTGGGCCACTCACCGTGGGCCATGTTGGTGATGCTATGCTATGCTATGCTGATACTGATGCTGATGCTGGTGGATTGTCGGGTTCGCGGTCCTGCGCCTCTGCCCAACCACTCCAGCCACCCCCCCGGATCTATCTCAGGCACGACAACGCAGGGCACCAGCAGCTAGGCCCAGGCTCCCTTGTGATCCGTCAGCGCTCTGGGGCCATACGGAGGCGACGGGCTGAGCGGCCGCAGATGAGGTTTTCGCTTCTCGACAGGGCCTGCGACGCGGGCAGCTCGGCGGGGAAGCGCACAGATGCAGCGGCCAAGCGAGACGGGACGAGATGCGAGCGCCAATGACGGGCAGATTCCTCGTGGTCGTAGGAACAGATGGCAGTACGGCAGTGTCGATAGTAGATGAAGGAGAGAAGAAAGGCAGTCCAGGCACTGGGCGCAAGCGCTGTTGATCTCGTGCAGGCGTCGCCGCTTGGCTTGTTGATCCAGCTTTTGCTACGATAGGCCTAGCAGGTAAAAAATGATGCGCTGTTCGGGCACCGCTTGTGCCAGCCGGTAAGGCTTGGACACACAAATCGTGGGCGGTGGGGACTCGGCAGTGGCTGCACAGCTTGACTGGCTGAGGTGGAGCGCATCGCCAAAGGCTAAAACGCGGGATGGGCGCAGAACGCGTCCATCGCGTCTTTAGACTTTGGCAGGGGTCGGAATGCGACAAAACCAGGCTGTGCCTTTTTCCTTGTGCCCTTGAAAAGCGAGAGGCAGAGGAAGGCTTTTGCATGCGACAGCGCGGCTTAGGCTAGGAAAAGGTTCATTGGTCTTTTGATAGCCCTGAAACAGCTGCAAAGGAGCTGACCAGCTGCATCAATCGCGTCAATTGCGTTTGCGACACCGCCATGGCAAGGACACGATCAACGAAGCCCTCGACGGCGGCTTCGGCCACAGATTCCGACTCAGCCAAGTCAAAATCGACAATAACCCTCGTCTCCCACGTCGGCGAGGCTCCCAAAGTCTTCATTCTACCGTCAAAGGCCACTCCGGATGCCCGAATTGTCACGCTCCCGAATCCACGAAGCTCACAGCCGTCGCGATACCTCGCATGTCCCGAAACCGGCATCTATGAATTCACAAAAATAGCGACGCCGAAATCAGTGCCACGAAGTTGGCTTATTGAAGCTGCGCCCAACTCCAATGGAACAAGGACAGGCGGCCAAGGCGCAAGACCAAGCGCGCAGGTGACCATGGGATCGGAGCTCTTTGTAGCAACAGCTATTGATCCCCTCTTCTTAGTGCTGCCGGCGCTGGCCGACGCAAAGGCATCAAAGGGCTCGGATGAAGTAAAGCGGCTGTTTCTATCCAGTGATGATCACTTGGATAAACTACCACAGGAGAACTCACATTTATCTGAGATTATGCGCTGGGAGACAACACGGCGACTGATAGAAAGCCGGATGGGTGCAGTTTGCGACACTGTTGAGGCTGGTGATGAATCCATGTTTCGGCTTAATGAGAAGAAACTCTTGGACGTCATCTTTCAAAAGGCCAAGAGGATGAGCGAGAGTGGCTTGCCACTGAGCATGGAAGACAAGTTTGTGAAAAAGGTTCTTCAGGCGCCGATGATGCACAGAGTGGTGCGAACGGGAGAGAGCCAGCTGAGCGGCAACAACGTCGCCGATTCGGGATCCTCTACTCCACAGACAGAGTCGGCAACATCTCAGTCTACAGCGTCAACCACGGAGACTAGCGATGCATCGGTATCTCAAGCAAGCACAGCCGCAACATCAGTTGCCGAGGAGCCGGCAGAGGAGAATTTTGCCAGTTCTTTACAAGCTTCACCAGAAGTAGTCGAGCAGCAAAGACTGAAAGTAGCGTTTGAGTTTATCTGCTCTAGCTACGTGGGCCCCGTATTGGCTGACAATCTCCAAAAGTCATTTTCCGGAGCAGGAGGCCTCAAAGACTTTTCTCTTCTCAATGATTACATTGCCAGTCTTGAGAAGCTTCGGTCAGAGACCATGGCAGTGAGAGCACAAGACTACGGACGCAAGAGAAACCAAGATGAATTGGAAGATGAGGCCCGGATGGAGAAGAAGAGAAAAGTGGAAGAGGAAAAGAAGAAGAAGGCGGGCGAAAGTCGCGGAGTCCGAGACCTCAAAAAGGTCAATACGAGCGGTATGATGAAGCTAAGTCACTTCTTTCAGAAGAAATAGCATTTTACATACAGCTTGCACTTTTCTGGGTATCTATGGAGTATCGAATAATGAAACAAAAATGAACCCCCTGTTATCAAGGTCCAAGGCCGGGTTCCAGCTCACACGACTATTTGGCTCTGCCATAACGACTCCTAGTCGTTCCAAGTCCTCTCCCAATACCAGACGTACCACGACTACTTGACGAAGCTGAAGCGTTGTTACTTGAGGAATATCTTGAACGGGTGGCGATCCTTGATGACCCTGGAGCTATCCTTGTTCGACCACGAGCTCCACGAGCTCCACGGCCGGAAGGAGCCCCGCGAGCGCCTCGAGCCGCAGCTGATGCAGGCAACTTTCTTCTCTGCTCGTCTTCTTCCCGCCGTTGTCGGAGCTCTTCTTTTCGCTCCTCTTCTTCGGCCGCTTTGCGCGCCTCAGCCTGTTGTTTCCGCAGCGCTTCTGCTTCAATTTCCGCCAAGTCATCGGTTGCGCCTTTCCATCTCGGGTCGAGGATGAGGCGCTGGTTGTGCTCTGTCTGTGATAGGATGCGAGTCCAGGTATTGAGAAGCGTGGAAGCATTCGAAACGGTTTTAGAGACGGACTAGAGTGTGCGTCACATGTCAACGCCTGTCACGGCACATCCCATACATACGCCTTTGAAGCTCGAGGACCTACCTCCATGTTCCCGCCGGCCCGCTGCAGGGTGCCTATGACACCTTCAATGACCTCATTGATCTTTCGTACGCCGTCCAGCTCCCTCTTTAGCATTGCATCTCGGTCGACGGGCTCGGAGTGGTGATCGTTTCCCGGTGGCGTTCGTGGGGTTCGTGGGGTTCTGGGAGTCTTTGGTGTTTTCGGACGAGGCTGATCGGGGTCGTTTTTGACTGGCGACGTCCAGAGATCTGATTCATCCAGATCCATCTCGCCAGCCATGTTTGCTTTTCTGATGGAAGATCTGATTTTTTGTGCGGTCGAGCTGAGTACAAATAGGTTAGATAGCACTCGACTGGATGTAAGATGTCGTCTGAATTGCACCGCAGATCGCAGATATAAAGTGTTGCTTCCTTCAAGATGCTTTCAGCAGGTGACGTTTACTCGCGTGTCGTTGGTCGGAGTGGGGGAGTGTTTTCCAATTTCGCCAATCGTGCATCGGGCACCAAACTGTCGAAGTGGCTGAATGGGCAGATCCAGATTGAGTTGTGCAGCATAGCACATTTTTTGCGGGCTTGCATCGCTGCCGTGGTGATGCTGTCGACAAGGTTCAAGCTTCACGGTGGATCTCTGTCGCAGCAGCCACCAATCGCAGCCACTGCAGGCTCCAGAGCCTTGGGCACCGCAAACAAGGGCTGGTGCGCTGTGATTGGCGCGATGTGGCGCGAAACCTACGCGTTGCCGCTGGCTACAGGCGGGGGTGCTCAACGCGTCTTGCCCAGGCTCTGCGCTAGCGACCTTGCAGCGGGCCAGCAAAGGGAGGGCTGGCACACCCATTCCAGCGCTGGCGGTTGCCCCAGCCCCCTCCAGTTTCATTTTGCAGTCTAGCTCCCGGAATCCTGCTCTCCTCCTCAGCCATCCATCACCAAGCATCGTCAGGCCGAGCACCACTTCGCGATATTATTTTTTCCACGCCATTGCTGAAACTTGCTCCGTCCATCGTGCCGTCGTCGCTGTCGCCCTCCGAACTGCGCATGGCCCTCCCGCCATAGTATTAATTCCCGCATCGACGCCATAGACCGCTTTTCTCCCCGTGCGACGGCTTTTTCTTTGTTTTGGCCCGGTTATTGATTTCTGGCTCGTCACGAGTTCACGTTTCCGCTGCCACGACAGCCTTGGGAGAAGACCCAGGATACACTAGAACTGCACCCGTAACCTCGCTTTGCTCCATCTCGTCGACTCGATTGGCGCCTCATCATCTGATATTTTGGTTTTCCCGGGATTTTATTTTCCCTCGTTTTCAAAATGGCCGTCGTCGACGCTACCCCCTCGACGCCTTCACCTCCATCTTCTTCCATCCGAACGCCACCAGCCCCCCGACTTGGCTACCACGATAGCTGGGAACCGTATTCACCACCACGCAAATCAGCGAGACTGTCTGCGCAGCGTGTTTCTGCCAGAACCCCATCGCCTCAGCCTGCAACTCGCCAAGCAGTTTCATCGCCTCGCGCCGCAGCAAAGTCGGCCGCTCAAAGCTCCGCAGCAATGGCCTCACCAGTTTCCTCACCACGCAAGAAGCGCCAACCTGCCGCCGACTCGGTCCGTCGCGTCGCTGCAGCCTTGGCGGCCGGATCTGCTGCTCCATCAGGATCAAAAGACAAGTCTGTCGCCGGCCGAGCCATCGCGTCTTCTTCTCTAATGCTTCCAACGCCATCTAAAACGCCTCAGAAGCCCCCAACTTCCAAGGAGACTGCAGAGATTCAATCCTTTGCTCGCAATCTATTTCCCACCGAGGATGCTGATGTATCAAGTCCCCGTAAGAGGCGTTCAAAGAAATTTTCAAGCATCACTCTGGAGGGTTTCCGGGCTGAAGCTGAGGAGGATATCGAAATTTTCACCGATTCTCAAGAGCGCATCCCCAAGAAGGATGACAGCAAATTGAACCCTTTTGCGAGCAATGCTACCAGTGCTGAACCCTCCAAACGCCGGACCAAGCGTAAGGTGATGATCCCTGGCGAAGGAGCTCAGTCGGTTGATGAAGCCGCGCGCCGTGACGACGGCCTGATTTACGTATTGTAAGCACCCCTGCAAATTGTATGCATCACGAGAATACGCTCTAACACTCAGACTCAGCCGTGGCAAGAAATTCTTCCGCAAGTTCTCCGAATTTGATGATGAAGTAGAGGATGAAGAATTGGATTCAGATGTTGAGGCTCATTTCTCCAAGCCACTCACACGATCATCCATCAAGCCTAGACTACTCTTCCCCACCAAAGCACCCGCTCCAAAGACCAAGCAGATGCTTGAAGAGGAGGAGGCGGCAACTGATGTCGAAGATGCCAAGGATGCTACCGAGGCAGAGGAGCCCTCAGCACCTGTCGAAACACCTGTCAGAACACCTGTCAAGGCCAAGGAAGAGAGAGCCCAAACCCCAGAGGCTCCGAAATATGCACCCGCATCTCCGCCAGAAACCAGGCGAACCACTCGGTCTACCAACAAGCTGGCCGCAGCCCCAACACCCGCCAGACGCGCTGCTGGCAAGAAGAGTCCTTTCGACTCGTGGCTTCGAACCAAGGAGTCGGCAAACCGATCAGGCACGAAACGCGCTGCTGGCGAACCACTGCCCGCAGCTCCTGCCAAGAGAACCCGCTCCTAGATGCCACACGGCGGCTCTTCTCTGCTTCAGTTCGTCTCTTCTTTTTTCTTTGTTCACTATACCAATAATAGCTTCTGGTTCTTTTCTTTTGTTCTCTATTTGAGAAAGATGTGACAGAAAGGCGAGCCGACACCGCTCTGCACTACTTTCGTTGTGAATTAATTTTGGCATTCGGCAGTGTTGAATATTCTTATCCATCACAACCGGCAAGTGGATATGGATGGAATTGGTCAGTCAGTTTGGCGTTTAGCAGGCAATGTGGATATGTGTGTCATCCGAATAGCAGATGCACAACTTGAAAAGAGATGACAGGCCGTGTCACGATGGTCTGCTCTCCAATAAATCACGGTCATGGCTGTACGGTTTTTTATTTTTGTGTTGGTCTCATGTTTGTGTATTGAATGTAACTAGTGATTGTGGAAATTGATTGATGTTGTCCGAACTGATTGTAAACAAACAAACACGCTTCTCATACCTCTCATGCCCTTATGTCTGTTGCTTCCAACATGTGGTGATGCCCAATCTCCAACTGCTGACACCGACTTAACTCCAGCTTATGCCGCATGTAACCCAGCCCCATAACGGGAAGCACCCAAAGACCCCCAGAAGGCCTGAAGATGCCTCTGTATCCAATTGCATGTGCCCTGTAATAGTTGTCGGCTAGTGCCGCTGCCCCACGTCTGCCGCCCCTCACTCGCGAAAAGTGGTACTTGCGCTTTTCTTACAACCTCGCTTCTCGATCAACGACTGGAATTATTGCGTGCTTGCTTCAAAGCAGACCGACTATCGGCCACGAGCTGCCAATGGTCTAAGCGTGCCGCCGTTTACTTGTTTAAATTATCCTGGAATCCCGCTGGCCGCCCTGCCTCCTTCGATCCTCCCTCTACAGACCCCGAAAAAGCTCCCCAGTATTCACAACAAGATGCATATCCTCGTAACCAACGACGACGGACCGCCCTCGTACCACTCTCCCTACATACACACGTTTGTGCGGCACTTGGAGCGAGCCGGACACACCGTCTCCGTCTGCGTTCCGGACACACAGCGCTCCTGGATCGGCAAAGCGCATATGATCGGCCAGACGCTGAAGCCTGTCTATTACCGCCCCTCGGCCAACAGCCATGGCGACGATATCGAGGGAACAACACACGCCCGGCCGTCTCCCTCAGGCGATGCGGAAGAATGGGTCCTCATTGACGGAACGCCGGCGTCTTGCGTGCAGATTGGCACAAACCACTTCTTCCAGCACAAGGGACCAATTGACTTGGTCGTGAGCGGGCCAAACTACGGGAGGAATAGCACGGCGATATTTGCACTGAGTTCTGGAACACTGGGCGCGGCGCTGGAGGCAGCAGCCTGCAAAGATAAGGCCATTGCTCTGAGCTTCTCGCAGACTCACGACGCAAAACTCATCGATGCCGCATGCCGGCACAGTCTTCGGATCATTGAATATCTCTACAAGAACTGGCCGACTGACGGCAGCGCTGATCTGTACACAATCAACGTTCCTCTTGTTGAAAACATTGAGACGAACCCGGTAGTGTGGACAGACATTCTACAGAATTATTGGTCCAAAGAAGGCTGCTTTGAGGCTATTGAACCCCAAGATGAGGCGGAAAGGATAGGGAACGGAGCTGATGGCGCGGTCAACGGGGCTTCCAAGGGACTCACGCATAAAAACTTCAAATGGGCGCCTAAAATCATGGAAGTGCACAAGACTATCCAAGAAGGAGGGCCGGGATCCGATGGATGGGTTGTTAGAGAAGGCAACACAAGGTAAGCGTTGCCATCTATGACTGTGGAATTTTATGACGACAGCATAACCAATTTACTAACCCGACTTTTTCTCTGCTAGTGTTACACCTCTCAAGGCAAACTTTGCTAGCTGTGCGGGAGACAAAGCTCTGCAAGAGATCAAGCTGTGAGTACCTCCGCTGCGTTTATGGCATTAGAGTTTTGGATTTCTGTTGTTTGTTTTTTTACGAGTCAAAGACGGAACACGCGTTACGATTGATGATATGAACTGCATGTAGACTTGTTTTGCGTAATTGAAAGACTAAAATAGAAGATATTCTCACACCTAATTTTCTTTTCAGTCCTCCTATAACATTACCTTCTACAGCAGAATTGGCTATTCGAGAGAGCCCTAAAGATCAAGACACGTCGAATCCTGGTATTCAAGCCATAGTGGCATACGATGACCCTTACGTGCAGCCTCTTATTGTAGCCGCACTAAAGGCCGTGTTACCGAAGGAAGCATTCAATCTCATCACCGATATATCCTTGGAGAACCTCGACTTGTCGACGAAACTCTCGTCTTCCGATAACAATGTGTTGCAAATTGTTCCTTACGAAGCAATCGACTTCGAATTTGCCTCATCGCATACCAAAACCAGCCTTATTAATAGCTACATGATCCGGAAAGCGCTCATCAGGAAACACTACCTATCGGCAACGCTGGATCACTGGGCAGCCAAGAACCCCGACTCCGTTCTCAAGAAGCATCTCAGGCGCAGCGAGGCCTTTGAAGTAGACTATGCCGAGTTCCTCGATGACGCTCTCGTCGAGGCGTTTGACCTCAGGGAGAGCCTGGATCGCAACGCGGACAAGGAGGACACAAGTGAGAGAGAATGGTGGATCCTGAAGCCGGGAATGAGTGATCGTGGCCAAGGCATCCGTCTATTCAGCACCATGGATGAACTGCAAGACATTTTCGACGGATGGGAGGCTGAGCGACCTGATAGTGACGACGAAGACGAAGACGACGATGCCCAGGGAGGCGAAGCAGAGGAAGGACATGCTGGCGGTGGTGACTACATCACAGCCTCCCATCTCCGTCACTTCGTGGCTCAGCCGTACATCCATCCTCCCCTGATCCTCTCCCCTGGCGGCCACAAGTTCCACGTCCGGACATATGTCCTCTGCACGGGAAGCCTCAACGTCTACGTCTACAAGCACATGCTCGCCCTCTTCGCGGGCAAACCTTACACAGCCCCTTGGGAAGCGCCTACGGACATTGAGGCGTTCCTGACAAACACATGTTTGCAAGATTCGCCCAACGAGAACACGGTGCAGCGGTTCTGGAACCTACCTCTGGAGAAGACGACTGTGCTGGAGAAGGTGTTTGGGCAGATTTGCGAGACGACGGGAGAGGTGTTTGAGGCGGCGGCGAGGGCGATGCCGATTCATTTCCAGACGCTGCCGAATGCGTTTGAGGTGTTTGGGCTGGATTTCATGGTGGATGAGGATGGGGAGGCGTGGTTGTTGGAGATTAACGCGTTTCCGGATTTCAAGCAGACGGGAGGGGATCTGAAGGAGATTGTGGAAGGGTTTTGGAGGGGCGTGGTGAAGGTTGCGGTTGCGCCGTTTTTTGGGGTGCAGGGGATTGTGGGAGGGAGTGAGGAGGATGGGGATATGGTGCTTGTGAGGGAGGTTGATTTGGGGAGGAGGTGAGCAGGATTTGAACTTTTACTACCCGGTGGCTTTTGTTTTGGATAGATATATAGAGGGGCGGGCATTTATAGAAAAGTTTTTGCTTTTGCTTCTTGACAGATGTGTCGATGAATATTTGGTATGGATATGATGTTGGGTAAGTGTGAAGTGACTGGAAGCTGTTCGTATCAGCTCGTACTTACAGACTCAAGGTCGCCAAAAGTATTTTCGCTGTTGACTGCCGCTTTGAGTCTTTTTATTCGGGACAACCATGCATGAAATGGCCTCGTAAATATATTGTTTCCTTTGTAACCAGGAGTTTCACGTATTCTCAGGTTGAGCAAGTTGGCTACCCTGTAAATATCGTATTCGACAACGCATCTGTGGATCCACGTTATTATCGAATACGAAGTTGGAGAAGGAAATAGATTTTTTTGAATCATTTCCAGTTCTCTCTCTTTTTTTTTTCCTTGTTTTCTTTCTTTTCGCTTGTTTGTGAAATACTTGGCTGTGAAATTGCTGAAAAGTGAGAATCCGCCTCGTAAAGTGCCTTGTATACAAAACTATGAAATAAAACCCACCATTGTGCGAGACTAATTTACCAGCGATTAATGTAGGTCTATGTATTTTTGTTCTATAGGACGCTACTTATTACGAGTCGAAAAGTACATGTAATTTGATTTAAATAGATATCGTATACCGATATGCGCCATGTAGTTGCAACAAGCCTCTTGCATTAGTGGAGAGCGTCGAACGGGGTATATCTCTACGCCCACCTTTGCCTTGGATAGTAGCAATACGTGTAAGGGTAAAAGCCTCATATATGGAGCTGATCTAGTCGGGAAGTAGATGGGCGGTGAAATGCTCGCTTGGTGAATAAGTTTGCGCGGTATTTTCCTAAAGGCAAGGGTATTTCCTAGTTCAAGGCAGTTGGGCATACTACAAGGCACAAAGAACGATGGGAAAGATTAGAACGTGGCAGCGTTTAGTGTTTAATAGAACTGTCCTTGAGCCTACGTGCTGCCTGGTAGTTCAGGCAACATCACACAGTCCATGCATTCCTCACTGTACCTAATCAAATGTGTATTCAAAAAGCAGCGTATGGCAACGTCATATTATAGTCTATAGGGGTATCAACGCTTTTGCCAAACCGTATCCAAACCATACGCCAACGCCAGCTTAACCATTGCTTGAAGATATGTAACAAGATAGTCCAATGATCTAATCCGATATACTCTCGGGCAATAGAAATGGATCAGCTACGCTACTAGCGGAGAGCCGTCACCATCGTATCTGCTCCCACCATAGCTGAACCAAAAGTCCATCTCGGAATCCACAGTGGAAAGCGTTGAGTATGACGACTCCGTATCGTCGTCAGTATCGTCAGAATCCATTTGGTTCAGCAGCCGTTGCTCGTCTAGCCATTCTCGTAGCAGCGGCTCAGTGTCACCCTCATGGTCTATTTGTTCGTCGTCCATTTCATCACCGCATAGGGTGGTGTCCTGGCTCCCCCATTCTTCCCAGTTCGTCTCCTGCTGGCGTGTGATGTATAGCAGCTCTTCCAATACAACTTCTGGCAAAAGGTAACGAGGCCAGGAATATTGCCGTGGGAAATCTATGTAGCTCACGTGGTGCAGCAACATACAGCCGCACATGTACGGCACCACGCAAAGATTTGCGGCGATTATTGGCAGCGTGGATGGCACTGGCTTCGATACACACCATGCGAGAATGTTGATGCAGGTGACGTCTGTACAGAAGAGAACTACGAGCAAGCTGAGTTGCGCGCACTGGTAGTATTCAAAGCCTCTTATGGAGGCTGGATATGCGTTAGGTGAATTGAAGCCAATGATGAGATGAAGGGTGTCGTACCGTTGTGTTTGTGCGTCATCAAGTACAAGACGGTGCAGAATGGGATGATGCCAAAAATAATGGCAGATGTATAAAGGACTATACGGTATTAGGTATCTGGACTTGGTAGAATGAAAAGCCGTTGTGGGAGTCCTTACTAAATGGACAAGTTGTTGCCAATAAAACGCTTATGCCTTGTCCAATCTCTGGAGTGGAATCGTACGAATCGTACGTCATTGTGTCTGCCGTTTCGATAGATTTCTTGATCTTGAAGCTATACCGAGATGCAAAACAGATGAGAATGCAACAAGGCAGAATTTTCCAAGAGGGCCTACGAAAACGCTTCCTTTATATACCCCTTTAGTAGGAGTCTTATCCATCCTTACGTGGCCCTGCTGCAAAATTCTCTCAAAGTATAACTATAAACATGTCCATCCGGGTTGAAGTATCAGGAAAATGCAAAGATTGGCTTGCGTGTTATCAGAAAGTCAAATAGACTCGATCGAGGCGGTATAAACTGCAATGAGAAAAAACAAAAGCTTCGTTGAGATATTTTACTAGCGACTGACTCATTTCATCACCTAATGTGGTTTTCGGTCGTTTTACGGACGATGCTCTTGGAAAAAGGCGTATCGTTTGCATCTTTTCAGAATGCCTTTGTATTTTTATAGAATTTAAGGCTGGGATTGTGTCTGTATCGAAGTAGTTTGTACACTTTAATAACCTCAGTGGCACTAAATCTTTTCTAGATGTCGTCGAAGGAATTAAAGGACTACGTTTGCAGAAATATCTCGTGGTATCACGCCTCCAACACAGCGTACGGGATCAGCCTGAATGATCCGGGTGATAATGAAGGACCAGACGCCGCGTTATTCTTGGGCACTCTTATCTTCATGGAGCCCTATAATGAGAATAAGCTTCCAAGAAACTGGAAGAAGTTTGCCGCCAAGCATCCACGCCACATTCAAAAGATCAGAAAGGCGGCGTCAAGATTTATCATGATGGAAAGTTCTTCTCAGTTGCACATTGACCTGGCGCCTGACACAGCAAAGGTGAAAAAAAAAAAAAAAAACTTGGTGTTTCGTGAGATGACAGAGGCAGAGCAATGTGAGTCTGGGGACAAGACGAGGAAAACGAGGAAAGCGGGAAAAGCGAGAAAGGCGGCATCAAAGCGAAGGCGCAGTCTGGTTCCCATCATACTCTTTTTTTGTCCACTGCATGTTTTATCCATGAGAAGATAGAATTACGCGTCCATCACCAACTGTAGTCGTCACAGAATAATAGTACATATAGCGCAAGACACTATGACTTAGGTACTGCGTACAAGCTAGGTAGGAGCAGTCATTCACGATAGCTTCAGTTTTACATGGCTGATGTACCCAACTGGCCGAGCACATGACTGGCCACCCAAAGCCTTGGTGGGTTATGATTCTCAGGCAAACACCAAATTACTCGGCTAGGCAATATTCTCGAAGCTTCTTTTATCCGCCTTACGACGCCTGTGGTCCAAGGCTGGATTAAACATCAAGGCTTGTTGACACGAGCAGGTTTTCAATCGTGTAGGCTCAACCAAAGACAAATGAATTCGCCGACGAGCTTCTAAAACATAGCTCAGGCGTACAATCAAAAAGCGCCATCTGTCTGGGCTCGCATAGGCCTGTTATCCACCGCCGGAGACGGGACTTATTTTCCTGATGAGGCTGTGCACAATATTGGACAAGGTTGGCGGCTTATTCCTGCATCCATCCGGCGCAAATTAATGCCCTCGGCTTCAGGACTGCCAAGAGTGAAAAGTTTGCTCTACTTTCTACTAGTTAGCTCTTTATTCGCGGAGAAAAAGTAACAAGGCATTTAAAAGAAAAAAAAAAAGGAAAACATAGAAGAAAAATAGAAGAAAAATTCCTCTACAAGTTTTGCTCATGCAACAAGTCACTCGGAGCGCGCATCACCGGGCTACCATCCGAAGGCTGCCGGCACGATATTGATTGGAACATGGTGTGATATCTCAGATGCCACAGTGACAGCCTGCAGCGGCAATATGATGAGCTTTAGCGGCCCAGAAGAAGCGGGCAGCAAAATAATTCGCTATCGATGATGTTAGGTAGCTGCTCAGCCTCAATGCGTGCCGGTGGTAGCTTGCCGAGATAGGGAACTCCAAATTAACCAATCGTGCGGAACACACAGTTTCGGCAAAGGCAATGTATGCGGGTGCCATGATTCGCTCAGAGGCGACGAATAGACTCCTTCTACACCCTTCCACCCTCTTTTGTCGGGCGGAATCCTCCATGGGAGGCAAATGGCCGGAAGCATTTGGTACAAGTATGACCATGGCTTGACGAACGAGGCAGAACAAGGTTTACAGCCACGGCAGCTAAGGACATCCACACCAGCAAAGACCATCTGAAGATCGTGAGAGCTGCTGTGCTGTAGCGGACCAGGGCCCCTTGGCCTAAGCCCCGTACAGTGCGAAGGAGAGCAAAGGCGGCAAAGGTGATGAGTCCTTGGGCTGTGCTAAAACTGCTTGTTTAAGCCAGACAACGTGCGTCCATATGTGGAGGTTGCCAGGGCGCTATGCCGTTTAGCATCTTGGAACACACCTTAACAGCAATAAGGTGTGCCGGGGTGGGCGGCTAGCCTAGCCATAGTTTGCCTGGGAATTGCGACTGGACCATGGTGAGTGACGATATTGGTGGTTTGTGATATAATGCCTGGCTCCCCTTTTCAAAATGCTTCGCCGTGTTGGTGAGCTTGGCAATGAGCTTGGCCATGAGCTTGGCGGCAGGGTCGGTGGGCAATCCAAATAACCTCGAGGCAAGATGCTGTGTTGCGTGTAATTGTGAGTTTCCAGGCCCGCAAGCGTGCTCCATACTCCCCACATCGACGAAATTTCAAGGTTTTGGCTGTCTGACTTGGCCATGTTGCCGTGTGGACTATGAAAGAGATTAGGGAGATGAGGTTCGGTCTTGTGCTCCAAGTCCAGCTAGTTGGCCATGTTGGGACAGAGTCATGCTCTTCTCCCAGCCGCTTGGTGCCTGAATACCTCTTCACCCTCCCCGGCTGTCACCGCATCTCTGGAACCCATTTCTGCAGCCGTGATGGCACTTCAATATCCACGGCCGCACGGCATAGGAATATGGTGATCGGAGGACTAAACTCCGGCAATTACGTGCGTAAATTGTGCGACCTGCCCAACAAAGATGCTGATCTTCGAATAGTGTCAGATGGCACTACGCATTTCGATGGATGGGGTCCGAGAATGTCACTTTCTGTCTTGTTAGCGCCCGTGTCAGAAATTAATCAGCATCATTATTCTGGTAGCGAGAGACAGCTGTATTTCCCTGGGTCTCAGATGCCACCTATGGCCCGTCTTGTGCCGTGCTTTGTGTATGACGGAAGCGATATCCAAGACTTGCGGTTGCACGGATGGCGACATTGTTTGGGTATCATCGGTATTGCTCGATGCCGTTCTGCTAAAACATTTCCCGGACCCCCTGAGGGGACGCGTATCCGTCAAGGCTGTGCCTCTGTGGCCGTGGCGAGTTCCTATGACGACGGGAGATGAAATGAAGCCTTGGCGAGCGAAATGGCGCCCTCGATTCCATGGCATTGAAAACTCAATGGCAGCGTATTCTCATGGGCGGCCTCACGTGGCGGGTTTGCTGGCTCCATACAGAGGCATCAGAATACGCTGGCGATGGCGAACTTTGCGCTGGCCGCCGGATCTGTGGAGAGTCGTGGCTTGTAAGATGGGACACGGCGGCTTCGATACAATGGAGGTTTGCCCGCCCGAAACGATTGTGTTGCCCGCAGCGCTCGATCGGGCTACAGAGGTGCAAAGAGGGGGAAAAGCTTGCTGGCACAGCCCCTGGAACTAGGCATTGGAGGCGCTGGAGCCTCTGACGGCCGCCCATCACATGATGATCTGATAAGGCAGGCAAGGTAGATTCTGCAACGAGATGCGCTGAGGACGAGGCACGTTGCGAGCGAAGCGACGAGATGGTGCCGCGGGCAGAGATGCGCCATTGCCACAGGCAAGGCTGTGGCCGTCTCATGATGCTGAGGGACGACTCACTGCTGGCCTATGGCGTGCTCTCCAGTGGCTGATTACGTGGACCCGACACGCGAGCAGCGATACTTTTCAGCTGGAACCAGTATTCGGCAGATACCTTTGCGGCTTAGCGAACAGAGAGGCGTGCTAGGTACCCGGACTAGGAGATTCCACAACGGAGTGTCGCTGCTTGTACCTGGCGTATGGGCCCTGGAGAGCAGCTAAACGACTCGAGCAAACGAGTTGAGGCCTCTGCTCTGTAGGGCGAGTGTTTCTGAGCACCAATCGACTCCGTGCTAAGGCCGCCAAGCCCCTGTTCCCTGTCTAGCGAGTCCGGGTATTCTCACCTAGGATTTTTCTCTATCCGGAGCAAGTATCTGCTAAGCCATCTACGTACGTGCGCTGGCATACTTGTGTATACGAATAGTATACGAGACGTGCTGAAATGTGTCGGTCAAGAGGTCGAAGAACGCCGTACCTATATCCAATAAGACTGCGGGTTGTTTTTAGGCTTGTTCCAATTCGTGCAAGTCGTCTCGTCAGGCTTCCAGTTGGCGCCTGAAGACCCTGGCATTGTGCCACTGCTAGAGATGTTTCCTCTTCCGTACCCGGGTACTTTGGAACTGGGTCAGCTTCGCTGTGTCGGCCATAGATGCTGGTATGTATCTGGTACTTTTGCAAATGCACCCAAGCTCTCTCGCTGCAGCTGTCTGTAAAGCACTCATAGAGATAACCCATGCACCGCCAAGCGAATGGAGATGCCGTTGCCAGCCTCTCAAACAGGGAGGTGGCCGATCACGATCATGCAAATGTTGCTCTCCGCAATCACCACTCCAGAGAACAGAGAGTCCGTATACTGTGCAGATGCTGCCCCGGAGCCATTGAGCCGACAAAACCATTACTCGCGCAGCTGAATACCTTATGCTTACAAGTAAGTTATACCTCGACCGCATGCTAAAGTTCTTCGGCAAGGAACGGGGCTTCCAATCAATGGCCTCCGCGGTACGGTAAGCGACCTTAACTGCCCGGGAAGGGGGATTGGGTAAAAAAGGCCGGCTGGATTTATAGCGCCTCTGGCTGCTCTGTTCTGTTTAGTGCAGCGAGAGCAACAGGCGACACTCCCTGCACGGGCGTCGCCACGACCGTACCCGATACCTGTGCGCTGGCCTGCGATCCTATGGCCACGTCA